AATTATCACCTTCAAAAACCTTATACATTTCCAAGGATATTCCGCATATCTTAACTATCACCTTCTTTCAATTGATCTTCCCCCAAAACAATTTTTCCAAATTGGAATTTTCCACATGAGATTTCCATTCACTAAATGCCATTGGTGAAACATTTTAAAGTTCTTCACAAGTAAAATACTTTAATCTTCTCTATTCTGCACCTGAAGATCTTTTGCCTAGGCAGGTCATATAATAGAGAATCAAATGATCAATGTATAGAAAACTTATAATCTATTTTAAACAAGGGTATCCTATTTCAAGCGCACCTAGCCACAAAATAGCAACTACGTAAATATTCGCATGTCTATTCTTTAAGTTTCATATGTAAAAGGATAAAAGTTTGAAAACAGTTGATATAGCAAACCGCAGTTTAAATGTAGACACTGAAACATAAAATAAATACATGCACATAAACTTGCTTGCCATACAAAAGGAAAGATGTTGCTAAGATAAGTTAAAACAATGGGAGAAAATCAAATCTAAAAAGAATCAATGCAATAAAAACAAAGTAATTGGAAGGGGAAAAGAAAAACATTTCAGACCAAAAACTTTTGACAATTAACAAAGCTTAAAGAAAATCACAGTTCTTTAATTATGAAATTTTTCCTTCATTAAAATTTGTAAACATTTGGTCCACCATACAGGAATAGCTAAGCTAGGTTTCTAGAAATATTTGAAGTGGGAAAAATTTTCGAATTACATTTTCATAATCAAAAGCAGAGAAAGTGTCCTTAAAAAGTAAACCAAATTCCCAAAATCACTTGCAAAATTGCAACTTTAGGAATAGAAAAAACATTTTCCATTTCTTGCATAATGCATGCTCCTATTATAAACGTAAAAATAAAGAACAGAAATTTGCATGTTGGTTTGTGAATATTGCTCACCTGATGGACTGGTGATTAGGGCCACCCTATCTCATTAATAAGTGAATAGCCGTTTGAGATTAATGGATTTAGAGAAATAATCCCCTTCGCAGCATGCAGGAATTAGCTTAGATTCCTTCTCTATCCATCAAAAAGGCACAGTAAATCTCTTAACAAGCTATCACATAACTTTTGTAATATATTTGGCAAATTAACAAGTGCAACGTTAAACGAGAATAATGAAACTAGAATAAAATACCAGAATTGATTATCAACTTCACAAGAACATAATTATAGCCATTTATAAGACTAACAATAAATAATCCATAATTTGTGATAGCAAATTTTTAAAAATCAAGTAATTCCTTTTGAACAGATAAAATACAATTAACTAAAAGGCAACCCCACAATCCCAAAAAGAAAAAATAGACTATCCATTCTTGACGCCATTAAATCATGAAAATGAAACAAAGGTCGATAAATGATATGAAGTACGCTGACCTGTTATCTGTTTCTCAAGAATAATTTCATCACAACCAAAAAAGTTATCTTGTGAATCTTCAGTTCATTAGAAATGACAACGAAACTGTGCACAAATCTGCAAATATCTAACAAACTTTGCCTCATTGTTGGGCGCTTCATGGGGCATCATAACTGCATGCATTAATGAAAGGAGGTCAACCTGCGCTTTTTCTCTTATTGCTAATACCTCATAGTTTAACTAAAGAATTCATAGGCATTCACCACCCAATATGTTTTCCACAAATTCAATAATTGTTATAAATATAATAAATAAAAGTTATTATTAATGAGCGATATTAATGTCCAACGTGTCCATCTTGGGTTTTGCAATTTTTCCTCATGCATAAGAGGCATACACATTGTATATACTATATAATATATAGTAGAAGTATCACCCAATAATACGTGGCAAAGAGGAAGCCCCAAATAATTTTGACTTGGAAATGGATCTATTTCGCAGCCTTTTGATCTCAAAGTCTCAGCTAAAATATGGAGTCTTCCCATTAATTGCCATCCATAACTACACTTTTTTAACACTTTAATGTCACAAACTATACGCAAAAACAGTGGAACCAAAAAAGAACATGACAGAAGGCAAAAGAAGCTTACATAGCGCCTAATCAAAGGCATCTACATGAACTGTATCCACCTAGGCATCCTAAACATCTGCTTGTTCTGTCATCTCTTGCCTCCCCGGTTTCAATTCTTGAGCTGCAATTAGGAAAGCATTTTCAAAGGGTTACTTTAATGCCCTAACGAAAAATAATGTGAACATGTAAATATATGCAATGCAAAATGAATAAGAAAAAGAATTGATGGTAGAAAATTCATATCAATTGGCTTGCTGGTTGTTTCATATAAATAATATATAATGTTTCATTCTTTCATATCTACTCAAGAGGATGGAAGACTATATATGAAATTTGATTTTATCTGGCAGATATATCTCTCTGCTGTGTTTCCTGCTTTGTCTTAAAGTTTTCAAAGTTGCATATTTTGTTGTTTAATTGTTGGTAAATTTTTCATATTTTATTTCTGCTTTTTTAACCAACTCTCCTGTTTGCTTGTTGGGATGAATTGAATGCTGTTGTGCTGTTTGTTAGTTTGAGGGCACAATTCTTTCACAGATTTGAAATTGCTTGCAGAGAAAGTACTCTTTTGCTTCAATTTCTCTATTGTCTCTTCGTCCCTGTGTAACTAGTCTTAATCATTGTTCTCCAAATCCCCCCCCCCCCACAATAGTTGAATATGCATAGTCAGGCATTGCAACTTTTGGTAAAAAATCTAACCTAATTTGTTTTCCCTGGATTTTATCCTTATATTCCAGTTAAAACGTATTTGTGGCCATTTGAATGGAATTTTGGCTGCATTTCTGCTCATCTCCTGGGGAAAAAAGGGGGTTTAAAATTTTATTTTGTGTTTCAATATTCTATACTCGCCAATTAAAACCATTCTCCATTTTGTATTTTAGCAAGTTTTATCAAGCTGGTGTTGAGCTTGCTTGTGTGCTTTTTCTTGAAATTTTTTTTATGGTTTTGCTATGAAGTTTCGTATGTGTAGATGAACACACAAATAGATGATAGAATTTATGCATGAAGAACAATCCCAGGGTCACTTTGAATAATAATCAATTGTTCGACACTTACAGTTACTGCTCAATGGTGTCTGTCAAGTCTGGCAACTGATTCTAAATCTAATTACACCATAGAAATTTATTTCTTCCTTTTTCTTGTCTTTGCCGCTGCTTCCTTGCCTTTATCCTCTAACCTTCTTCCTTCTGGCTCTTGTAATTTTTGCATACCTAGCAAAAACCTTCATCGAATAAGTTTGGACAGTTTACTTGATTGAAGTCTCCAGTGCATTCTTAATGCCAAATTTGTTATGTTTATAGCCTCAATATCACTGCATACCTTCCAATCTATGAATGTTGCTAAGGGCTAGATGGCCTCTTCTTTCTCTGCTCTCTCTGATCTCTTTCAACAATAGTTACTCCCGCCATGCTTTGATCCTCTACCTTTTGGTTTAATCCTGTCTCTAGTAATTCCTAAATTATCTTCTGTTTCTTTCATGAGTAATTGGAGCATAACAATTCCGTAACTGTATATGTCAGCTGCTTTAGTAATGTTTTGGCCTGTCAAAATAATGTAAGTATCATTTTTTCATTTTTTTTTTTTTCAAAGTAGCATATCTATATGAGAGATACATAGTTGCAGTTTATTTTACCATAACTGTTTGCTTCCGGAGCTGCATAAGTAGGGCTAACAACATCAGGAGGTTTTCCCATTGACTTGATTGAACCAAAGTCGCATAGCTTGACGTTTCCTTGATCGTCAAACATGATATTTGATGTCTTCAAATCATACCATATGATATTGTGAAGCTAATTGGTTACTTGAGTCCAAGTGAACAAAAAGAAGATTCTGAGTTCGTGATATTAGAATTTCTGCCAAAATGTCTAACCGATACTTATCTAGGTAATCCTCCAAATTTATTTTAATAGAAATGCCAACATGTTCTTTACTTAAATTATGTTCTTTACTTAAATTAGATTACTTAGTAGCGTATCTTTGCTGTAGTTTGGACTCTATTTTTATTATCTTGCTCATTTTGAAATGTACAGAACTTCAATGGACTGCTACAGTAAAAGTATTGCAACAATATGAGATTTAATGTCTTCAAATCATATCATATGAGATTTGCTTGGTGGTGATGGATATAAGACTTATCCATTTGCTATTTGTTACAATACTTTTACTGTAGCAGTCCATTGAAGTTCTGTACATTTCAAAATGAGCAAGATAATAAAAATAGAGTCCAAACTAAAGCAAAGATACGCTACTAAGTAATATAATTTAAGTAAAGAACATGTTGACAGTTCTATTAAAATAAATTTGGAGGATTACCTAGATCAGTATCAGTTAGACATTTTGGCAGAAATTCTAATATCAAGAACTCCGAATCTTCTTTTTGTTCAATTGGACTCAAGTTAACAATTAGCTTCACAATATCGTATGGTATGATTTGAAGACATCAAATATCATGCTTGAAGATCAAGGAAACGTCAAGCTATGCGACTTTGGTTCAATCAAGTCAATGGAAAAACCTCCTGATGTTGTTAGCCCTATTTATGCAGCTCCGGAAGCAGACAGTTATGGTAAAATAAACTGCAACTATGTATCTCATATGGAAATGCTACTTTGAAAAAAAAAAAATGACACTTACATTATTTTGACAGGCCAAAACATTACTAAAGCAGCTGACATATACAGTTACAGAATTGTTATGCTCCAACTACTCATGAAAGAAACAGAAGATAATTTAGGAATTACTAGAGACAGGATTAAACCAATAGGTAGAGGATCAAAGCATGCGAGAGTAACTATTGTTGAAAGAGGTCAGAGAGAGAGAGAAAGAAGAGGCCATCTAGTTAACAAGACATTCATAGATAAAGGATGCAGTGATATTGAGGCTATAAACAATGGATGCATATTGGGATATTGAGGCTATAAACAGAGAGAGAGAAAGAAGAGGCCATCTAGTTAACAAGACATTCATAGATAAAGGATGCAGTGATATTGAGGCTATAAACATAACAAATTTGGCATTAGAATGCACGGAGCTTCAATCAAGTAAACGTCCAACTATTGATGTTCTTGCTAGGTTGCAAAAATTACAAGAGCCAGAAGTAAGAACTCTTTTTCAAAGAAGTAATTCAACCTAAAAATCAATAGAGTAATGTTAGCCTTTTTATGTTTGTTAAATTGGCTTTCTTTTTTTTTTTCTTCAAAAAAATAAATGCTTCAAAATTACTTCTTACTAACATTGTATTTTTGAAATGCTCCCTTATGGTGATTAAAATGTTCAAATGATAGTTGCAAACTCTATTTTTGAAAATCTGTCATTAACCCACAACTTAGAAATTGTATCTTTGGTAATCTAAATAGAAATCTAAATGTCTCTTTCGAGTTAAAGTGAGTCAGCTCAAAATAGTAAAATCTATTACACCATCTCGAATTTATTGCTTCTTTTTCTTGTCTTTGCTGCTACTTCCTTGTCTCTTATCCTCTACATTTCTTCCTTCTGGCTCTTGTAATTTTTGCAACCTAGCAAGAACTACATCAATAGTTGGACATTTACTTGTTGAAGCTCCGTGCATTCTAATGCCAAATTTGTTATGTTTATAGCCTCGATATCACTACATCATTCGTCTATCTATGTCTTGCTAACTAGATGGCCTCTCCTTTCTCTCTCTCTGACCACTTTCAACAATAGTGACTCTCGCATGCCTTGATTCTCTACCTCTTGGTTTAATCCTGTCTCTAGTAATTTCTAAATTATCTTTTGTTTCTTTCATGAGTAGTTGGAGCATAACAATTTCATAATTGTATATGTCAGCTACTTTAGTAATGTTCTGGCCTATCAAAATAATGCATGTGTCCGGAGCTGCATAAGCAGGGCTAGCAACATCAGGAGGTTGTCTCTAGGCATGGCCAGGGACCTTTTTAGGCTAAATGCCTAGGGACAACCTCCTAATGTTGTTAACCCTGCTTATGCAGCTCCGGAAACATGCATTACTTTGACAGGCCAGAACATTACCAAAGTAGCTGACATATACAATTATGAAATTGTTATGCTACAACTACTCATGAAAGAAACAAAAGATAATTTAAAAATTACTAGAGGCAGGATTAAATCAAGAGGTAGAGGATCAAGGCATGCGAGAATAACTATTGTTGAAAGTGGTCAGAGAGAGAGAAATGAGAGGCCATCTAGTTAGCAAGACATAAATAGATGAATGATGTAGTGATAACAAGGCTATAAACATAACAAATTTTGCATTAGAATGCATGGAGCTTCAATAAGTAAACGTCCAACTATTGATGTATTTCTTGCTAGGTTGCAAAAATTACAAGAGCAAGAAGGAAGAAATGTAGAGGATAAGAGACAAGGTAGCAGTAGCAAAGACAAGAAAAAGAAGAAATAAAATCGAGATGGTGTAACAGATTTTACTATTTTGAGCTGACTCACTTTAACTCGAAAGAGACATTTAGATTTCTATTTAGATTACCAAAGATATACAATTTCTAAGTTGTGGGTTAATGATAGATTTTCAAAGATAGAGTTTGCAACTATCATTTGAACATTTTAATCAACATAAGGGAGCTCCTGCAATCACATATTCACTTTATAAATGGAATTTTGATAAAGTGAAATGAGAGGCACACAATAAAATGTTCAAATGATATATATTTGAACTTCACATGGAGATAAATCAGCCTATTTATATCCAATGGATCTTCTCAGCGCCAAAAAGGTTAAGAAATTCAAAACCATTTCTAGTTCCCACCAATGTTTCAATTCAAATCAAGATATCGCACATACTACAGTTTCAGAAGCAACTTTGCAATTCATGAAAGCACAAGATTATCATTGACAAGACAAAATAATAGGACAATATGATCAGAAATGGTAGGAAGATTGAATTCACGTCTATTTGCCAAAAAGACATACTAGAGAGTAAAACAGATGCTGCACAAACAACAAAAGACAACAAATTTAAAGAAGAATAAGTATATACCTGAAATAAATAAATTGACCATTTTTCACGCATAATTCCGTGCTGCAGTAGATAAATCAATGGCATGTTAATTCACAAGGGCCGGATCAAGGTTAATTGAACAAATGCAAGAAAAATGTTTGGCCGGTTAGGGTAGTTAAATACTCTATCAACAAATGCAAGAAAAATGTTTCACTGTTTCGTTGCATAATCTGAATATATTTTCCATAACAATTTTGCCTGTCTACGTTAGCTTTTGTTATGCAATATATAGCTTTCGTTATGCAAGATATTGGTATAAACATAACTTTAAAACATCAAAAAACAGATTTTTCGAACCAGAGATCTACTTCTTAAGACTAAAACTGTGAAAATAATCAGTACATAAAGGGTCAAGAAATTACCAGCATTAAGCAGAGACAGAGACAGGGTGAGAGACCTAAACTTGGTAGAGAGAAAGAGAGAAATAGGAAAGGTGTGCGAAGGCGTTTTTTTAATGTTCAAATTTGGTACTCCAGAAAATAATCAAATGTTCAAATTTTAAATACTTTTTCCAATGGGATTTTCAGAGAGTTATATAACTAGGATAAGCATTTATTTATTTAGATATATTATTTTCTGGAATACTCTCCAATGCAACTAAAATTTCTATAGATGAAAGTGGAAAACTATCATCCTTACCAATTGGATTAATTTCTTTAAGCATATGTTGACTACACCCATATCAATGTAGCTGAAACAACCATGTTGAAACATGATTCTTTCATATCTCTGATCAAGATTCCAACAATAAACATCCCCAAATCAAATATTTTTTTGGTCGTATTCCTGCATCCAAAGAATCTAATGTCACAAACCATACTCAAAAACACTGGACCAAAAAGACCGATAGAAGCAAAGAAGCATTAAGGTGCAGAAATGATACTTACACAGACCTTATCAAGCATTATATGATCTGCATCTATGATGCCAGCGAGACAAGGCTCATACAGTGGATTGTGAGTATGTAAAAACTTGAGGAATTTGCAAATTCACCCACAACCTTAATTCTGTGAAGCCAAGAAAAGCTATCTGAAATTGAAAAATAAATGGTTCATAAATATATTAGTGGTTGAAAATGGTTGCTAAATACACATTCAGATCCTAGCAACATGTAGCAGAAGTGTGGGCATACTGAATCATCAAAAGAAATGAATCATTCTTTCAATTTATCTTAACCTTAGCTAGAAATTCAAAAAGAAATGTCCTTAAAAAAAAATTCTAAATACAAACTTCTTTAAAAAAAGCAGAGTCGCAAATGATCAAGCAATCCATTGGAAACAATCAACCAAAGTGAATAAATAAAAAAATTGTAAAATTGCATCACATTTTCCTTCTGTATCGCAAGAGCCTAAACATGATAAGGAAAACATACATTAAGGCTATTTTTTGAGAAGTAAAATATAATCACATAATGGTTTTAATCAAAATAGTATAAATTTTAGATATTCAGGCATGAGTTGCACATCGTGCATTTAAATGTAGCAAAACAAAGTTTACTGCGAGGATTCCATGAGAAAAAGAAGTAGCCAGTTTGACTGGCTTCTTTCAAAGTCTATTCACACAAAAAACAATTGTAACAATTGTCAGCACAGTGCAGTGAAATCTCGTTTCTCTGTGAATCTCATGATAGAGAAACATATCATGTAATTTAAGTAGCCAGTTTTCACAAAATGAAAGGAAATTGACAAGCAGCAAAATCACATAATGTATGTTGACAAAAGTGGATGGCACTATCACTTGAAGTCTTGAAGTTTTTACATAAGACATTCACAAGGTTTCAAACAAAATAAATATTTCATAACAATAAAGGCACAAATATATATTTAAAATTATAATAAGCATATATTAGATGGATCTGCACCAATGCATTTCAGGTCTCACAACCATGAGTCCTCTGCATTTTGCAAGCTCGAATTTGACAAGTCCATTACTAACAAGTAGCTCTCATAAAAATTGCTCAATAATGGGAACCAAAAAGTTGTAGTTTAACATAAAAGTCTGAGGCAGTACCATAATTCCCACCATACTATATGTGATTCAATTTATAAGCAAAAAAACTAAGATGCCAAGCAAATGAGATGAAGCTCAGAGGCAAAAAAATTGATAATAGGAAAAATGGAGCATATCAATAGAAGGGGTTGCTTCTTTCATGGAGGTTAACCTTTGGGAGTCTATATGACACAAAGAAGTACCTAGATGAGCAATAACTGGATGAACATAACCGCAATACCCCTATAGATATTGATTCACAAGATCTCTTCTAACAGCAAGTATGTCAGCAGAATTATAATGCAGTCAAATTAGTATTGGCTTAAAACTACAAATCAAAACAACTCTAGTTGTTATAAAACAGTCAAAAAATAAAAAATTCAGAGAGAAAACAGCTTACTAAATCCAAAAGGAAATAGAAGAAAGACAATGAACTCATCATGAATTATACAAGCAACATCCCTATTGCGAATCAGATATGGCATATATGGAGGATTCTTCGCATGCATAAGTTCCAGTAAGAAAGGAGCAGATCCAAGGAAATGAATTGCATCTACAGAATACTGGAACAAACAAAACAAAAATTGGCAAATGGTTTCTCTTACACAAAAAAAAAAAGAAAAAAAAGATTAATTCTTCACGGAAAAAACAAACTGAATAAACAAATTTCGAACAACATTAACAAAGAAGATAATAGATCTGATACAGAACACTATGTACAACATAGAACACTATGTACAACATAAACAAAGAAGATAACAGATCTGATAAAGAACACTATGTGCAACATGAACAAAGAATAACAGATCTGATAAAGAACACTATGTACAACATAAACAAAGAAGATAACAGATCTGATAAAGAACACTATGTGCAACATGAACAAAGAATAACAGATCTGATAAAGAACACTATGTACAACATAAACAAAGAAGAAAATAGATCTGATAAGAACATTATATAACATAATCGCTTATGAGCAGAGAGGAGAAGATCTGAGAAATCGAATTGAATTAACAGAGTACATAAAACAAAGAAAACATAATTAACATGAAATAAAAGGATTAATTTTTCATCGGAAATAAGCATGCTGGATAACATCAAACAACATAAACAAAATTTCCAGAAAAAAGTTACCAGCAATTAGAAAATTTAAAAAAAAAAAATGAACGAAAACTGAAAACCACAACAACGTACTTGAAGTTGAACAGATGTAAAGAACAGATCTTTACAATCAGAAGTGCGTAACCAAGAGCCTTTATTGGTGCAAAGAACAAATCTTTACATGCAGAAGATCGTACCCAAGAGACAGTCTATCTTAATTGGATTTTAGAGAGAGAAAAGGAAATGGAATAAAGTCACGCCAACTGCATGGCCACCGGACAAATCTTTACATGCAGAAGATCGTACCCAGGAGACAGACTATCTTAATTGGACTTTAGAGAGAGAAAAGGAAATGGAATAAAGTCACGCCAACTGCATGGCCACCGGTCCGGTTCAAATCAGAACCGAATCGGAATCGAACCTTACTGTAAACGAATCAAAACCGGTGGTTCAAAATTTAAATCGGAACCAGCGGTTTAAGGTTAAAATATGAATCTGAATCGGCCCAAAACTACGGTTAACCAACGGTTTCGGTCAGGTTCAAACCGGATGCACAAACATAGTAGTTTAAAATATTTTATAAAAAAATTATATCACTTGATTTGATTGTAGTTGATTTGATTTATGAGGAAGAGAAATACACAATGACACTTAATTTATAAAAAATTATAAAAAAAGCACACATGATTTGACTTAATTTGTACGAAAAATGGTACATGAATAGTTTGATTTGTAAAAAAAAAAAGAAAATTATTTTAAGTGTATAAAAAAAGAGTTACATTTTATTTTTATTTTATTTTTGGTAAATAAAATTTATTCATTTTTAATCAATTATTTATTTATTTACTATAATTTACTAAATTATCTAAAAATATAGTTTTACTATAATTTACTAAATTATCTAAAAATATAGTTGTTATTTTTCTGTTATAAGGGAAAATTTGAAAAACTATTTAATGAAAAATATGTATAAATATGATGAGTTGATTTTTTTTTTTTTCACAACCAATTATATCATAACTCTTCTCTTTTTCTCAATCAAAATTCTCTCAAATTTCCATAGTTCATTATTTTTTTCTATTACTTTATTTTCTTTAATATTCAAATTATCTATTGTTTATTTTTTATTTTCCTACATCCAATTCCAAATTCCTTCTCCAATCTCAATTTTTTCATTCATAAATTTACTTCATTTGATTTTTTTTAATGATTTTCTTAGTATTTGGAAATAATAATTTACAACTCATTCCATTAATTTCATATTCCATTTATTCATTTTTTTTTTCATAAATCCATTTAAAAACATAGCACACAATTTACAAATCTCTAAGGGAAAACGAATTGCTCATAGTGTTGAAGAAATTGACTCAAACGATCAATTGATTGATTTTTCACTATAATTTAATGATGAAGTTCAATATTACACTATAGTTGAAGAATGTTACATTCGTCGTCATCCACCACAAGAAGCAACATCTCTTAATATTTTAAATTTAAGTAAACCACCAAAGTCAGATATTTTCAAGAAGCATTTTACAAAAATTGTTCAAGATAACAGAGAAATCAATTATGTTCGATGTAATTATTGCAAAAAGAATATGCATTCAAGTTTGGAGGAGGCTATGGCACCCTCAATAGACATTTAAAATCACATCATCCAAGTGAGATAGGAATGGATCCAACTCAAACTCTATTATCGTCATCAAGGTATGTTGATCCTAATACTCCTCCATTTAAATATAGTGATGAAACTAATAAAATTAAGATGGCTAAAATGGTTTGTATGAAACGATTATTTTTTTTCATTTGGTGAAAAAATTGGATTTAATAACTATTGTAAAAAAGCATTAAGTCCTTTAGCAAAAAGGATACCTAGGAATACACTTAAAAGGACTATCTTATATTTAAGTCCTTTAGCCCAAAAAGGATGACCTAGGAATACACTTTAAAAGGACTTCTTATCTATTATTTGAAGAAAAAAAAAATTTTAAATTTATTTTGCCAAATGTTTGTTTGGTAAAATGCCTAAAAATTGCTATTTGTTGTGATATTTGGTGTTATGCATGGCAAACTCATCTTATGTGGGTGTTACTTCCCATTGGATTGACAATGAATGAAAAATTCAGAAAAAAAATTATCACACTTAGAGTTTTTGATGACTCTTACATGGCCCATAATATTGTTACTATATTAAATATTATTTAGGAGAATATGGTTTGACTAAAAAAAAATTTTTACAATCGGTTTTGATAATGCTTGTGCAAATACGACATTAATAAATGAATCAAAAACTCTTCGTCAATCCAAATTTGGTGGACAATTTTTTCACACTAGATGTGCATGTGATATTTTAAATTTATGTGTTCAAAATGCATTAAATGATTAAATGTATTTTTAAGTCCAATAAAAAAATGTTTTAAATTATTTATGAACACATGGATATGCTAGAAAAGAATTTAAAAATTTTTGTCACTCTATGGGAAAAAAATATAAAAAATTTTTAAGAGATATTCTCACGAGGTGGAATTCAACTTATAAAATGTTAAATGAGTTTTATTAATATAAAGATATGCTTCATTCATTTATGCAATTGCATACATCACATTTTTTAACTTTATCTAACCTATTGGACTATTTGTAAAAAAATATTAGATATTTTGCAAGTTTTTGAAAATTGTACAAGAATTTTTAGTAGTATTTATTATCCTACTTCCCATTTATTTTCATTTTATTGTTTGGCCATAAGTAATATCATAATTGAAAATGAAAATGATGATGATTTACAAGAATGTATATTCATGATGAAAACTAAATTGTTAAAACATTATACTAAAATTCCTGATTTAAATTTAGTTGCATTTTTTCTTTGTCTTTTTAGAATTTCAAGTTAGTTGCATCTTACAAGATTTTTTTCGTCTTTATTATGGGATTCTTTTAATATTGAAGTAGCATTATTTTTCTCTTACTAATAATGTTTTAAGGCTATGTCCGTCAATTGTTATGATGGAGTATTTCTAAATTAGTATCTCTCCTTCCTCAAGTATCACATCCACAAAACTACACAATCAACTAAATTTTTATTCTACACAATTTACTTTCATGCAAAATGTTCAAAAACACCAAGGAGACTCCACATTTTCATACACAGAAATTTGAATGTATGATGAGTATTCTAAATTAGTATCTCTCCTTCCTCAAGTATCACATCCACAAACTACACAATCAACTAAATTTTATTCTACACAATTTACTTTCATGCAAAATGTTTCAAAAACACCAAGGGAGACTCCACATTCATACACAGAAATTGAGACATATATTATCACAGATTTTGAGTTTTAAGGTGATAATGCATATGAAGACCCAACAATATTTGACATTTTGGATTGGTGGAAAAAGCATGCAAATCGCTTTCCAGTCTTAGCTTCAATTGCAAAAGATATTCTTATTTGTCCAATTTCTATTGTTGTAGTGCAACAAGCTTTTAGTGCCAGTGGACAAATTTTAGATCTAACACGGTCAAGATTATCGCCAAATAATGTGGAAAAGTAAAAATGCGTTGACGATTGGACTAGAGCGGCATTGAGAACTTAAGACCAACAAAATTCAAGCGATGATGATGATTCTAACTCATTAATGGCGACTAGTGGCACCGATGACTAAAATTAATTGTAATAATTGGGAGATTATTTTCCATTATAATAAAAAAAAAAGAACTATGTGAAATTTGATTTTCTCTAATTTCCAAGAGGATACGTAGACAATTAAATTAAAAATTTTCAATTTTAATTTAATTCAAGCCCAAAAAGGAACTCTTCCTCGAGTTGATTTACTTTTTGTTATCTCATGAAACCACACTGGATATCAAAAATGAATAAAAGTGATTCACAAATTTGGACTAGTAAGCATACTATCAGCAGTGTTCGGATCAACTGAATAAATAATTCATTTCATTTTGTAGATGAATTCTAATGTTTGATATCTAACTACTAAGCAAACTACCAGTAGTGTTTGGATCAACTCGATAAGAAATTCATTTCATTTCATAGATGAATTCTAATGTCTGATATCTGACTACTAAGCATGGAATCATTTGCAAAGTCAACTAATTACAGTCATAGTAATTTCAAGTTCATTTTCAAATTTTACTAATTTGACAGGGTTTGTTTCAAGAATAACTATTTTATGACAGACATGCATTATATGGATTTGTAAATCAATACTATAAAATTTAATGAAATTTCATTTATGCTGATAACCTCTAGTGTTCTTGTTCTTTATGATTATCCAATAAACAGACAGTTATAGTGTTACATTTCATTTTGGACCATATGAGAAATCCAACTCAGTAGCAAAATGTATACTACCAATTAATGGCAAAATAGGAGAAGAAAAACCATTCCGATGAACTTCTTGCCGCCATTTTGCAAGTCCAAGCTTAATCTGATAAGTTGAACCAAAAAAAAAAAAAAAGGGAAAGGGAAAAGCAAACTAAGAGTGAAAGGGAAGGACGCATACTGAAAAAGGGAATGGAAAGAAGGACAAAGGGAATTGGAAGAAGGACGATAGGGAAATGTAGATGGGCCTCAATCTTTGTCTTTGGCCTAAATAATTAAATCACTATCCCGGCGGAGTGATGATAAAATTAAAATTAAAAATATTTCAATTTTTATTTTGATTAAACAGGAATTAGTAATTTCAGTTAATTTCTATTTCAATTAAAATCAATTAGTTATAAATATAGATTAAATTCTATCGATTAATTATATTTTCATTTTTTCTTTAACAATTATATTTTCATTTTTTCTTTAACTTCGGTACGGTTAATAGTTAATATTAATTTGGGCAAAATTATTGAGTGAGCTATACATCATGGGACTTTGTATCCTTATGAAGGTTAGAAAAAATTTACCGAGGTTAACTTTTGCTGCAAGTAATGACATTGCACTGCTAATTCATTGGATGAGCTTCTGAAAAGGGCTAAAATAGAGGGTTACAAACAGTCAGGTCTATGGGCCTCTGGCCCAATATCATGAAAACCATACTTCTCATTATTATATGAGACTGGACTTCAATGGGGCAAAGGGTGATCACTTACCTACCACAAGACTTGTAATATTTATTGCACCATCTTTTGATGAAGCAGTTCTGGATTTCCTTAGATAATCTCTCCCCTTTTGTCTTTTCGAAACAATGTTATTTCTAGTCTAACTTATAATTTTTCTTTGACACATGCAAATCAGTGGATTGGAAATTCCACCTTGAAACCATCGACAGGATTCCACAAAGGGAATCCATTAAACCGACTGCATTTTCTTGTTTTCCCAACTGAAAAATAAGAGCATAGGCTTCCCAGTTCTAATTTTCACCAGAGATTTTCTAAACTCTCAGAAGCTGTAGCTCCTTTATCCTATGGATAATAGTTGACTTTCAATTCTTGCAAATTGCTAACTGTTTGCGAGTCAGAGCCATGGACCTGAAAAAAAAAAAAGTTACAGATAGGATGGATTGAAAGAAAAATCTATTGACTCCCCCATTGATGACCACTTCTATTTCCTATATGTTCACTCCTGTAGCTTGACATATAGTATAAGCAAAGACTTGTATATAGTCCTGACAACTTGTATCACAAGATCCAGAAAAGTTAGGTAGAAAACTAAGCAACACTTGCAGTTGTAGATAGTGCAAGAAACATGAATTTGGTTATATATGAAATGGAAGTTTCAGAAATATGTCAATAAATGGAATTTATGATTTAAATGATAGAACTTTTTCCTCTCATTTTTGTTTTTTTCTCATCCAGGTCCCATACTCAACAAAAGATAGAAATAAGGAGGAAAAAGAAAAAGACAACCATAAAATTAATAGAAATAGCAGTTTACAGTAGAATTAGAAAACAAGAAATACTACTGTTACAGATATCTTTTAGCTTTCCCAACCCAAATTCTTATCTCTAATTCTAAGCCCCATAACCAAAAAAGAAAATTATCAAACACTTTCGAGGGCAAATTAAATTTCCCCAAAATCTGCCCTAAAAGAAAACTTCCCAACTAGTTTAAACAAGACAACCCTTCAATCATCTTCATAATTCCTTCTAACAAGAGCAAAGTAGCCGAGAATAGCACAAACAGCAGCCACAAAATTTCCTTCTTTCAATAAAATCTTGAAAACAAACCCAACAATTTCTCTTGTAATCTTCCTTCCCTCTATCACCAAAGTCCTTCTTGGCTTGCCAAAGAAAGCCAATAACACAACAATTGTAATCCATATAACCAAAGTGGCTGGCACAGCCACAGCAAGAGCTGCGATCATTGAAAGCAGACCAAAAACTGCCCCTAAAAGCACTGATGCATACAAAGCAGGCCAACCAGAAGAGGCAGAAGTGACTTGGGCTTGTTCTTTATACCAAGAAAGTATATATTTGAGTAAATTCCATGAAGATGATAAAAGGATTGCATATACAAGCACAAAAAAACATACCCATGTTCTTCTTTTGCTCATAATTGTCAGAAATAAATTGAATGTCGTCGATGATGGCCTTGGCGACGCAGTTTGTGCAGGTATAGCTTCTGCTTCTTCTTCTTCTTCTTGATTTTCCATCCTGCATATATTACCCTTGCAAACAAAAGCTTTGATTTTTCGCTCTTCAACCTTGGATTTGTCTTCAAAATTTTCTCTTTTTCCTTTTTTATTGGTCTGGGTTTTGGTTTGTTATGGTAAATTTTTGGATTCGAAGACTCTATCTTTGTGTCCTGAGATGAGAAAATGTAAAGGGAAGGTGACAGAATTATTATTATTGCTTGGGTTCGAAAGCACTTGTAGTTGAAGCGCGTGCAGACATCATTTGACGTTGTTATTGTCAAGTGAGGAGTATGTACAACACGTGCTGTAGATGCGAGTGACAGGGGGCTCTCTTTCTTGGATTGATAGAGCTCACAGTGACCAGCTTGGCAGGTAGATATTTGGGCTTTAAGCATGCGTTAGTATTTGGAGTTATGGACCGAAAGTCTCATTTGGGCATTTGAAGGACAATTCTTTACCTCTTTTGCATAACCTTTAGAAGGCCAGGCTTTCTTGCTTGATAGAGTTGCCAAGCTCTAACTTTACACCTAGCAGAATCTTCAAAGTTTCATGGCAACCTAACTACTTTTCCGGTTTACTATTCTTTATTTGGCATTCTAGCCAAATGGGAAAAAGAGAGTTGCCACAGTAGAACCCTATATACAAATGAGAACAAAGTGCAATGTTTGGTTTCTTGGAAGTGTTTTAGTGGGCATGAAAGTAAGGCATCCATAAAGCCTTCCGGAATAGTCAGGCAATAAACTTCGAATACCGAAATAGTGTTTTACTAAAACATTAATGCCGAGTACTGAATCTTCAAAAGACAAAACAACTCCAATATGACAATGCCAAAAATATCATCATATTAGCAACAATTAAAAGCACTTTGCAACATTCAATCAGAAAGAGACAAAGCACTGTCCAAACATCCAAATCTTGGATTAAAAATTGGGTAAGTGAATCCCATTATACCAAATTCATAAATTTCTATAAATTTTCAAGTTAGCAATGTAATTCTAAGGCTCATGTGATCTCTAGCTCTCTTTTAGCTATCAAGTACAAACATCCATCATAAACTAAATTGTACTCTTCTATAATGTTTTCAGACAACTATGAACAGGAAATCCCAAGAGTTGCTCAACAGTCAAGATCCAGAGCAGGGGTACAAACCAAGAGCAAAATCACCGTTACTATTTACTAATAATCAGCAAAATTTTCCCACAAGAGAATGAGCAAATTCTTCATCAATTTAACTCCATTAAACAATGCAAGCACCCAAATTGTAGCAAAATCCAATATTTGCGTCAGTCATACTTTTCCCTCCAGGAGTACACAAGAAAGAACACCCAAGAAAGAGCAAGCAAAAGATCTCCAGTTACTTGCTTTGGCCAATGCCAAGCCAAATCCTCAAGCCTTCTCTCGAAGTAAAACCTCCAAAGAGCCATTGTCACGTGGAGAAGCACACACCCTTTAGCAAAAAAGCTTTGAAATTTTGTGTCCTTCACAAATGCCACCATGAACACTAAAAACCCAATTACAAATAAAAGCAAACCAGCAAAGGAATTGGAGATTTGGATCAATAATTGATCATGCGGGGTTGAACCTAAAAGCTGTTGAGCTGTTTCTAGACCATGACCGAGAACAGAAATTTCTTTGGGATAAAACATAATTGAAGATCCACAAGTCATTGCCACTGTCGAATGCAAAATGCAGATCATAGAAAACATAGAAGACGCCATCAATAAAAGAGATGGGCAAGCCCTAGCTCAGCTATCTGTTCCTAATTATCCAGTGTACAAATACACTATTACCCAAAACTGCAAACACCCAGAAAATCCATGAAGAATTAAATCCTTGAACTCAATTAATTTGAAAATCAAGTAGATCAACGGCAAGATATTGAAAAATAGATCAGCCCACCAACAATACACCTAAGAAACTCAAATACACAGATGAAATTTCGTGGCGAACAGATTAAATAAACACTATATCTTATGAATGTGAGTCAAGTTGTGATAATAGGATTAGCGGAAACCCAGATAAGAAGTGATAATTAATGAAGAAGAGGAACAAACCCTTTTCATGAACTGTTAACAAAACCGCTGTTTAAGGCTACAAAATTGGATGGCTTTATAGTGCCATTTCTAGCATTGAGATTTGCTACGGGATTGAGAGTTCCAATGTGGGTGTATAGCAAATCTGATCTGGAAACTGAGATGATCAGCGAATGAACCGTGAGGACAAATTGGCGGGGTTATTGAGATGTGTGCTATGGCAGTTGGGTTTGGCGCGATACTCTTTGGTTTTGTCCGCTTATTGGTGCTGGAAATAATTATTGAATTATGAATTAATTAAAAAATAGATTTTTTGTTTAAGTATAAACTTAACTATATCCGTATATTCATAGCTTTAGAACCGTTGATTAGGTTTCAAAATCCTCGGTTTCTATTATAAAAATAAATAAATCAAAATCAATGGCAGTTTTCAGGATAGTTTTGGGACCGTAAATTTCGATTTTGTTTCAGTTTAAACTGAAATTTCAAAATTTTAAAATTCTTTTTCAGGTTTTAATCTTGAATAATAATAATAATAATAATAATAAATATTACTATTTGAGAAAACTAAACCAATTTAATAAAATTCTCGAAGTTAATTATAAAAAATTATGATAAAATAAGAAATAAAATAAAAATTTCTTTAAAAACCTATTTTCCACAGTTTTAAACTCGAACTACCGATTTTAATTTTTAAAAAAATGAAGAATCGAAACGATATCTTAAGTACATGATTCGATTATAATTTGAAACCAAGAATCATTGACTATTGTTTAATGTCAATTTTGATTCAGTTTCAATTTAAAATCAAACCGTGCTCATGCCTAATCTCGGCCAAACATCACACATAATTTTTTTTTAGAAGACACGAGTAATTATTTTGATTCTTAAACTTTATAAATTTTAGTATCTTACTATTTTTTATAAATTAAAATATTTTTATTGAAATTACATATTTTAACTTATTTTATGTTGATTTTAGGGTTTAGACTCAAATATTAATGTTAGAAATTTTGATTATCAAACTATTTGATTTTAGAATTCAGCCATTGTATATTGTATAAAAAGATGTTTTTTTTTTTTTTTCCAAGATTTAGGGTTTTAGGACTCAAATATTAATGTTAGAAATTTGATTTATTCAACTATTTGATTTTTAGATTCAGCCAGTATATTGTATTTAAAAAGATGTTTTTTTTTTTTTTTCAACTACTTTAGAACCCTTCTTTTTGTCTCCACGGATATAATGTCTCCAACAAAAAAATATTGTGCTATAATTACAAGTTTTTCTATAATACAGAATAAAGTTTTTTTTTTTTTTTTCCAACTACTTTAGGAACCCTTCTTTTGTCTCCACGATATAATGTCTCCAACAAAAAAATATTGTGCTATAATTACAAGGTTTTTACTATAATACAGAATAAAAAATTTATGTACTGGTAGAGAATTTCAATATCATGACACGTGTACATATATACCTCCTATAGCCCGTTATGATTACCGGTTTCTTAGTTTTTTTAATTATATATACATATTATTTGTAATATCATGTTGTGGTAAGAGATTAAATTGTATTATGGAATAAAAAAATTTTACTTTAAACTTCAAGTATAAATGACCCAAAATTTTAAAATTTATAATTTAAATAATAAAGGTAATTATAATATATATATATGCGATGTCAATATTTCATTTAGAAAATTTGTAAAAATATATTAAAAAGAAGGGATAAATTCCAATGTATAAATCCTATATTTTAAAATTTATAATATATAGACTTTCAAATAATATAATATAATCTCTAAATTAATTTCAAAATATTCGAAATTAAATAAATTTTATTTAAAAGTTTCTATAAGTATATAATATAAAAATTATTGAAAAGAATCTAGAATAGATAGGATTAATTTAAGTTAACATTAAAATTTAATCAATTCAAAGATTACTTATATACAATTAAACAAAAAATCAAATGAATATTTTATCTAAATATATAATATGGGTTATTTTAAAAAAATATAAATGAATTTAGGATGAGTTTAATTAAACTACAAATTAGAAGTACAAAATATTAAAATGTCTTGAGTTACATAATTAGACATTATATAATAAATAATGATTAAGTAAACTATATATAATATCAAACTTTTGGTTAAATAATTATAAATAAAAGATTAAGCACAAAAATTAGATTAATTCAAAATACGCATTAAAAAGTTGTATTTTTCATCATTCCATAACTAATTTGAGATTTTTTTTAATCTTTTTATGTTTTTATTTTTTATGTTTGTGTTAAGAAGAGTATTTTTAAATTTACAAATAAATAATAATATATACCTTAAAAAAAAAGAATCAGATACTATAAATTTTTTTAAAATATTTTACTAAATTTAAATTAACTAAGACCAATACAAGATAATACTACTTGCTTTATAGATAATAAGTTCTTTAGTTAAATTTAAATCTAATGGCTTATATTAAAACATTTAAATCTAAGGATTAAAAAATAATTCTTTATCAATACAGAAACTTTAAATTCTGCACTATAGTCTTGTCCTAATTACAAATTGGTAGTGGAATCAATTATGAATTCTTAAGTTGAAAGTGATAATAAAAGACAACTTTAGGTATACAAAAAAGGTGAAAAGTAAATATGTAAATGTAAATTTAATAATGATTCAATCTTAAGAAATTGTGTTGATATGTTGGTAAATTTTACCTTTCTAAATAATACGTAACGTTTGCCAACTAATTTTTTAGATATGAAACGGTAACTGCTATTAAAATTTTATCAAACGCAACATTCATTCGCTAATCTTTATTAGCCACTCGTTACTATAATCTCTATATAGCCACTCGTTACTGTATCTCTAATAACTTTGTTACTATATCTACCAGTAACCGTTTTCAATAGGTGCAAATAACGTTATATGTTAACTCATTACCATATCGTGGTTGTGTGCACTATAAGATCGTATATTATCATTTAAAAACAATCATATATTAAAAAATAAATTGATGAAATAAATAAAAATCACATTGTATGGTTAATTTATTTTGCCTCACAACCTGTAAATGTTAATGGATGATCACGACCAAGTTGATGATGATGATTTATGAAAATAATAAAGCCCTAACTTTAACTTTCCACCAACCCAATTAAATAGATAAATAATTTTTAATTTTAATATAGTAATATAGGTATTTTAATATTAACATAAAATATATTAAGAGAAGACTAAAAAAATTATAGTTTAATCGTGTTAACTAAATTATTTTAATTTATATAAAAATCAAACTAAATTTATTTTGATGGTAAGAAATTTATTTTTATAGTATGAAGGGAGTAATTATTTTTATGATTATGTTAAATTATCAATAAATAAATAAGTTTCCAAACTTGATGTTTCTGACTCTTGACCATTATATTTGTATCATCTCTTGTCATTTTTATTGCTCTCTGGATTTGCTCATAAATATTTTTTGAGAAACGAATAATAAAGAATTAAAAATTATTACACAAGAAAAAAAAAAAATTGCTTTATGATCCTCCCAAAATAAATATATAGCAAAACTACTCTAAAAGTAGATTTAAATATAAAATTAGAATATTAGAAGGGTGAAAAATCTAAATCTAAAATACATATAAATTCTAATTAGAATGTTCTTTTTACCCTCTCTATTGACCGTTTTCTACTACTAACCAGCACAAGTCACTCCCACAGTATTGACTGTTTCTTGGTGGGGCCTATAGCCTCAATTGAAACTTTCATAAGTTCTGTTTGGCTTTCCAAAAAATGTAAAACAGATTTAAAAAAAGAGACAAAGTTGAGGAAAAATGGGAAAAATTTAACATTCGGTTAATTGCAAATTTTATTTTTAATAATAATTTAAATTTTTTAACATTTAGCAGAAAAATTGAACATAACCCATGTTAAATATTATGATTATAATCGAATAAATCTAATAATCATAATTTATAATTTAAATATTATTAATTAATTTGTTATATATTATTAATAATAATACAATTTTGATACCATTAAAACACAATTTAAAACTATACAAGCACATTAAAATATTACTAATACAAATTATATCGATAAATAAATTAATAAAATTTGATTATTTTAATTAATTCATTTACCATTTTTAGAGTATTCGAAATAATTGAATTACATCAGTTTTAATTAAATTTTCCATTATATGACAATGATAACAGCTGAATTCTAAGTAAATTGCATCAATTTTTTATTCAATTTTTCTGTTATAATTGAATAATACATGCTCTTAATAATTTTTAATATTGTATTGAAAACAATAGTTAATTTATCTTCTAAAAAAAGTTAATTTACAAGTCTTGGCAATAAAATTTATTTTAAAAATTTTAAATATTTATTAAAATTAGAAAAATAAAAGGAAAAACAGCATAGTAGCTAGTACGTGTCAAGATCATAATCCGTCAAAAGGAGGATTCAAAATACCAAACAAACAAGAACTTGACTAACTTTACTTTTGAATCCAAAACCGGCTTCTAACCGCTTCGGCTCTCTCTTCTTTTCTACGTCTTTAATAGATCAGATAGAAACTGAGCGGATCGATATTCTTTTGACTGAGCACAGCCGGCTAAAGCCGTCTTTACAGTTATGTACAATATATATATATAGATATATATATACGCACAGATTATATATACCGACATATAAAATCTGTGTTAGTGTTATACGCGTTGAACAGTCAATTAACCAAGCCAAAAAATATCCGTACTTTCCTGGTAATGAGGCCTGGCTTTCTTTGAATCTCTCTCTTCCTCAATTTCAATCTGTAGAGCTTTCAAGGTACTTGCTATCGATTGATTTCTGCTTCGTCTTTTCCATTTTTTTATTTTGATAATTGCTTAATTATGAGTGATTGAAGCTTGGCTATTGGGCGGTGACTTTGAATTTGTAGTCCTTATAGTCAAATTTTTGAAAAGTTTCATTCAAGGGTCTTCAATTTGGATTATTTGATTAATTGGGTATTTATAAACTGATTGGTATGATTTGATGGTTTATGTCAATGGAGGTAGCAGAAGAAATTGTGCTAATTGAGTTTTCAGTTTTCCTTTAGCTTCTGGTGTTGAATTTTGATTGTAAAGGAAGTATTGTATAGATAGGATACTTTTTGAATTGTTTTATTTACTAGCGCAGCAAAATGGGTTGCATTTCTTCTAAGGATAGTATCAAAGATACCCCAAAAGAGAGGATTTCACGTAAAGGGTCATTAGATAGGCGTGTTGCTCATGTTAATTCATCAAGAAGAGAAGAAGGGGTCCGATCAAACTCTAAATCAGACAGTGGAGATGTGAAGGTTATGCTAATTGATAAGAAAACTTATGGTTCAAATAGGTTGTATGATGATCAGATTGTCAAAAAGCAAATAGAGGTTCAGATCGAGGAAAAAAAAGCAGAAAATTTTGAAGTTGCTGTTAAAAGTCGTACTCAGATTGAAAAAAAGAAGGCAGAAAAGTTTGATATTCCGGTTTCTAATCATCCGGGTTGGGGAAGGGTGCCAAAAGGTTTGGAAGCAGAGCAGGTTGCAGCAGGATGGCCATCTTGGCTTGCCTCAGCAGCAGGAGAAGCTATCAAGGGATGGGTGCCAAGGCGTGCTAATACATTTGAGAAGTTAGATAGAGTATGCTCCTTTCTATGCTTGATGCCTATATAATATGCCTATTTCAATAAATGATCAATTCTGCAAATCATGATTTTATGCTTTCATAGTTACCAAAACGTTCTGCTGTCTAGACTGTTGTTGAAAACCAATCATTGCTAAAAATAGCAACAATTTTGAATTTGAGGTGGATTTTCTCAAGTTAATTTAGAACCTCCTTGTTACTTGAATTTTTTTTTCTTATAGTGCTTTCTGATGATACATGGCCACTCTAAAGTGAGTACACTTGCTCAAAATCTAATAAGTAATTCATGCTGTGGATGTCATGTCTTAGCTAACACTTTGTATTCCACAATATGGAGTTGGGGAAATGTTTGTATTATTTCTGACGTGTGTGCCTGTGCTTACTGTTTACTTTAATATCCTTATTCCTTACTCTTAAGTTTTGTTTGATGGGCATCTGATTCTTGCAGATTGGTCAAGGAACTTACAGTAATGTTTACAAGGCCCGTGATGTCACTTATGATAAAATTGTTGCTATTAAAAAGGTTCAATTTGATAATACTGATCCAGAAAGTGTTAAATTTATGGCCCGAGAAATTCAAATTTTGCGAAGGCTGGATCATCCCAATATAATTAAATTGGAAGGCTTGATAACATCTCAGACTTCTTCCAGTTTATACCTTGTCTTTGAGTACATGGAACATGATCTTACTGGGCTTGTCTCACTTCCTGGGAACAAGTTCACAGAACCACAGGTACTCTTGTCATGGTTTTCAATGATTCTCTCAATCTTCTGTACATCAGATATACTTCTGGATGAAATCCTTATTCAGTTAAAACTATCAATGTCTTGGATCCTTATGTTGTGCTGATTTTTCTGTCAGATCAAATGCTACATGCTGCAACTTTTAAGTGGACTCGACCATTGCCATAGTCATGGTGTTCTGCATCGTGACATAAAGGGTTCTAATCTTCTTATTGATAACAATGGCATCTTGAAAATTGCGGATTTTGGCTTAGCAAATTTCTTTGATCCTCAAAGTAGTGCTCAATTGACAAGCCGTGTGGTGACCCTATGGTATAGAGCTCCAGAACTTTTACTTGGATCCAACCGCTATGGAGTTGCTGTAGATTTGTGGAGTACTGGTTGCATACTTGGGGAACTTTACACTGGCAAACCTATTTTGCCTGGAAGAACTGAGGTACATTTCTAATGCTCTTTATTACCCATCAGATGTAGTTACTACTATGCTATGAGTTCCAATGAGAGTTCTAACAACCGCAAATGAGATTTCTTCCTTAGGTAAAAACAAACAAAGAAAAGAAATGGATGATAGATATCATCAAATAACTAAAAATTATTTAGATGGAAGATGGGGATAAGTTCTTGATCATCTCTACCTTTTTTTTTTCCTTTTCTGTTTTCATTTTTAAGCATAAGAAATTCCCACAGTGAGATTCGAATTTTCAAACTGCAGTTGCTACAAAAGTGTTTGAAAATTAACCCATATCTGTTTCACATGGTAGCCTGATCTGCCTCTGCTCTGGTTTTCAGGCCCTGTTAACATAGGGTTTAATGATGGATTGTTTTGTATAGAGTCTTAGATGTATAAATGTTTGGGCTGTGAGCCTGTGCGCACGTTGTGTATCATGCAATGGTATTAATTTAGGCAAAAATGTTATCATAATTTAAATTGTCTCTTCCTGTAGGTTGAACAATTGCATAAAATTTTTAAGCTCTGTGGTTCACCTGCTGATGATTATTGGAGAAAATTAAAGTTACCTCATTCATCTGTAATCAAGCCTCAAAGGCCATATAGACGATGTGTTGCAGAAACATTTAAAGACATACCTTCTCCTGCTGTTGGGCTTATGGAAGCTTTGCTTTCTATGGATCCAGCCAATCGTGGAACTGCAGCTTTTGCTCTCAGGGACAAGGTATAAACAATTTGTTATTTGGAATCTACTAAATAAGTAATATGAAGTTTGAAGAATGAGTTTGTGCATTTTGATGATAATCACATTACTCCTACATAACTGACATTCATTTTAGTTTCTGTTCATTAAACTTGTGTTGTATTACTCAAGTGGCACATGTTTATACAATTAGTAGTGCACGCACATCCTTATGCTTGTTAATGTACTTATTCTGCATAATTTTCTTTGAAATATTAGTTGTCAGTTTTAACCTCTGAGGTTTTGTGCCCTGTAGTCCTTTTGGAAAATTCTTGATCATTTAATTTCTCATCATTTAAGAAGTACTATATAGATGCTAATTTGCTTTCTGTTGTTAGAATGAACTACTTGTATAACTCCATACTGTGGAGATTTGATTTTTAGTTGTTTTGATTATTGACCTCGCTTGTCCCCCTTTTCTCTCTCTCTCTCTCTCTCTCTCCAAAAAAAAAAAAAAAAAAAAAAAAAAAATGTCCCCTTTTTCTCTCTCTCTCTCTCTCTCTCTCCAAAAAAAAAAAAAAAAAAAAAAAAAAAACAGTTCTTTCAGATCAAAAACCATTTGCTGTGTGATCCTTTTCAAGTTCCCAAATCTCCCAGCAAGAGATTGATGCTAAAATTCGGATGAGAAGCTAAAAAAAAAAAAAAAAAAAAAAAAAAAAAAACAGTTCTTCAGATCAAAACCATTTGCTTGTGATCCTTCAAGTTTGCCCAAATATCCTCCCAGCAAAGAGATTGATGCTAAAATTCGGGATGAAGAAGCTAGAAGGTACATCTTTTTGGTTGGCTGTCATTTATTAACAATCAACATTTTCTTATATATTTTTTTTAGTTGCGAGTTACAATATGCTTCCAGAAGGAAGTATGTTGTGTTTTGTGGCATGATAAAACATGGAAGGGGCATAGTGAATTTGCATCTGTATTTCTGCAGGCAATAAGGAATTGCTGAAAAATAAATTTTGCATTCATGTTTTTTGTCAAATACCCTTTTGTTTTATTTGGGTAGTTTTCCTTGTCTGCATCAACACATTTTGGTTTTGATCATATGCTTTGGTTGGTTGGTTATGTTTTTTATTTTGTAAATAAGTTGCTGTTTTTTTTTTTTTGTTCTTGAGTTGCTTCTTTTTTCTAGTTGCTGTTCCAAAGGGTGTTTTACTTGCATTCAGAAAGTGTTATATACAGTGTTACGACCTTCATTAATTTTCACAGGCAAGGAGCAATTAGGAGCAATAGGAATGGCCCACAAGAATCTGCGGCTTTTCTAGCATCTCATGCCTATCCCAAGTTAGCAACTATTATGCAGGTAACTCCAAACAGGGTTATATTGGTTTTCCATGAATCTCATTGCTGGTTAAACACTTAAACTTGCTGTGGAATCTTCCAAATATCAATATTTTTGTTTAAAAAATTTGAATTGAAATTATAGATTTGCATGCACAAGGAATATGCGATTTTTTTTTCTCTCTTCCCTTAGAATTAGAGTTTTTTCCTTGTTAATATCTATTTTGCCCTTTCACCTTAAAAGTTTTTCAACACAATGACATTTTTCTTTGTAAACAGGAAAAGCGTATTTCGAACGAAAATAGAAGACCTGAGATGTTCAATTCTCGGAAGGAGCAAAATGTTTCTGGCTTTCTGGTTGATACGTCTAAACAAACTCAAGGTGCTAAAGAAGGGAGAAGGGATTTCTTGGAGCATCAGCGTAAGAAAGTTTCATATTCAGGGCCATTGGTACATGGGACAGGCTGGACAAAGGATGGTGCAAAGGATCTTGATAATCCTCATGGAGTGTCAACTAGAACCAACCTGTCAACAATATCTGGTTTAGTAGCAACTAGAACTTCATTACCCGATGATCGCCAAGGAAAACCTAGTACTTCACAGCCAGAAATAGCAAAACAAGTAAGCGGGTATCAGGAATCATTAAATCGATTGGAGGCTACGACAAAGCAATGTCAAAAACACTATGTGCGTAAGCCTGCAGATTCTCCTCAGGCAAATGGTGGAAAATCCGGAGAAGCAAATCTGGTAAGTTACATGAGTTTGTTCTGTTTCAAAGCCTCAACTACTGATAATCATTTCCACTCTGTATGCATTTCAGTGATGTTTTGATATATATCCATTTCTTTCACCTAAATGTTAATTCATATTTTTCTCCAGCATGGTCGCGGACCAAGGGGAAGCAAGATTTATTTTTCTGGTCCATTACTGGTTCCATCAAACAATGTAGACCAAATGCTCAAAGAACATGATCAAAAGATTCAAGAATTTGCTCGAAGGCGATTGGACAAGACGAAAAATGGAAAAAAAGCAACAGAGAGCAATACATATGTATCTAAGCACGCAGGTGGATAAATCAGTCCAAGGTGAAGGATCGGGATGTAGCTAATCACTCACAGTTCAATGTATAGAGGGTGCTTTTTATTTTTAATTTAAATAATTATTTTGTAACTAGTATCCATAGGTAGTCCATGCAAGAGATAAGGTATATTTCTCTTAAATTTCTACGTGAAAATAGAAGAACTAAAACGAAGATTATGAAACCAAATCTTCTTTTTTATTTTTTTCTTTGGAGCAGTGTTATATAAACATTTTAAGTCAACAAATTCAATTCAACTTATTGGACAGTTAGCAATTACAGTATTGAAGAGGAACACTTCAGGGTTCAAGATGTAAGGAACTTAAAGCTTTATGTTGTTTGCAATAAGTGAATGTATAGTTTTAGAAGCCTTCGTACTCACTTTAATTTAACCATTGCACGTAACTCAACCAAAACCAAAGGGAAAAAGAAAAGTATTGGATTTATTTTTCTGATGTCAAAAACGTTAATTGCACCAGCCGGGAATCGAACCCGGGTCTGTACCGTGGCAGGGTACTATTCTACCACTAGACCACTGGTGCTAGATGTTAATTACTTAAATCTATTATCATTCAAAACAACACTTGACACTCTCCCGAAAATCGCTGGTCGTATCTAAACGCACTAATCCCAACTTAAGCACTATCTCCACTTCCTCATTAGCATAATCATCTCTTTGCTTTAAACCATCACTTATAGCACTAATTACCTACCCTTTCTCCATTAGCTGGCTTCCAATAACTTGTGTTGTGCTAAACCATAATTCACTAATCTTGCATTCATGTCTTCATCAAGTAACAAATTACTTCCCAACCTTCATGAAAATACAATGTCTCATTAGCCACATCTTTTCAAATCTTGAATCTTTCTCCCCAACTTGAAAAGTAATACTCTCATTAGAACTAAAAGTTATCTTGTCCAAGCTTCTATTCTCCATATATATATGATCATGAGATAAAACTAAACTTTCTTGGTCATGATTACCCCAACCTCATAATTCTATGCTCTAGTCTTTCTAAGCTTGAAATTTCAGCCAAGAATTCTCTTATACATACCCTTTTCAGTTTGATGAGAAATCATCTTAACAGCAACTTCTATTCCTCCTAATATATCCTTTTATATAGAGCTCTCCATTTCCTCCAAATCCAAGCTCATTTTCTTCTGCAAAACCCTTTGTTTGCATATTTTTTTTATAATAAATTCTCTGAGGCAAATCTCCAATTCACAATATGCCAAAACCTCATATATTACAGTGCCTAACCTAATAATCATCACCCCAGCAACATTAACCAAGAATCCTTTTGATTTATATATTGATTCCTTTGAAGACAAAAAAGAAGGCAAGTCTCTTGTAATCAAAGCATCAGCAACTGAAAAATGTGTTTTACTGAAACTTCATACCAAAATCTCCGAGTTTGAATCCATGTTCGAGGGAGACAGAAACTCATTGTTGTCTGTTATTATGTAAGGTTTTGGATGGTAAGCATCGACGCGGGGATAGCTCAGTTGGGAGAGCGTCAGACTGAAGATCTGAAGGTCGCGTGTTCGATCAACGCTCACCGCATATTTTGGTTTTTTTGCCTTCCTCTAATAAATGAACTAGAAAACTATGGGCTTGTGTAATCCAGCAAGAGCTCTAACCGAAGTATAAGGCTTCATTTAACTGCGCTTTTAAGCCCATTACTGAAGATCTGAAGGTCGCGTGTTCGATCAACGCTCACCGCATATTTTGGTTTTTTTGCCTTCCTCTAATAAATGAACTAGAAAACTATGGGCTTGTGTAATCCAGCAAGAGCTCTAACCGAAGTATAAGGCTTCATTTAACTGCGCTTTTAAGCCCATTAAAACTTTTAGAGGGTTGAAAGTTTTCAACCATGTTAAACTTTTAAGCCCATTAAGATCTTTAGTTTTTCACTGATTATCTTATTCCACGAAGCATCTTGTGTGATGTAAAAAGCGACTTTAATTATGTTTGGCAATATCCCTTTTATTTTTATTTTTAAATTACTAATCTAATCCAACATTGTTATATCCTAAATTATTATTTTAATTAACTTTATATTTTTTGCCGAACATCAAAACACAAAGACTCTATTATTTTTTGGGTTTCTTTATTTACTTGAGTTTAAATTGCAATTTAAAATTTAGGGATAATATAATTAAATTACGGTATGGTAAAAATTAATTACTTTGTTTTTAACCATAGTAAAAGAAAAATCAAGATCATGGCTTTGGATTCTTATTGATGGTTTATTTGACTGGTTGGGATCAATTTAGTGGAAGAATATAAAAAGAAAAACGTGTTTGAAATCGTTCTTTCCATGTTCCCTCTTTGCCATGTCTTACCATATGATATGAACGTATATGTGATTGATTTGATGGAGCATCACACGCTTTGCTATCCCATTTCATGTTTCCCCACGTGCGCTTTTGGGTCAATTTCTAAGTGGGGGATATGAGTGCAAAAGTAAGAAGACTCATGCACAAGTCTTATTGCAACCATTTTAACTTTGAAAAATACAAAGTCTTTCCTAAACTTTTTTTTCGGTTCAAAAAAAAAAAAAAAAACTCAAATTTTGTTTAATTTAATTTCCTTTGTGGCTTTTTTTATTATTATTATCAATTCCACCTCCGTCTAACAATTAATAAAAAACTATTATTTTTTTGAATTAAAGAACAATTATATTAAAAGTCTTCCTCACAACATCAATTTCACGAGTTAATCCTATAATTACCGTGCCATGCGCTTCAATCACTGAAATAAATTATTTTAGAAAACAAAAGTAGAGATAACATAGATTCGAGGCATCCAATCCCACGGTCACGGTCAATTTAGAAGAAATGGATGAAACTTCAAATAAAAAAATAATAGAATAAAAAGGGAAAAGAGAGAGCTTTAGCATTAAATATACTAAATTAATCATATTGATAAGTCTTAATGGGTATAGTAAACTAGGTCATGTGTTTTTTTGCATGCCTTGTCACTATATAATGCTTAGACAAAGAGATGATGATGATGAAGCTTCCCATGTATTAATTATAGTAATTAATGGGTAATTAGACTTATTAATTAGTGATTAGACCACTCCCTAAATTTCATTTTCATGATGTTCTTTTTCTTCTTTTAAGTGGGTTTATTATCATTTCATCCCTCAATATCTAAATATTATATAAAGATAATATAGAAATAATTGTGACAAAGAAAAAGTTATGAATAAAAAAAACACGAGTCATCATCCTTTATGGAAAATTTAGTTAATTAATTATTTCAAGTTGCAACACTTTTATAGGTTGTTTTCCATTATAGTCTTCTTACATTTAGAAAAACCATTATGACCTTTTCAATTTTAAATTATTATATTTAAAAAGAGTTTTATTGAAAGATTAATTAAATTTTAATTAATGAAAACATAGCAGTTTGATTAATATATTTATTGATAAAGAAGCATATTTAGGATAAAATAATAAATTTAAATATTATTCATGTCTAAAAAAGAAATCAGGACAACAATTTGAAATAGAAAGAATATTATAATAATACATTAAAATAAAAAAAATCATAAAATTAAATCCAACCACATCACCTAGCTAACAACTAAATGGTTGTCTTTACTAAATTGCATATGCATATTTAAACAACTCCTCTAATATATGTGATTCCTAGTAATTAAAAGATTTGTTTTGGACATCAAAGTATGATTTGTTCATGAATCTTAATTATAATAATTAGTAACTAATATATATATATATATATATCCTATGTTTCCAACTTGCTTCATCATGTCATTCTTATTTCATACATAACTTGTACTTAGTGTGTGTAAATAAAGGCAACTATGCCACTACAAGCACAAAATTTGTTTCTTTATTTCTAGTTAAGTTTGCTTACATCTCCTTGACTCTTTTTTTAGGAAACTGAAGATGTAACCTTTCTTCGAGTCAGTCATATAAAGAATGTAAACGTTTTTAGATCTCTCAACAAATACGTTTTTTAAAATTAAACTTATATATTGCATTTTTAGCTCTCTCGATAAATAAATTTTTGAAAAATTGAATTTATGTTCTTATTCTTATGGAGGTCGATGTTGTTTATCATCCCAATTAATATTATTGATTTTTTTTTACTTTAATTATATGTAGATTTTCATTTTTCAATATTGTTTAAAGAATTTGATAAGAATTTAGGAGAACAAGACCTCAAAAAAACAATTAGTTAGGTGTAATTAGCCATTATTAAGACAAATGGAATTGTAACCTTCTAAGGATAAATAAGAAGGCAAAAAGCGAAGAAGGTGGGTTTCTCAAGTGTACCACTTAATAATAATAATAATAATAATAATAATAATAATAATAATCCATATTAGTCTCAAACAAAAAAGTGTTTTGAAATTTACTCATAGATCTTTGTCAACATCAACATCTGTTTAATACAATAACTTGATTTTTACTTTACTATTTGGCTTTTCAGATCATACCAACAAGATTTACTCATAATTATTTATTAAAAAAATTATAAATTGGTATCTAAGCATATAAAGATTTTTATTTTCAAAAACTAATTATCATGTTCCTAATTTATAAAAGTGAATAATTTGATAAATTAGCATAATTGAAGATATTCATATCTTCCCATTCAACAAATAAAAAAAAAAAAACAATAACAAAATTATAAATGGCAACAAGTCAGTGCCTTAGTGTGTCGGTGGATCCATACTGTAATTGATATTAAAAATTGACTTAATGCATAAATTCACTCATGAATTTTACAAGTTTAACCTTGTGGCACCTTGAACTTTGCGGATGATTCATCGTGCATTTAAACTTATAAATTTTGGTAATATTACACATTTTCGACACTAATATCAATAATTTTTAGAATTTTTAACTTTTATTTACAAAATATCAACTTGATATATAATTAATATGACTTTCAGAACAATCATTTTCATAAATTTTAACTTTTTAATGAGTATTTAATTAATTTAATTTTATAAATTTAAATATTTAATAAAATAATTTTGAAAATTAAAGTGTTTAATGGATGTAATGTTATAAGTTGAAGTGTTTGATGAGTTAAAAAAAATTAAAAATGCTATAGAGTTAAAAAAAAAAATTTATGGATGAATTTATATATTCCACGGTTAAAAATTTATCATTTTCATATGATAAATGCTACTTTATTTGAAGCTGTATATAAAATATAATTGCCCACTTGGTGGGATGCATACCTAGTCTGCTAGTCATACCTTATTTCTTTTTGGCATCAAATAATCAATCTTCGTACCTAGTCATACCTTATTCGAACCAAAAATACTATATTCAATTGTTTCGGTATATGAATTTCATCTATATACTTATACACAAGGAGCAAGTAAGTTAATTATTTTCAGAAATGATACGTTTATAAAAAAAATATTTCATAAATCCAGGATATAGAATTTTTTTTTTTTTTATAATGGTTAACAAATGTTGGAAAAGGAATTATTGGTGGTGGAAATGGTTTTATTAAATTAATTATGGCTTGGATATAATTACTTTTTTTGAACAAGTTGTGGTGTCAATAAAATAATTTCTTGGTAGTTCCACCTATGATTCTTCCAATATGTGAAAAGCCAGTTAAATCAATTAAAGTAAGATCCGGAAAATCTTTCTCTATTATATTTATTTTGATATAACCATGAAGCTCACGTCAGGATAATGTATAAGTAAATATCGTTTTAATAATAAGCGAGTTCAGATTTCGAATATTTAATTTTGTGAAATTCATTAAAAAAAATACAATTATTTTCACTGATCCCACCATATATTAATATCCCAACCATAAATAATTGTAGTTCCGTTCAGAATATGCATGTAAGACATAATGACGTATTGATACAAAATTAGAATTAAGTACTTATTTCTTCTATACAAAATTATATATGGAAACTGTAATTGTCAAATCCAGATCTTATACGATATATTAAGTTCAAAATTGATCAACAATGATTACTTCAATTTAGGAGTGGCCAAAATCCGGTTTTCGGAACCAGAACCATCGGTTCCGAACCGGAATCGGAATCAGTCCAAACCAGAACCAGAATCGGTCCAAACCAGTTCAATTTCGGTTCCACCAGTTTTGGAATCGTGAACCGGCGGTTCCAACTCCAGTCGAAACCGAAGGTTCTAGTTCCATCTGAAACCAACCGGAACTATCCAAAATCGGCTGGAATTGGTCCGAAACCGACCCGAAAACCTGCCGGAACCATCGATTTTGGAACTATTGAGAAATCGGAACCGAAACCGGAACCGTTCGGTCTCAAACCGTAACCAAAACCGTTAATTTTAAGTTCGATTCCGGTTTCAAATTTTTTAGAACCGGAACCGTCGGTTCCGAAACTGAAACCGGCAGATCCGGAACCCTAACCACCTCTACTTCAATTCTTCAATAATTTATCATAATTTAAATAAATTAAGAAAATATAGTCAATTGACAAATTTGAATAGTTTTACTAAAGAAGGTGAAATACCCGAACGGATGACTCTTCGAAAACGGTATGAATAAATATTAAAATAGCGATGCAGCAATCTGTTTTGTATTGGGTGAAACAGTGGCCTGGATGGCACTTGATGAGAGGCTGAGCCCATCGGAATGTGCCGTTCCTAATCCTGTCCTATTACCAAAACTAGATTCCAATTCCATCCCCTTCGACTTGCAAAATTGTTTCATATTTTGTGGACAATAGCACATGCAACAAGCTTAATTCATTTTTTATATTTTGATTTTCTTTTTGTTTGTTACTTCTCAAAATTGAAATACAATAACGAAAATTATACTTCTTTCAGCGAAAAAAATAAATTATATAATGAATCGGTAATTTTAGACAAGATATTTAAAATAGAATTAATAGTACATAAGTATTTGCTAATATATAGAATTAGTATTTGTTATAGGATAAGTATTTTCAATTTAGATATCCACGTTCAGATATTTATTTTTTTAGTTTATATGCAGATACCTCTCATCCGTTCGATTAAATCTAATTATTTTTATCTTACATCAGACACGTTCGAGAAAAACTCGTGCATATATCCATCTTTCAATATTTAAGGCCACATATGAATATTTATGACACTTGGCAACTTTTAGATGGTTCATGCTTTGATTTTTATTATAGTTGGCCCCACCAACTCCCAGGATTAGGATAAGCCTCGAACATTTGGCCTTTATTAACGTAATTATTCTAAGAAAAAAAAAAAAGAACAAAACATCATAATCTGATAGTAATAGAATATTTTGTATATATCCAATAGTTATCAACCCAATCAATTATTGGGTAAGGTGACGTGGAATATAGCTGTCTTTAAAATATATTTAATCAATGTCCAATGCATTCTGCCACCTAAGCAAAATAAACAGACAACCTTCCATCTTCGCGGCGCCTCGTTCGTCCATTTAAGACAGGTTGGTCCCACTTGATGACTCAAAATCTTACTATAAATTTGGTCTCATTTCTTTGTGATCACTGGCCAGTTCAAAAAGCACATTTGAATGGCTAAAGTCCTGACCGGAAAACCGTTGATGAGTGACTGGGACTGTCGGAAAATTATTGAATTTTCCGACCAACAGGTAAGTTTTTCCGATGTTGTTTTTGGATTCTTAGAAGAAGAAGAAGAAGAATCACCTAAGATTTCTTGCAACTCCATTGATTATATTGAGGATGATGAAGATAATTCTTGTACTGTTGAAGGCAATAGAAAATTTTGGGAAACCCAAAATGAACTTCTTAAGGTAATTTATTTCTTTTAATAATTTTAAAAAAATTATAAATAAATATTTAAATATTGAATTATTAATCTAAATTTGGTTTCGATTTTCTTTTTAATTTCTTTAGGCAACATTATATAGAACTAGTTCCTTCGAAACAAAAATTCGCCAAACCACAAAAGACGCAATTAGGGAAATTAAGCAACTAGGGTTGCATTGCCGGTGTCACAATCCGGCCACCGGAGAGTGCCGGAATTGTTTGCGTAAAGAGATTTCATTGAGGCTTCGAACCAAAGGTTATAATTGTGCCATTTGCAAGTCCAAGTGGAAGAGCTCTCAAGAAATCCCATCAGGTAATTAGTATTAATTTAACCATATAGTAATAATTAATTAACTGGGATATTAACAATTTTTCCTTTTGGTTTGTAGGAGAGCATACTTACTTGGAAGTGATAGAGAAGTTAAGTTCCAAGAAAGGAGAAGTAAGAGTGGTAATTGAATTAAATTTTCGAGCCGAATTCGAAATAGCAAGAGCGAGTGAAGATTATAATCAACTGATGAACAATTTACCAGAAATATTTATTGGAAAAGCAGAGAGATTAAAGGCCTTAATCAAAATATTATGTTCAGCTGGAAAAATGTGCATGAAGGAGAAGAAAATGCACTTAGGTCCATGGAGGAAGCACAAGTATATGCAGTCTAAATGGTTAGGCACGTGTGAGAGGACAACAGTACCGGCGGTTCCATTGCCGGTGGGATATTCCGACCGGCCGGCCAAGCCTAGAGCCTCCATGTTAACTTATGATTTGCTGGACACTTTGCCTGTCTTGCACTACTACAGTTAAAGTTTTGTGACGGTTAAAAGAAAAAAATAATAAATTTGGATTTTTTTTTTTTTGAGTTTTAAAAATAAGAGTATGGTGTTTGCAAAATGCAAATTATGTATGAAGGTGAAGAACTTGTGTGAGAGGAGTGTAATAAAACGGAAAAATGGTAAGAATTGTATATATGAGAATTGATTAAGTGATATTATTTATTATTATTTATCCAAAAAAAAATCATTTATATATTTCATCATAAAAATTTTCATCGATTTAGTGAGAGTAAAAAAAGATTCACCCTTTATATGAAAATTTTTATGTCATTTTTTACTTTTAATTTAACCTTTGAAACACTTCAAACTCATAAAATTGTATTATCAAATATTTTAACTAGCAAAATTTTTCTATTGAACATTCAAATTTATAAAATTAAATCAATTAAATATTTATTAAATAATTAAAAAATTTAAAGATTATTATTTCAAAAGTTATAATAACCACAATCAAATCAATATTTTACATATAAAAGTCAAAATTACCAAAAAATTATTATTACTAATATGGAAATATATATAATATTATCAAAATTCATAATTTTAGAAGCACCGTAAATCTCCTATCAAGTTTAAGGTGCTACTAAGATAAGAACTTTTAAGTTCAAATTAATCTCCTGTATATATAAATTGGGCCAAGTTAATTGGGCCTGGACCTCCTTCTGTTGGGTCGGAGGTTGACTTCCATCAATTCAGCTTGGATTATAAATCAAACAATAAGGAATTAATTTTAAGGATGTGTTTGATAAAATTAGTTATTTTAGTAACGTTTAGCTGTTAGTTGTTTAAGTAGTTTTTTTATGAAAGCTAAAAGTTAAACGTTACATAAGTTAATTTGACCAGTATTTTTCAGTATATATTAAGTTTAATATAATTTAATTTTCCATTAATTTCAATAATAGGAAGATTTATGCTTGTAACATTTTAAAAGGTTGTTAGCCAATAGGCATGCATGGGAATTTAAATCCTCCTTATAATAATACTTCCTGCCAATAACTACACTATTTTTTTTTCTTTTTTTTTAAATGTTGAAGCAACTTTGAAATCCCCGAAAAAGTTGATGAAAAATAAAAAAATATCAAAATTAATCGAACGAAGATAATATATTTTTTTTACTCGTAAAAGAATAATTTTAATAACGATAATAATATTTATAAAAAGAAAAGTGTCCAACACGTTGAAATGTTAGTGGGATATTTCGTGGCATGGGAATCAAAATTTTTTTGAAAAAAAAAAAAATTTAGCAGTGAAATTATTCGAGCAAAAAATGTGGCAATTTTTGGCAATTTCCATGAAATGCAAACAAGAAAACAGACAAAGACACGTGTCTATCCCACGTTGTTTGTTGCAAGATAACGGCAAGAAAGTCAAACAGGTATTGGACCAGGTCACCAGGCTCTTAATTTGGTCATGTCCGTATTTAATAGGGCGTGTAATGGAAGTCAAAGTCTTTGTTGGTCAATTATCTGGAGCCGAAATTTGTACAGTGGATTCCAATATGAACGACTTATGGGTTTGCTGTGTGGTTTAAATTTGGAACAAACGTACGAAACGAAAGCAAAGATTTTTAGTGGGCTAGCGTATCATCTAGGAAGTTGCTAAAAAAGTAGTAGCAAATATTTGGTGATAAGGTTAATCAATTGGTCTTAATTATAATTTAAAATAACTATGATCAATCCGCTGTTAATTCGACGTTGAATTCACACTGAAATAATTTAATTTGTTAGTTAAGCACGTTAGATCTTACACTGATGATCGCAGGATCGAACATTTGAATTGATATTTTTAAAAAAATTTTAATATAATCACTCGGATTCTGAAAAAGAATTATTTCTTGTTACACCTGGTACCAAAAGAACAAAAAAAAAAAAAAAAATGTCTATCCGTTGTTTATGTTGCAAAGATATAAGAGCAAAGAAAGTCAAAACAGAGTATTAAGTGACAGGTTCACCACGGCTATATATGTGAGTCATTGTCCGTATTTAAATAGGGGTGTAAATGGAAGTCAAATAGTCTTTTGTTGGTCATATTTAATCTGGAGCCCGAATTTGTACGTGGATCAATATGAAATAAGTATTATGGGTTGCCTGTGGTGGTTTAATTTGGAAACACGTACGAAACGAAAGCAAAGATTTTTAAATGGGCTAGCGTATCATCTAGGAAGTTGCCTTTAAAAAAGTAACGTGACAAAATATTTGGTTTGAAACGGTAAATCAATTGGTCTTAATTATAATTAAATACCTATGATCAATCGCTGTTATTCGATTCGTTGAATTCACACTGAATAATTTAATTTGTTAGTTACAGACGTTGATCTTACACTGATGAATGCAGGATGTACATTTGATTGACTTTTTAAAAAAATTTTAAATAATATAACTATCATTCGGATTCTGAAAAAGAATTATTCTTGTTTTACACCTGGTACAATACAAGAACAAAAAAAAACAAAACCATAGATAATTCTTAATAGTAGTGATTGAGGTTTTTTCGATCTTGCTTTAATCGTTAATTTTTGATATTTTTCATAGATAGATAAAAAAAAAAAAAAAAAAACACATAATAAATTCTTAAATAGTAGTATTAGGTTTTTGATCTTGCTTTTATCGTATAATTTTGATATTTTTCAAATCAGATTAAAACACAAAAGGGGTTCAAATAGAGAGCAAAAATTACCTTTTTGTTTAATTATATTAAGTATGCTCGTTGAAATAATACCATGATAGAAAATATTTATCTAAACCAAGTTCATGACTGCACCTATAAATTAAACCAATTTTATAAAAATTGTTTCTACTTTATCCCTTTTCTTCTTAATGTATGACCCCGTTTCAACAACAATCTCATTTTCATTGATTTGGTTCGCAGATAGAGCTATAGAATCGGTCTAGACAAGTCTATTGCTACTGATTACGTATCTAGATAAGTCTATTGCTGCTGATTACGTATATATTAGGGAAGTGTAACTATCCTTGTAATGGTTGAGGCCTAATTAGTATTTCTTTGTGTTTTTCCTCACTTCAATTCCTTTTCCGGTCAATGTTTTCTTTATATGTTAGACGTGTTTTGCTGGCTAAGTCAACGAAATGGGAGCAAGATTTTCCCAAGGAAGCTACAAAAAATGCAAGTCCTTAATCATTCCAGCATCGACTAATTAATGTGCTAAAACTACGTTGTAGGTTATTTTGCACCTTTTAAAGTTATTATTGGACATACTAATTCTTACCTCCTCAATTTCAGCATTTACTAACTTTTTATTTTTTTTTAACACTTCATCCTTTTCTTTTCCATATTTGCATTTTCATTTTTTACATCTCCAACTGAGTAATGACGAAAAGGGCGAAATTCGAACACAATTTTTTAACACTTCATCCTATTTCATCTCTATTATTTATGTTTGTCATGCTGTTATATCATTTTATGAATTTTTAAACTTTTTTCATTAAACACATATTAATTAATTTTGGTAAAATATAAGAAAAAAAAAAAGTTAATGAATACAAGGATAGATTACTTAACTTAACAAAATAAAAAGATAAAATAGTTATTTTATTGATAGAAAAAATATAAAAAATTCATAGACGAATATAATAATATCATGTAAACAAAAAATAAATATAGCATAATGTATTTTTAAATATACAGGATTAATATATAGATTTTGTTGAAACATAACAATAAAATCATAATCACAATTGTAGGGTTGATACCTTAACTATCCTGTCTTTTATCTTGATAGAATCAAAACAATCTTTTTTCAAAGGGTGAAATAAAGCCATGTGGAATAAAACCGTAACAGTCTAAAATGGTGGCTGCTGCTGATGAATGATAGGTGACGTTCACTAGATGACGCCTTCTTCATTGCTTCACTCACTTTCTTTGCCTTTTTGGCTTTTTCTGGTTTTGCTTCAGGTGTATATATATATATATACAGAACTAGAGAAAACAAAAATGAAACATCTTTACATCTGGCAATTCTTTCATGGGAGACCTAGCTGTACCCTTTAGAAGGACTGTAATGGAGATGGGTACTAACAAGTCTTCTCCAAGAACGAAGATGCTTCAAGGTCAATCTGCTTCTTCAACAAAAACAGAAAGAAAGGTCATAGAGAAAAATAGAAGAAATCAAATGAAGACCCTTTTTTCCAATCTTAATTCCCTCCTTCCTAAAGAAAACGCCAAGGTTCTTTCTCTCCTTCTTTAAACATTAATTATTATATTTTTCTTTCTTCCTTCCTTCCTTTCTCTCCTTCCATGTGCATGTAGTTTGAATTTCCTTACCTGCACATTTATTTCCTGAAAGATTACAAAATGAGAAATGAATTTTCTTGTGAAGATTTCTTTGAATGTTTGGTTACAGGAAGCACTGCCATTACCTGATCAGATAGATGAAGCTATAAACTATATAAAAAGTCTAGAGGCAAGGTTGAAGAAATCCCAAGAAAAGAAAGAAAGGCTATCAAGCAAAAAAAGATCATTTTCAGATTACAGCAATTCTTGTGAATCTACTTCAACCTTAAAAGCACCTCAACTACAAATCCGAGAAGTGGGTTCTGCTTTACAAATAACTTTGATAAGTGGGTTAGACAACCAGTTCCTTTTCTGTGAAATGATTCGCATTCTTCAAGAAGAAAATGTAGAAATTGTTAATGCTAGTTTTTCAGTTGCTGCCAGTTCAATTTTCCATGTAGTTCATGCACAGGTAAACTAAATCACTATATATATATATATATGAACGCATATACCAAGATTACAGTTGGGATTTTATATATAATTTTATAACTGATCTGAGTTTTTTCTTATCAGATGAGGGAATCTGATTTCATGTTTGGAGGTGCAAAAGTATCTGAGAGACTTAACAGGTTAATCAATGGATCGACAAGCGAAATAGAGTTAGAACCAGAGTTATGGGATTTCAATGATCTAAATCCTGAGACATGGGGATTCTAGTTTTGAATTTGGATTTCTTGAATCCATGAGAAGAAACTTTTCTTGGGTTGATTGTAGGGTATAATGTCCTATATATGGATCGACAAAGCGAAATAGAGTTAGACACACAGAGTTATGGGATTTCAGATGATCTACAAATCCTGAGACATGTGGGGATCTCCTCAGTTCATTTGAAATTTGAGAATATCTTGAAATCACACATGGAGAAAAAAGAAACTTTATCTTGGGTTTGATATGTAAGGTGGTATAGGAATGTCCATAAATATATAATAATATATATATATATAGTGATATAAGCACTAGAAGCAAAAGAAGCCTTCGTTGTCAATTATTAATAATGGTAGGCATTACCAGCATTTGTCAAAATTTTTACTAATGAAATGATGTGGCATCTTTTTATATATAGAGCAAAGAAGCCTTGTTGTAATTTTAATAATGTAGGCAACCAGAATGCAAATTTTACAATGAAATGATGTGCATCTTTTAAACTAACTTCTTTAGTTTCAAAAAATTATCTGATCTAAATATTGGAGGCCAAAGAATAGGTGAAGAGTGTTGTGCTATTTTATGTTAGAAACTATGAAAAAATATACATAAGATCATAACTAATTTAAGACAGGAAGTTTGAGTTCAGCTTTTCAGCCAACATCCAGGAGGGAATATTCAAGAATCTAGATAAAAATTTTTCATTTCTTCAATATCTGACATCTTTATTCTCCAAATCTTCGTTGTCTTCTGAACCTTGTTGTAGGAAATTGAGGAACCCAACAAAACGGGAGATGAAATTACATGGTCAGTTCTTTATCTTCTTTGTGGTATTTTCCAATGTAGGATTTGCTCATGTTTGGATTTCCAACATCAATGTAAAATCCACCTCCTCCCTAAATGCAATTCTTTCATCTCCTTCATTAGCCTATAGAGAGGAGGATTCAGGAGCCTCGGCCTATTTTTCCAAGTGCATCGTCAGACTTAGAGGAAAAAAAAAAAGGGCAATTAAGAACACATAAATATTTTTTACACACAATAATCCTATCACTAATAGAAATTATAAGAGTTTAATTAGCCCTTGATTTATTTGTTTTTCATTTTCTAAAATCTTGGATGTAATTTCGCAGCGGGATAATTTTTTTTCAGATATTCATCGTAATATAATTTTTTTTTTGAAAATTATCATAATATAATTTAATAAATTTTCATAACAGATTTTGAAGCTTGGGTATACACCTTACTCACATATAACTTTAAGTACTAAAATTTTTTTCCTTTCAATGGAAAATGGATTTAAATCTCTGAACTCTAAGAGATTACTTATCCTTAAATTAATCTTATATCTTTGCTAATATTCAAGCATATAAAAAATGTATAATAAAATTTTTAATATTAATTATATTTATAATGGGTGAAATGTAAATATTTTTAAACAAAAAAGTATATTCCTAAATATTTATTACCAAAACTATAAGATATATTTCATTTAAAATCTTAATAGTTATACTCGAATGTTACCTAATTATATAAATCTCTATATAGCTTAACTATTATATTTTAGACTTATAAATACACGTGTATACACGTACTTGTTCAATGAATTAGAATTTCAGAATAAATACAAAAAAGCTCACTATATATATTTTTATGGAAATGAAATAAAGTTTAAAATAAATATTATAATTTTTAAAAATTGATGGAAAGTCCACAGCAAGGTTAAGGATTATGTTTTAAGCAAAAATATGTTTTGGATATCACCTTGATATTTCAATCAATCAATTGTTAAAAGTGAGTCAATTTAGAAGTCTCTTTGTTCAACACTATAAAATAAAGTTCAATAATAATTATGAAATACAAATTGAGATTTAAAAAAAAAAAAAAATTTCAATTTTGCCAAACAAAAAGCTAGTCTCAAACTCAAAATTGACCCAACTCGTTTGAAATTTTTAGCCCACATGGCGTCCCGAATTAGCCCAAATCGATCGGTTGCTGTTGAACTCTGTCTCCTTCGATTATAACCCCTTTTCTCAATCGAAAGACTTGTAACACGCTCGTCGGAGCTAAAGTAAACGGCATCGTTTTTTAAAATCGCTTCGGACGACGAGATGGCGTATTAATAGTCTTCATATTTTCTCCTTCCCTGGAATGGCTAAGCTAAAACCTTGAGGTTTTTCATAGGGAGAAATTACTTCAGTAGTTGCAGATAGCAGAAAAGAGAAGAGAAGAATGGGAACTTCTGTACAGGTAACACCACTATGTGGTGTGTACAACGAGAATCCATTATCCTATTTAGTCTCCATTGACAGCTTCAATTTCTTAATCGATTGCGGCTGGAACGACCATTTCGATCCCTCTCTTCTTGAACCTCTCTCCAGGTAACTCCTCCTCTCTCTTTCAATTCAAATTCTCTAGAAAGATAGTGCGTAAAAATGACTCCGGTTATTGTACTGTAGGGTAGCTTCGACGATAGATGCAGTGTTATTGTCGCATTCCGATACACTTCATTTAGGAGCATTGCCTTATGCTATGAAACAGCTTGGCCTTTCGGCTCCGGTTTATTCCACGGAGCCAGTTTTTAGATTAGGTCTTTTAACTATGTACGATCAGTATCTCTCTCGTAAGGTGAACTTTTTGTTTTAGTCTTTAGATGAGCTTGTTTATAGATTACGACTGTTTCTGCTTCCTGTTGTATTGACTGTCGTTTTGTATTGATTTTTTGTAGGCAGTTTCGGAATTTGATTTGTTTACTCTTGATGATATAGATTCAGCTTTCCAGAATGTTACCAGACTTACTTACTCTCAGAATCATCATCTTTCTGGTTTGAATTTTTCCGGTTTATCTTTTTTGCTTAATCAAATTCATTCCTCTGTGTGTGTGTTTTTTTCCTTTTTTTTTATAAGTTCATTTTGCTTGTTAGGGAAAGGAGAGGGGATTGTGATTGCTCCTTATGTTGCTGGGCATCTCTTAGGAGGTACTGTTTGGAAGATAACGAAGGATGGTGAGGATGTTGTATATGCTGTTGATTTCAATCATCGTAGAGAAAGGTAAACATTTCTGGGCAAATTATGGAACTGCTGCTGATTTATGCTTTATTGAAGCTGTTTAATTGAGTTGTGTTTTTGATAGGCATTTGAATGGAACTATTCTGGAGTCTTTTGTCCGGCCGGCTGTTCTTATAACTGATGCCTACAATGCTTTGAGCAATCAGCCTCCTAGACAGCAAAGAGACAAAGAATTTCTAGGTGTTTTATCTGTGTGGAGTGGAAATTTGTTTTCTGTTGTATATTTGCTGTTTCTACACATCATTAGTTTTTTTTATGTGCTGAAATTGTGGGCATGCATTTCTAGGCATGGTTGTACTGATAAATATTTACATGGAGCTTTTATAAGAATATTCTCACACTATTTTTTTTTTCTTTCTCTAATTTATTAGAGAAAACTATTTTAAAGACTTTAGAAGGGGGTGGCAATGTATTACTACCTGTTGATACTGCTGGACGTGTGTTAGAGCTTCTCTTAATATTAGAACAGGTTAGTGAAGGGAGCAGTTCTGGACTGGACTTTTCTTCGGTAGCCATATTGCAAATATTTTTGGTCTAATTTTAATGCAAATTGCAGTTCTGGGCACAATGTCTCTTGAACTACCCCATATTCTTCCTCACATATGTTTCATCAAGTACTATAGACTACATCAAGAGTTTCTTAGAGTGGATGAGTGATTCAATAGCAAAGTCTTTTGAAACATCTCGTGACAATGCTTTTCTGCTGAAGTAAGAGCTCTTTGAGTATTTATTCTACCACCTTTTTGTATTCCATATATCATGTTTTGTCTTCAGAGTGCCTTGGAATTTATCCTCAGTTTTGCTATACATATGTGTGCTTAGTATGATTGCACCCGCTAAAACTTTATATTGAAATTGTTAGGAACGTGACACTTCTAATCAACAAGACTGAACTTGATAATGCTGCAAATGGTCCAAAGGTGATTTCCTACACTTCTCAAATATTAAATTATTTATCTTTCTTTTTCCCCCCTATTAGCGTTGATGTATAGACTCAACACATCTGGTTTAGGTTGTTCTGGCATCCATGGCCAGTTTGGAAGCAGGTTTTTCGCACGATATATTTGTTGAATGGGCAGCAGATGTCAAGAACCTAGTGCTTTTCACAGAAAGAGGCCAAGTATGTTTTTGGTTTCCTATTTGTATATGTTGAGCATTTAAGTTAGTTCTTTTGGGATTGAGATGTGGAAAATGATGAATCATTTAACTACTATTGTGCTAATTAAATTATTGCTATAATTGACCTTTTGGGTTTCCATTTATTCTGTTTACAGCTGAAAGTTTCAGATGTTGTCTCTGTCTTCTTTTTTTGTTACTTTCAAACTAATAATGGTGCTAACAACAATAAAATGATTGGTTGATTTGAATGATATTGTACCTTAACCTTATCTTATCGAAATGAAATATTTAGCCTCTCATCATATTTGTTGTTGGAAAAGGAGGAAGAAAGATGAAGAAAAGAAACAAAAGCATGATTTTGCTCATTTAGATTGCTGCTCCTAGGGCTCTGATATGAATATGTTAGTTGACTGTCTATTTTCTACATTAGACTATGTATGTGCTTACACCTTGTCTGTGTACATAGTTTGGGACATTAGCACGCATGCTTCAGGCTGATCCACCTCCGAAAGCTGTTAAAGTTACAATGTCGAGGAGGGTTCCTTTGGTTGGGGATGAGCTAATTGCTTATGAAGAAGAGCAAAAGCGTCTGAAAAAGGAAGAGGAACTGAAAGCTAGCATGATCAAAGAGGAAGAATCCAAAGCATCTCATGGGCCTGATAGCAATTTAAGTGATCCCATGGTTATAGATGCTGGCAATACTCATGTTTCACTAGATGGTATTATTCTTCTAGTACTGATACACCATCATTGCTTTTCTTTTCTTTTCTTTTTTTTTTTTTTTTTTTTTTTTTTTCTGTTTTCTTTTTTTTTTTTTCTTTTTTTTTTGGTTGGGTGCCAGTATGATTTATTTTTTTTTTTTTTTTTTTTTTTTTTTTTTTTTTTTTTTTTTGGTTGGGTGCCAGTATGATTATGTCTTTGAACAGTATTTTTTCCTTGGGTGCACTACTAAATGATTATACCTCGCAGCAGTAGGTTCACATGGGACAGGATACCGGGACATATTAATTGATGGATTTGTTCCTCCATCCACTAGTGTTGCACCCATGTTTCCATTCTACGAAAATACCACTGAATGGGATGATTTTGGTGAAGTCATAAATCCTGATGATTATGTAATTAAAGATGATGACATGGACCAGGCAGCTATGCAGGTAAGTTTTATTGTGAAACGTCTGCCTTAGAGGTTGCATGTGTCATATTGATTTCTATTTGAACATGTCAATTTCAGCTCTTTTTTGCTTCTCTAATTTCTAATTTTGGTTCATGCTTTGCCTAATTTTTAAGATGGATTGTACTATTTCATCCTGAAGTTCACTTACTTCGTACTTATCTGTGCTTTGACCATGTGAATGGTTGTTTATTATCTAATAGTTTATCTCTCATCTTAGGTGGGAGGAGATATTGATGGAAAACTTGATGAAGGAGCTGCTAGTTTGATATTGGACACAAAGCCTTCAAAAGTTGTCTCCAATGAATTGACTGTAAGTTCAACTGTAGTTATCTTTGAGAGGGTACAAAAGAATATCATGCTATTTGATATATCATTATTGTACTTCTAGTGACTCCACTTAGATTTTGCCTCTTTTGTTGTATTGTGCTAGAACTACAAATTGGATGGAATCTTAAATTATGGAAATAGGAATTGTATTTGTCTGTGTTTTAGTTGACTGAATCTGTAGTCCACAATCGTTACCAGGTGCAAGTGAAGTGTTCACTGATTTATATGGACTACGAGGGTCGTTCTGATGGACGCTCAATTAAATCGATTCTTGCCCATGTGGCTCCTCTGAATCTTGTAAGAATTCATTATGTTAATGAACTTATTGGATACTACCTGTCATTTCATACAACTTGCACTAATGATTAACTCTGCAGTTTGTACTTTTCTTGTTTGCAGGTTTTGGTACATGGATCAGCCGAGGCCACCGAACATCTGAAGCAGCACTGCTTAAAACATGTCTGCCCTCATGTTTATGCTCCCCAAATTGAAGAGACGATTGATGTCACCTCTGATTTGTGTGCTTATAAGGTATTCTTCCACAAAACTATGTTTCACTGTGAAGCCAAAACTTCAGAGATCAAATTCATTTTCTTCCTATTTGGTGAGATATAGGTGCAACTTTCTGAGAAGCTGATGAGCAATGTGCTCTTCAAAAAGGTATCATTTCAATCTTATAAAAAATAAAAACTTGCGCTGATGTTGTTAATTATCTCTGGATAATTATCCCATGTTTCTGACATTTGTAACTTCAGTTGGGAGATTATGAAATAGCTTGGGTTGATGCTGAAGTAGGGAAAACAGAGAATGAGATGTTGTCTTTACTACCCATCTCAACCTCACCTCCCCCACATAAATCTGTCCTTGTTGGTGATCTGAAAATGGCTGATTTCAAACAGTTCCTTGCTAGCAAGGGTGTCCAGGTACTTTTCTATTTGCCCTTTCCCTTTTCACCATAAAAAAAAAAAAAAAAAAAAAAAAAATCTATTTGCTTTCCCTTTTCAACCATAAAAAAAAAAAAAAAAAAAAAAAAAACCCAGATCAATAATTTAATCCACAAATTTTGTTGTTTCATTTCATTACAGGTCGAATTTGCTGGAGGAGCATATTGCCCGCTGTGGAGAGTAATCGCTAACCCTTCGCAAATTGGGAATGTAAGCCAGAGGTGCGCTCGAGAAGCAAGCTCTTCTCTTCTTTTTTTCTTTTTTTTTTTTTTTTTTTTTTTTTTTTTTTTTGAATTTGGGTTTTTTTTTTTTTTTTTTTTTTTTTTTTTTGAATTTGTTTTCTTGGGGCTTTCTTTCTGTTTGGTGTTTTTAATAATAGCTTTGGGATACCTCTTGCTTGCATCTTTCTTTTTCTTTACCTTTTTATCCATGGGCTTGGGATTCTTCTTACTTGCATGTTTCTTCTTCTTAGGGTGGTGGTTCTGGCACTCAGCAAATCGTCATTGAAGGACCCTTGTGCGAAGATTATTATAAGATTCGAGAGTATCTGTATTCTCAATTTTATTTGCTTTAATTGAGATATGTTCTCTGTAGACGGATTTCATCTATTCTCAATTTTATACATATATGTTTTTTTATGTTTTGAAAAAAAGGTATGGTAAATGCGGTTTAATTTTATCGGGACTCCCACCATAATACTCAATTCCATTTATAATTTAACCTAACAAGTCAATTAATTTGTTGGCTTAATAGTTTATATTAAAAGAAATTTATGCCTATAATAATTTACCTATTTTTTATACTTTGTAAAATTGCTTTTATATGATATTTAATATATACAATCCCAATAATCATTAATTTTGGGAGGTATATAGATAGAAAATGAAATACCAGTTTGAGTAATCTATTGCAACGAGTTTAATTTTTTATCAATACATAATAATTATTATCTGCACAGTAGTAAAGCCATTGAAAAGTCTAACTAAAATATGAAATTTACTAAAATACTATTGTCATGAAAATTTGAGTAAAAATTTATTTTTTTAGATTCATTAGGAGTTCTGATATGCCGAAATAACACTACGCACTATACAATACGAGATAACTTTTCTCTATACTAACTAAATCGGTGAAAAAACACCCCCGTACCTCACTGAAGTGAGTAGACCAATCAGATTTGATATATAAGTGTAGGTAACATGGAAAATTAAATTTTCAATGCTTCCCAAATCCTTGGCCAAAATTACAAATGAAGTTGATGAAGATAAAAGATTAAGCAGTTCACTGCTTGCTCCTTTCTTCAAGGACTGCTTTGAATATTTTGTTTCTAGTTAGACAAATCTTTTAATAATTTTTTGGTTTTTGATGTGCAGTTTAAATCAGTTTTTATACAAAATTTTATGTAATTGTTTATGGTTTTATTACTCGCGGTGGCGGATTTAGGATTATTTTTTTCCGGAGTTAATATATAATTTTCTGAAAGAAGAGGGGTCAAGACATAAATAAATTGAATTTTGTGGATTAATTTAGACAAATATGTATGTATTAGAAAATTCAAAAAAAAAAAAAAGAAAGAGGGTCGACCCCTCTTTTTACTGAATGGATCCGCCACTGATTACCCAAACCTATAAAAGGGATCTTCTGATCCCAAAACTCGTTTCTTGTTTCGAAGGCAGCCGAAGAAAAGATGATACAAAAGAAAGTACATTCACGCGACGGAATGGGAGTAAAAACCAAAAAACAAGGTCACTACATGCTCTCTTCTTAAGGACTCTTTTGAATATCTTGTTTCTATTTGTTATAGTTAATCAAATTCTTGGTTTTGTGACATGCATTTTCAATATCATATGGTTTGGCAGTTAAGGGTTACCTTATGAAACGATCCGGATTCGGAGCTAAAGCATTAGCCTATATTACAAATGGATTTCATGAAGATAATAAAATTGGAGATTTTCAATTTGGAGAAATTTACTGAAAAACTTGTTGCGAAGAAGTTACTGTGAAAATATGAAAAGATGAAAGCAAATATGAAATGCGTCCTGACGAAAATCGAAATCGATTTTCTGTGAGTTCTTATGATTAGCTTAAACATTTACCACATGTTCTGTAATTTGAGAAGTGAATTCATTTTTAAATTGCATAGAATTTGATTTACATACATTCAAATTGAAGAAATTGGAGTCAAATAAACATTTTGATTCATTTTAAACAAAGATGAAAACTTTTAACTTTCAAATTGTATTTCTTAGCCAACTTATATATAATGTTATTGTATGGTATATTTTAATGCTACGTCCTAATTTTATAGGATGAAACTCGTTTGCTCGAGCATTTCATAGAAACTGAGTCTCATCCAAGCTTGGCAAAGTTGCGCGGAGTCTCCACAGATTCCAAAATTCTGGCCATTGTATATCACCTGAAGACAATCAATTCAGTGCATAATCTCCTCGAAAAAGGCCACATTTTTTATTCAGTTACTGATTACTGTTTATCAGAATTTCTTTCTTTTCTTTTTTTTTTTTTTTTTTTTTTTTTTATGTTTCATCCATTTTTTTTTTTTTTTTTTTTTTTTTTTTTTTTGATTAAATAAAGCTTATTTGCATTTACAGATAGTTTTACTTGGGAACAGAGGATCAAGGTTGCTCTTGGATTTGCTTCCTTACTGGAATTCATGCATGCTGAGAATCAATATATCAATAAATATATTTATTTTGTAAAATATATAATTCTTTTCCATTATTTTATTCTCTCCTTCTAAAATCAATATATCAATAAATATATATATATAAAGCAGACAGAATTTTTCTTGTGTTGCCACCTAGAATTATAAATTAATGACATGTGTATGACTTAATTGTTTATTTTTATATTTATTTGAAAATAAATTAATTTATAATTGAATTAAACCGTCTTAAATATAATTATAATCTGACATTAACCGTCCTTAAATATAATCTTGATTATATACGTTCAGCAGAATTTAATAGTCGTGTTAATTAATAATTTATATAACTTTTTAATGAATATAAAGTAAATTGACTAATTTATATGCTAAATTCTTAATGATATGGACATTTTTAATTATTTTATATTAAAATCTTTGTTATTAAATCTAAATATTTATAAATTTTAATGATATGGACATTTATTATTTTATATTAAAATTTTTTTATTAAATTAAATTACGTTAAATATAATTAATTATAGTATTAATAACATGATCAGTTGAAGATTTATACAACTTTTAATTATTTATAATAAATTATTTATTCATGAATTGTAATGAAATAGCGAGTTAATTATTTTTTACATTAATTTTAAAATAAAATTAAATTAATGACTTTTACCGCCTTTCATTTTACTTTTTTTATTTATTTCTATAAATTTTAACATTTTTAATCCACGTGTCTATCTACTAATTTTTACTTTAATAATCAAAAGTCACGCTATATTTCTTTTTTTTTTTTTACTATTGATATATATTTATAATATATTTTTGTAGCATAATAAAAGAAATTTTATTTAAAAATTTAAAAATTATATATATATGTATATACTCTGAATTTTATTTTATTTTACAATTTTGTTTTTAACTGGGCATAGAACGGTGACATTGGTAGTATTGTTGAAAAAGCTGAGAAGCTTATTTGCTAACAGACGAGAAGAACTTTCCAAGCTGGTACACGAAACGAAGGTTAGCACTTTTCAGCTGCCTTGATCAATTGCTTCATTGGGCCGGATAATTGGCAAATATACTACTAAATGATTGGGCCAATTAGGTCCAAAACGGCCCAAAAATTTATCCTTTAGAGTCCAATCAAAGACAACAAAAACCCTGTGAAAAACTCAGGGCCGGATGTAGGGTTTAAGCCTCCATCCCGTTTCTCAGTTCTTACCGTCTACCTCCGCCATGGCCCGATTCTCAAGAGGATCCGCCACATCACGCCTCCTCTTCTCCCTCTACTCTTCCACCGCCAAAACTACACCTACGTCATCGCATTCCCCGACCACCACCCTCCTCCTGGGGAATTTCCAACTTCGCCAATTCTCCAATCTCGCTCGCGCCAAAGATGATAAAGAGCCATGGTGGAAGGATTCCATGGAACGACTCCGTAATATTGGAATCTCTGCTCATATCGACTCCGGCAAGACCACTCTTACCGAACGTATCCTCTACTACACCGGCCGTATCCATGAGATCCATGAGGTTCGCGGCCGTGACGGCGTTGGAGCTAAGATGGATTCGATGGACTTGGAAAGAGAAAAGGGAATCACCATCCAATCTGCTGCCACGTATTGCACTTGGAATGGCTATCAGGTAAATATAATTATTTGATCAATAAGTCTAAATTTGATGAATTATTAAATGCAACGAAATGATTTGGTTTAAAATGGATTTATTAGGTAAATATAATTGATACACCAGGACATGTTGACTTTACCATAGAGGTGGAGAGGGCATTGCGTGTGTTGGATGGTGCAATTCTTGTGCTTTGCAGTGTTGGTGGGGTGCAGAGTCAGTCTATAACTGTAGATAGGCAAATGAGAAGATACGAGGTCCCTAGGCTTGCCTTTATTAATAAACTTGATAGAATGGGAGCTGATCCGTGGAAGGTTCTTAGTCAGGTATGTTCTTGTTTCTTAGTTGCTTAATTTGAATCTTTACTACTTGATTTTAACTTGAGGGTCAAAATTAATGTTGGGCTTATATATATTTTTTGTCTCTGGAAAATTTAAATTTCAATCTGTGTTTATTTTAAATTCACAGCAATCCAGATGAACCTTGATATTTTTTGCTATTTTAAGTTCCTTTTATGCTCACATTCTTCAACTTCACTGTGCAAAACCTCCTAATGCCATATTGCATAGTGTGAACTCACTTGTTGCTTGCCTAACATTGAGTTAACTATAATGGTTTATTCTATACCTTAGGCACGGTCTAAACTGAGGCACCATGCTGCGGCTGTGCAAGTTCCAATTGGGATGGAGGAAGATTTTCAAGGCCTTGTTGATCTTGTTAAGTTGAAAGCCTACTATTTTCATGGCTCCAATGGGTGCGGATTGCAATCTTGGGTTTTGTTCAGTGTCTTTTGAGCAGAATTCTTTTTTCTTATTGTTCTATTATCGGTTGCAGGGAAAAAATTGTTACTGAAGAAGTGCCAGCTGATATGGAGGCCTTAGTTGCAGAAAAGCGACGGGAACTGATAGAAGTGGTTTCTGAAGTTGATGATAAACTTGCTGATGCTTTTCTGGCAGATGAGCCTATTTTATCTTCTGATCTTGAGGTATGTCACGAGGCGAGGGAAAAATGTGGGTTTCTAGCATGGAGGGGGAGGGGGTGTGAAATTTTCAGAAATAATGATATTTTTTTTTATCTCTTAACTTATGAGCAGAATGAAACATTATATGAGCATGTTTGACTACCTTTTTTATTGTTTTTATCTCAAATGGTACCGCATGTTTAGTATTTGTGCTCTTTGTTATTCTTTAATTTTATATCTTGCTCTCTCTTCACTAGAAATTTTAATCTGCAATTTTATATAATTTATGTGGTCTTGAAATGTAGAATTTGTTTTTCTTCTTGAGTAGGAGGCAATTCGCAGAGCTACTGTTGCACGGAAATTTATACCAGTATTCATGGGCAGTGCTTTTAAGAACAAGGTTTGTTTTCTCTCATTTTTGAATAAATTATGTATATTTGGTAGCTATCATTAATCTTGTTATCTTTCTGTTTATTCACTATATTTTTCATATTCTGTTGTCTTAATTTAGGGAGTGCAACCACTTCTGGATGGTGTGCTTAATTATTTGCCTTGTCCTACTGAAGTTAGCAACTATGCTCTTGACCAATCTAAGGATGAAGCAAAGGTACTCGATTGAACATAGTTATCAAACTTTTAAATTAATTGGTCGCTCAAAAACCTGATAAAAGAGTTGTAGGTCATGTTGGCTGGAAATCCAGATGGACGACTTGTAGCATTGGCTTTTAAATTAGAGGAAGGGCGTTTTGGTCAGTTAACATATCTAAGGTATGACTTAAAAGTTTGTTCATTTGTTATGTTTTTCCATTTTTGGCTGGGATTTATTCTTTTATACTAAAATATTTGTCTGTTCACTTATACAATTTTTTTTTTCTTCAAATGAAGAGTCTATGAGGGTGTCATACGCAAGGGTGATGTTATAATGAACATAAATACTGGCAAGAAGATTAAGGTGAGTTCAGGCATGTGTTATGTTTCAGTTAGATTTTTTTTTTTTTTTTTTAATTCTTGTAATCTGTGTTTGTTTCATGCGATTATATTGCACTGCTAAAGCAAATTGTATAAGGCTTTTAATCACTTACTGATATAATCGTGTAATTGAGGACATTATGGTTTCCTAATTGTGGAGTGGTGTTCTAAATAAGATATTAGCATGCGGTTCTATTCCATGCTGTCATATTTTGAAAGCATTTTAAACTTTTTCACTCAAATCATCTAAATCATTTGATTAACATCTCCTTCTATTTGTTTGGCTAATAGTCTAATATCAATTTGGTATTAGGTTCCTCGCTTGGTTCGGATGCATTCTAATGAGATGGAGGTAAGTTTGGCAGTTCAATTAACATTTCTTTTATTGTTAATAAAATGTAAATATCCACCTTGAAAGAAGCATCTTTTGATTTTTTTTCACTATGGCTGACTTATTTTATATTTGTTTATATTTTCTTCGCTGTTGCTGGGGAATTTTATTCTACAGGACATTCAAGAGGCACATGCTGGGCAAATAGTTGCTGTATTTGGAGTGGATTGTGCTTCAGGTCTAATTCCTTTTGCACACACATGCATAGGACAATAATTTTATGTTATATAGGTGTCTAAGGTGAACAAGCATAAAGCAAAAAGTCACATGTAAAAGTTTCTCATGATAATGGAAAATGTCATATATGTGCTACCCATTGATAATAACACTGTAAAATGGTATGGCACAAGTGTGGAGGTAATAAAATTATTTAGCATGAAAATTTACCATTATTTTTTCTTCCTGCATCACACATGTTAGTATTTTGTATTTCCTAATTTGATATCTTTTATGCTAACACCATCTAATTGGGTTCACAGGAGATACTTTTACGGATGGATCAATTAAATACACTATGACATCCATGAATGTTCCTGAGCCAGTTATGTCTTTGGCTGTTCAACCAGTTTCAAAAGACTCTGGGGGACAAGTAAGTACTTCCATGAAGATGTACTTTTTCATGTTTACTTGTGCCAGTCTCTTAAGCTATTTATATATTTACATATCTCTTTTCCAGTTCTCGAAAGCCTTGAATCGTTTTCAAAAAGAGGATCCCACTTTCCGCGTTGGTTTGGATCCTGAGAGCGGGCAGGTTTGTCTGGTGAAATTGATGTCTTTGTTGTCTCTTAATCATCAGTAACTTCGTTATGTGAGATTGTAATGCCTTCTTGTGCAGACAATTATTTCAGGAATGGGGGAGCTGCATCTTGACATATATGTGGAGCGCATTAGGCGAGAGTACAAGGTTGATGCAACTGTTGGGAAACCTCGTGTGAACTTCAGAGAAACTGTTACTCAGCGTGCACAATTTGACTATTTACATAAGAAGCAATCTGGAGGACAAGGTCAATATGGACGAGTAATTGGGTAAGCGAAGATGATGTTCTTGTTTGTTTATCATAATCAAGCTAATCTAAAAGAACCTTATGGGAATCAAAGTAGTCTCTAGCTTTTCATCTCTTAATGCAGTCTTTTTTTTTTTCCATGTGTTTTTGTTATTATTTTTTGTGTAATTTTTCCGAGATTTTTTTTTTTTTTTGTTTTTTTGGGGGGGGGGGGGGCGGGGGGAGGGGCGCGCGGCGGCTTTCTATAGGAATTCCCATTATTGAAATTCTCAAATCAAATTTCTTTATTTGAACATTTCGGTTTCTTGCTCGTTAGCTGTTTACTAGTTATGTTTATTAGGCGGGGGGAGGGGCGCGCGGCGGCTTTATAGGAATCCCATTATGAAATTCTCAAATCAAATTTCTTTATTTGACATTTGGTTCTTGCTCGTTAGCTGTTACTAGTTATGTTTTATACTATTATGGTATTTGACATGATCCTTTTATCTTGGAAAATGATGCTCTGCTTAATTGGTAACTTTTACGTTATTGAATAGTCCATTTGCACACACACACAGAGCTGCCTTAGTACCGCCACATTTTCCTGGTTAAATCAGCTACCTGTACAAGTCTCATGTTTACTTTGAGAATTTTTATCAATTTCAACTAAAGACTTTACAAGGTTTAGTTGTTGCAGCATGAAGTAACGTTATATAAATTTTTTTCTACTATGAACAATATTTTAAATTTTCACTCAATTAATTCGTTTCATTGGACTCGCTAACTGACAGGTTTATTGAGCCACTTCCGGAAGGTTCAACAACCAAATTTGAGTTTGACAACATGATGGTTGGACAAGCTATACCGTCAGGTTTTATTCCTGCAATTGAGAAGGGCTTCAAAGAAGCTGCCAACTCGTGAGTACTCCGGTGTTCTACTGTGATAATTAAGAAATGCATACTTTAGCATGCATTTCCTGTCTCACTTATATTTGTCTTGTTTTCAATTTTTTTCTTTTGTTATATTATCTGTCGCAAGAAACACGTGCACTTGAAGAAAAATGATAAACAGACTCTAATTCAAAAAGCATCTCACTGTACCTTTGAAAGAATAAAATTATTGAACCACTGAACTCAGTCAGATAGTTGTACAATCTCAAGATTATTGAAATTATTTTGCAGCGGACAATGTACATTATTGTTGATTTGTTCAGCGTACCAATTGAATGATATATGTCATATAACAACAATTTGATCTAGTCTTTGTATTTCAAATTCAACATGATGCCTATAAAATGGATTAGGTGTACTGCTTGAATCCTTTGATCCTTTTTCTCGTTGTATTTGTGATTATAGATCTTATAACTTTGGTATTTTTGCTCTACAGCGGTTCTTTAATTGGGCATCCAGTAGAAAATCTGCGTATTGTTTTAACAGATGGTGCTTCCCATGCTGTGGATTCTAGTGAACTTGCATTTAAGTTAGCAGCAATTTATGCTTTTAGACAGGTCCTCCCTGTAACTATGTCTTGGGATGAATTCTTTTTTGCTATTGATTATACTCATTTTTTGGAGGTTTATAGGCCTGATTTTCCTTTCTTTCAATTTCCATAAATCTTTCAATTTCCATAAATCAGTGCTACTCAGCTGCAAAGCCTGTGATATTGGAACCTATAATGCTGGTGGAATTGAAAGTACCAACAGAATTTCAGGGTACTGTAGCCGGTGATATTAACAAGTGAGTGCCTTTATTTCCCTTGTCTTTGTAAGATTTTATTCATGGAGGCTTCCTATTTTTCTTAGTCTGCTCCTTTTGGTATTGAATTCATTACGTCACTGTATCAACTATAGGAGAAAAGGCTTGATTGTTGGAAACGACCAGGATGGAGATGACTCTGTAATAACTGCCCATGTAAGCATAACTTATCCCTTCATCAATTAATACATGTGGAAATTTACAGTCTTTTCCCAAATGACTCAAGATGATGATTAAGGAAAATTTCACTATTGACAACAAAGTACTGGATTATTTTTGGATTATCGAACCTTGGGGTATCAAACTGTTACCTGAACCTAACGCTAATGGTTATGACGTATTCTGTTGTTTCAGGTTCCTTTGAACAATATGTTCGGGTACTCAACAGCTCTCCGTTCAATGACACAGGTAGGCATGAGTTGATAATTCCTAGGATGTGTACGCAAAATGTTTTATCGGGAGGTTACTGATCCATATATTTATGCAGGGTAAGGGCGAATTCACAATGGAATACAAAGAACATTCAGCTGTTTCACAGGATGTGCAGATGCAATTGGTAAACACCTATAAGGCCACCAAGGCTGCTGAATAGATGGAGATTTTGATACTAGTCATAGTTTCAGAAAAAGATGCTATTATTTTTAGGTGATCATCAATTTTGTAGAACAATAAATTTGAATTGCCTTGTGGCTGATGTGTAAATTAATCAATTTTACAACCCAACAAGCTACGATGTCATATAGTTAAAATTGTTCTGTAATCATCTATGGAGAACAATAAATATTAATTGAATTGGAGAAATATAAATGTATCTTTGCATTGAGATTGTTTTCTTACATTCTTTCATCTCTCATTTGATTATAATAGTAATTAAAAAAAGAAAAAAAAATGTTTTCTAATGTCAACAACATTTCTTGATCTTTTGCCTTGGCAGAGTTATTTCTTGATCTTTGTATGTGCTCTAACATTAATTTCCACAAATATGTTGAAACTTGTGTTGTCCAAGTTAACAATTTTTCCAAATCATTAAATGTAATTAAATAGTTAAACATAACATGATTAAGCAATGCAAAATTTTGTTTTTCATGAAATTAGTTTCCTCGTAAAGTTTTCATTCAATTTCATTATTAAACGAAAAGTTTAACAGGGCTACAGATAAAACGAACCGTTTACCAAACTTACAAGTCTCGCAGTGAAAAATTTAAGCCCAATAGTAATTAATTGTAGTAATATTTCAGTCCGCCCGGTTCTTTTCATCAAGTCATAAATTAGCTGAAAAGACGACAGCCAAACCAGACGGCCACAGTTCGTTAAACGACGTTCGTTTTCGATGGGCAGAAAATTTTGGATTTCCCAAAATCCAGCAGACGATAAAAGGCAACATTTTGGATAATTTGTTTTGAATAAATGGTACAAAAAATAATGAAAAAAATTGAAGAAACGAAAATAATGGAATGGGAAAACGGTGAATTGAAAAATATTCATCAAATAAAACAATAAAAATATGAAATAATAATAATTGTTATTCGAATATCAGAAACGAAAATCTTATTCTCATGCACAGCGTAAAACTGTGTCAGAAGGTGTCCTAAGATTTTTGAGTTTCATCATTATCATCTTTAATGGAGTAAATACTTCAATTTTGAAAAAAAAAAAGAAAGAAAGTGATAACGAATCAGAAAGAACGCAGCGAAATGGATTTATTGATCATATGAAATAGATCATCACCCGTTCATTACTTCCATCATTTTCAATTTACCAAAAATAAAAAAATAATAAAGAAAGAAGAGAAATTTTATTAAAGTTAGTAAAGGATAGGGAGACATAGCATTGAGAAAATGTTGAGAAGAATGGCAGAAAGATATAAACAAGATGCATTTATAGGGAGTACAAAGTAGAATTGAAGCCCTAAATAGCCCAATAGCCATTTAATTTGGGCTATGACCCAATATTTGGCTTGAAAGAGGCCTTCAATCAAAAGAGATATGGGTCAGACTAAAATTGGCCCGGTTGAACCCGAGCGAAATATACATTCCAGCGATATAAATTTTTTATCGGGAAAAATACTTATTTAGATCCGATTTTTAAAAATTATTTCTACATTTGTCTTTTTCAAGTGTACGGATGTCCTAACCCTAAGGAGGCCCTAACACCAACTTAAATGTAAAGACCAGCTCTCCAACCACCAATCTTATCACATCGAAGTGCACGACACCCAACGCTTCTCGGATCAGATTTAGACCTATCGTCTAAATAGATTTAAAAAATAAAAATTGAAGAGCTGAAATCCAAGTTTTCATTACCTTCTTAGTGCAATCAAGTAGGAGAATTCCAAAAGTAAGGTTCAGTCTTCTTTACCTTTAAAAAAAGAAAAGACACAGTCTTAAGCTTTTATTCATATATAGCAAAGTCGAAGAGATTTTATTAATTAGGACTGCCAGAGCACTATTAATTTCAAGCCCAAATAACTGACCAAACCATGCTTTTCGGTTTGATTATGATTTGGTTCGGTTTAATTTCGGTATTTAGATTATTTAATTTTTTTCAATTTCGTTAATTTCTAACTGAGAAAAAAGAATTAAAATAATTAAACAAACTAATTTTTTATTTATTTAAAGAAAAGAAAGAAACTTGTGAGTTGCACCGACAGCTGGTTAGCAGCCAGTTCTTGATTGCTCATTAATTGATAGGTTTGAAAAGTCGACCTATGGATGTCTAAAATTTTGAATGTCGGGGCCACTTTTATTTAATTCACTCAGTATTATTTATTATTTTAATAGTAAATATAATAATATTGACAAAAAAAGTTAATTTGAAAAAAAATATTAGCAATATAAGTTACGTGATTTACTAAAAAAAAAAAAAGATGGTAAATATTTATGAAAGGCGAGTCTATTTGCAGTGATTTCACCGACCCTAACCATAAATCGACTCAAAGCCATCAATAAAACCAAAAGCAGAAGACAAGGAAATAAATAATCACATGCAATTCTCACCAGAAAAGAACTTTATACATTTATGCCAGTCTGCCAGTAGGGTTCTTGCATGCTATAAAAAAAAAAAAAATTAGCATTTGAAGTTATTAAACCAAAGTAGAGTGGAATAAGTGAAGCCCAAGAAAATAAATCTATGGAGTTTAATCAACAACAACAAGAAGAAGAAGAAGAGGAAGAAAGATTTGCAGAACCTGTGAGTCCAACAGGGCAATATTTCAACAGCTCAGTTCTTTCCATTTGTGTTCTTGCTGTTTTGGAATCACAAGTTCCAATAGATGACTCGCCCACCATGACTTTGCTTCAAGATGTCTTTCTCCCTATCAATCCTCGCTTTTCCTCTATTATGGTATATATCTCTCTCTGTAATTAAGCTTGCATCCATGTTTAGAATTTACGAGCATATAATAAATTTTTATCATAAAACAATATTCTTTCTTCTACACTGTATATTGAGTTTTATGAATCTAGTAGTTTCATAATTTTATTTTTGTTAATTGGGATCCAATTAACATTTTTTTTTTTTCATATAAAAATGGACATGAAATACGTTTTATTTGTAAATAAATTTTGTTAAAAATATAATTTAACTAAAAAAAAAATCTGCATGCATGTTCAGATTTAAATGCAGAATTCATTTTGTACATATATTTTTTTTTTTTTTCATATTAAAAAAATGGACATGAAATACGTCTTTATTTGTAAATAAATTTTTGTTAAATATAATTTTAACTTAAAAAAAAAATCTGCCATGCATGTTCAGATTTTAAATGCAGAAATTCATTTTGTACATTAATATACATACCTATATATTATATATATATATATTATATATATATATATTATATATATATATATATTATAATTTGGGTTATGTTCATTTTGTATATTTTCATTAATTTTTTGATAGAATTTAATTCTATCAAAAGAACAAAATATATTTGGGTTATGTCATTTGTATATTCTATTAATTTTTGATAGAATTTAATTCTATCAAAAGACAAACTGTCTTTGAAAACTCATTTTCAAATTTTTGATTGGCTTATTTTGACAATGTACTTCATCAGAATACGATCTGCAGCCATTTATGAAACGTGTGAATGCTACACCTAACTTATTCAATTTAGGTCATTAAAAGAAAGCTAAAATGTCAGATGTATAGTATTGTACTTAAATTTTTCTATAGCTCACATGTTTTAATTAATTGTACTACCTACTGAAACTTTTGTTATCCTTTAAAATAAGTTAAAATTATTGTCATGTCTTTAAACCGTATTATGTTTTTCTTATTTCTGTCATTAAATATCTTATTTTTCCGATAGCTCACATGTTTTAATGAATTAATAAACGTTAATGAACATTTTGAAATTTTTTAAAAAATTTTAAAGTATGGGAATTTCACTAACTACTGAGCATTTTATAACAGGTTAATGACAAAAATAATGGTGGAAGAAAATGGAAGAGGGTTGAAGTTAAACTAAAAAACCATGTTAATATCCCTAATTTTCCTTCAGGATTATCACCAAAAGCTTATGATAAATATTTCAATGACTATATATCAACAATAGCTTTAGAACCTCTTCCTCAAAGCCAACCTTTGTGGGAAATTCATATAATAAAATACCCAACAAGCAAAGCAGCTGGGAATGTCATCTTCAAGCTTCATCATGCACTTGGAGATGGTTTTTCTCTTATGGGAGCTCTTCTTTCTTGTCTACAAAGATTAGATAACCCTAATCTGCCATTGACATTTCCTTCACTTCAAATACCTTCAAAACCTGAAATTATTATCAGCAAGAACAAGAAGAAGAGCATTATACCTAAATCTTTTAATTCAATTTTTAATACTATGTCTGATTTTGGATGGAGCCTTCTTAAGAGCAGTTTGGTTGAAGATGTGAAGTCCCCTATCAGATCAGGGGATGATGGTGTGCAGTTTAAGCCTATTTCTTTATCAACTGTCACATTTTCTCTTGATCGCATCAAACAAATTAAGGCTAGGCTTGGAGTGGTAAGTTAGTTCTTAATTATTTTATTCCATTTATTAATGTTTTTACTAAATAGTGTATTAAGAATCTATATATATAATTTGAAGCATGAGTACAAAAAAACTCTGAACGCAACGGTAATTAGAGTTTTCTCTAGAAATTTTAAAACGAGTTGATTTGTCCGGACCAATGAAAATAGAAATTTTTTAAAATGAAGATCTCTGATCATACAAGTATAATCTTTCTTTCGGATTAATATTAAAATTTAATTCTGCTTTGTTGTTGCTTTTGGACAGACGATAAACGATGTAATTACTGGTATAATCTTCTACGGAATTCGATTATACATGGTAGAAGTTAATGATAGATTCAGCAATGCACATTCAACAGCATTGGTATTGCTGAATACGAGGGCAATTGGTGGGTACAAATCGGTGAAGGAAATGGTGAAACCTAATGCTGAGTCTGCATGGGGGAATCGGTTCGGGTTCTTGCATGTTTCAATGCCTGAATTAACCAAGTCTGCAATTTCCAACCCACTTCAGTTCGTTGAGAATGCAAACCAAATCATCAAAAGGAAAAGAAGCTCTCTTGCTGTTGATCTCACTGGCAGGCTCCTCGATGCTCTACGGAAACTTAGAGGCCCTGAGGTATGTGCATCATCTTAGTTGCATAAAAGTATTTTCTAGTCAAATTATCGGATTAAAGGGAGTGAATTGTATTCAGAGGCGGGTTCGAAACCTAGAGTTGTTAGTTCTAATTAGGACCATTATTAGTGTTTAGTAATAAGCGATTAGATCAACGGAAGTGAATTGTATTCTCAGGCGAACCTTACCTATAAGGTTAGGGTGCGAAACCTGGAGTTGTTAGTTCTAATTAAGATCATTACTAGTATTTACTAATAAGCGATTAGATCAACGGAAGTGAATTGTATTCTCAGGCGAACCTTACCTATAAGGTTAGGGTGCGAAACCTGGAGTTGTTAGTTCTAATTAAGATCATTACTAGTATTTACTAATAAGCGATTAGATCAACGGAAGTGAATTTACTAATAAGTGATTATATCAATAGAATTGAATTGTATTCTTAGTCGAACTTTACCTGTAAGGTTAAAGATTTGAAACTTGGAATTGCCAGTTCTAATTAGGATTCTTATAATGTTTAAGAATATTAACAGCTATGGGTATAAATGAGTGGAGCTGTTTGAGCTCGGCTAAAGAAAAATTCAAAAAAATTTGGCTCAAATTGAATTAGAGCTCGAGTTCAAGCCTAATAATGTTCAGTTTGAAAGCTTGTTGACCTTTATCGAGCTTTCATATATACATACATATATATATAATATTTATTTTAAATCTATTCGAGCAACAAATCTCAAGCTAGAATTTTCAGACTCATTGAATTTTCAGCTAAGCTCGAGCCGAACTAAATTCTATCGAGCCTGACAAGTTTGAGCTTGAATTGGCTTGTTTACGCTCCTGATAATAGTTCGGTGCGTGCTGTGAAATTGATTTGGATAACAAATTGTTGTTTGGGATTGCAGACAACAGCCAAGTACATACATAGCACATTGAAGAACTCAAGCATGACAATCTCAAATGTAATTGGCCCTGTCGAATCCATGGCTTTAGCTAACCATCCTGTTAAAGGTCTATATTTTATGGTGGTCGGTGTACCTCAGGTAATTACTCTATTAAATTTTAATAATATTATTGTTGTGAAAAGATTAATTATATAGACAGAAACTGCTCGAACTGATTCATAACTTGCTTTTGAATGGGTTGCAGAGTCTTACTATAACGATGGTGAGCTATACAGGACAGCTTAGAGTCGCGGTTGGAGCAGAAAAAGGCTTCATAGATACTCAAAAGTTCAATTCGTGCATAGAGAATGCCTTTGAAATGATATTTAAGTCCGCTTGTGAAATACCTTTTGAAGGAAAAATTAATTAACTAATTTAAGAACTTAATTATATTTTGTTTATTCATTATTATGATTTGTTTTACTCCTATATAAATTTTGTTACTCCTATATTTATGTAACTGATATCCACAATGTATAAATAAATATTTTATATCTGTAAAAATAACTCATTTATCGCTGCCTTCAGTATAGTCGGTATATATTTTTCAAAATGGGCTATCGTCAGCCCAATAAAGAGCCCATGAAAGGGACAAGATATCAGCCCAGCGAAATGTCTCACCATCTTCCTGCAAAATCAAATCCATAAATTCATAACCTAGTTGAAATCAAATTCACTTGACTATGATAAATTCATTTATTTTATATATTTTGCAGTTACAAGAAGTCTATTGAGGTTATAGTAAAACCCTAAAGCAGAATCAATTCGGCTCAATTCTTGAATTTATCCTTACCTAAATTAAAACAAAAGATTGACTTTTATCTATCAAGAAAGCTCAAGAAATTGGTGGTTAGGCTGGAGAATATAACGATTATTAATTTCTCAACTGCACTGATGCTGGTCGCTAGCAGCTCAACATCCATGAATCAATAAATTCTAATCTCTACTTCTAGAAAATCCAAAAAATTAAGTTAAATGGGAAACAAGATAGCAGATCTTTCCTTGTTTTTCATTCTTTTGTTGAAAGACGATCTCCACTTATTAAATATCCTTTTTGTCGATAAGAATGCATTAATTACTTATATAAATATGTAGTACTAACAATTAACAAACCTAATTACAATAAATTAATAATTGTAAATGAAAATTAGTTCATTATTTTAGTTTCATTTCATCTTTGTATTTTTCTTTTAATGATATATCAGTAAATAAAGTATTGGTTGGAATGGTAAGCGTTAACCGCCTTTGTTGAAAACAAATTTTAAAAAAAAAAATAGTTTAGCTCAATCCCACATCGGGGAGAAGAGTTAATGGAGGGTGGTGAATTGTCTATAAAAGAAAGCTAATGTTTAGCTTTCTAAACACACCAAAACACACCAAAAACATTTAAATGTGTTTTATATTAGAGATTTAGAGCAAGTCTCCTGATGAATGTGTTTTATATTAGGGATTTAGAGCAAGTCTTCTGATGAATATTTTTCTTGATTGTTGTTTGGCAACGGCCGTGGTTTTTCTCCACTTGGGGAGTTTTCCACGTTAAACTATTGTGTTATTTATTCTCTTTAATTTCTCAGTCATTATTTGGCAACGGCCGTGGTTTTTTCTCCACTTTGGGAGTTTCACACGTTTAAACTATGTGTTATTTATTCTCTTTAATTTCTCAGTACATTATTTTATTTTCTCATTTGTTTCTGCTTTTGAAGCCGATTCCGAAGGGCGGGAAAATATATTTATTCTCTTTAATTTCTCAGTCATTATTTTATTTTCTCATTTGTTTCTGCTTGAAGCCGATCCGAAGGGCGGGAAAATAGCGATTTTTCCAACAGTAAGCAATATCAAACTTCTATAGAAGTGATAACGTTAAATTCGATATCCAAAAATGCATGTACTAAGAAGAATAAAAATCTTCTGAAAATAGATTATAACCTAAACAAATTAATGTTAGTATAAGCAATTACCTCAATACATGAGAAACCATTAAATACAGTAGACTTTTCAGTACATGTCTGATTCCATTCCTTTCATTTGGCGGTGTTAATCCTAAATAAGTCGTCACCGTTTGTTATGAGCAGGTATACGTGGTTTAACTAACACCCAGCAGCTAACTAGTTCAAATCTTTTATTTCTTAAAATTTCTTTTTCTTGACTTTTAAGAGAATGAATATTTCAACTAATTTTAATTAGTTAGTTATTAGCCATTGATTGCATGAGATTGACCTTTAAAAATACAAGGGCAGCTTCGCCAGCTTATCCCCATTTGTCGTCGGAGTTTCTGGATGCTCTCTTCAATAATTTCTTTTGATGATATATTTTATATATATATAAAGCCAAATATATAAATTGAGACTTAAATATAAATAGGAAAATACATATCTAAATGAAAATAGACATTTTGAAAATTTTATTTTATCATTTTTATTCTCGGTATATAGTAAGAAGTACAATAGTTTTAAAAAAAAATTTTATTTTCATAGGCATGAGTCATGGTCAAAGCATTCTATAAATATATTCTCATGCACGACTTCTTGATTTCATATGTAGAACAAAATAGGTTAATTAACTGTAGTTGAAGTGCGCATACAAAAAATATAGTTGAGAAAAAAGAAAATTGTAATGGAGACAGAGCAAGAAGTAATATTAGAACCTGTAAGTCCAACAGGACAATATTTAAGCAACTCAGTTCTATCACTTTGTATTATTAGTGTTGTTGAATCACAAGTTCCAATAGATGACTCACAAGCTATGTCCTTGCTCAAAGATGTCTTCCTCCCTATCAACCCACGTTTCTCTTCTGTTATGGTAATATCTCTATCTATCTATCTATCTATCTATTTGTATATTAATGTAAAATGTCTAAAAATACATTAAAATCACGTGCATATTTACCTTGGTAACCAACAGGTAATGAACAAAGATGGAGAAAAGAGATGGAAGAAAGTAGAAGTGCAGCTTAAAGACCATATAAAAGTGCCCATTTTCCCTACTGGAATGTCGACAAAATTTTACAGTGACTGCCTTGATGATTATTTATCAAATTTAGCAATGGAAACATTGCCCCAAGATCAACCCTTATGGGAAATTCACATATTAAAATACCCAACTAGTACAGAAGTAGCTGGTAATGTAATCTTTAAGCTTCATCACTCTCTTGGAGATGGCTTCTCTTTAATGGGAGCTCTTCTTTCTTGCTTACAAAGAGCTGACGATCCTTCAATTCCCTTGACTTTTCCTTCTGTTCAATTGCACACTAATATTGAAAGCAAGAAGAAAAGTATATGCAAGAGTTGGCTTAGAATTTTTTCTTCAATATCGAATACCATATCAGATTTTTGTTCAAGTGTTGTGATTAGTAGTTTTCTTAAAGATGATATATCGCCGATACGATCAGGGCATCCTGGAGTGGAGTTTTTGCCCGTTAGCGCAGTGACAATGTCTTTCTCTCTTGATCAAATCAAACAAATCAGGACCAAACTTGGAGTGGTAAGTATATCTTTAAACCAAATCTCTTGATATGTCAGTTTGCGTAGTTATATATATCACCAACTCTTGATACGTCTTAATGAAGTAAATTTTGTTCTCTTCGTAACAGACAATAAATGATGTGATTTCCGGAACAATTTTCTTGGGAACTCGAATGTACATGGAAGCAATGAGTAAAGGATCAGGAAAAGCCCGAACCACAGCATTAGTTTTGCTAAATACAAGAATGTTTGGAGGTTACAAGTCAGTTCAAGAAATGACTAAACCTAATGCAGAGCTGCCATGGGGCAACCATTTTGCCTTCTTGTCTGTATCAATTCCGAAATTGAGTGGTTCAGAACCCAAAGACCCTCTCCAGTTCGTTTGGAAAGCAAGAAAAATCATCCAGAGAAAAAGAGCCTCTTTTGCTGTTTATCTCACTGCAAAATACCTTCAACTTGTAAACAAATTCAGAGGCCCAGAGGTATGGTTTAAGTAATCTTTATTCATCAAACTGATCGATGGATGAAAAAAAAAAGATCATGTCTTCTTGTTCTAAATTACAGGCGGTATCGAAGTATCTTCGTAACACGTTGAAGAACTCAAGTACGGGACTTACAAATTTAATAGGGCCAATGGAACAGATGGCTTTAGCTAATCACCCAATTAAAGGCTTCTACTTTGTGGTTACTAATGCACCTCAGGTACATGTTTATCAATCCCAGAAAAGTTCTATTTATGAAGAGAATTTCGTAATAAAACAAAAATTTCTTTAATGGAATTGCAGAGTCTGATGGCAGGAATAGTAAGTTACATGGGAAAGCTTAGAGTTGCTGCTTTAGTAGAAAAGGACTTCATTGATCAACAAAAGTACAAGTCTTGTATAGAAAATGCATTTGAGATGATATTCAAAGCTGCATGTGAAGCTCCTGCACCGCAAAATTAATGACACAAGCTGCTAGACGCCTCATTACAATTTAATTTCTCCAATTCTTCCTTTTTTTTTTTTTTTTTTTTTTTTTTTTTTTTTTTATTTAATTTCTCCAATTCTTCCTTTTTTTTTTTTTTTTTTTTTTTTTTTTTTTTTTTTTTTTTTTTTTTTTTTTTTTTTTTTTGAAAGATATGTTTCAGGTTCATAATAGCTTATTTGATTTCCAATTTATCCATTCAAATAATAAAAAATAAGCTTATTTATTTAAATTGAATCAATAAGCTAATATAATTTATTGGATAAAAAAATAAAATTACCTTTAGAATTATAAAATAGCATTATATATCACTTTTTAATTATTTAGACAGTGGATTTAGATTCAAAATTCGTCTCAAACGAATTACGTCTAAAGTACATATTGTCCATTCATCTAGCTAATATTGTTATCAAACTCCTGATTAATTAGGATGACGATGAGAATTATATATATATGTGTGTGTTCAAATTGCAAATAGCATACAATTTATCTAGTCTGTCCTAATAATCATAAGGTTTTAATTTACCTAAACGACATAACGTTTAAGGCAAACATCACAATTTTCAGCCCATTCATTGGTCCAGCACTGGCCATGTTATTATTTGGGTCAATACAGGTTGTAGACGTATATATCCTCTTTCAAATATTAACAGCTCAATCATATAAACACCAACGTGGCAAGATATCAATTTTTTTTATTACCAAATCTTAACTATGCCACTATATTAAAGTCCATTTTTTTGCTATGCATATATCAAAATATTCATATCCAAAAAAAAAAAAAAAAAAAAAAAAAAAAAAAAAAAGGCCAAAAAAAAAAAAAAAAAAGAACAAGTAGAAAATGGAAGAAAATTGATATATACAATCTTCCACATCAGATTATTTCTTAATTTGAAGACAAAAATATAATTTTTATTGAAAAAATAAAATAAGAATAAATTTAAGAACAAAATAATGAATACGAAGGCGTAAGCAAGCCTTCTTAATTTCTTTAATCTATAATCAAAATCAGAAAATAGCTAAAACCCTAATGAATTAGCCCAATATAAAACCCAGCCCAATACAAGCACCCAAAACCAACCCAACAAAACCAGTCGAACTCTGAGAGCCCGAATGAGGTGGCGCCACTTCTGAACCATTTGAATCAGCCGGAGACGGCTGCGGAAGAGGAGGAGAAAGAGTGGGTAAAGATGATGGAGACTCAGGTGGTGTTGCCAATGGAGAAGGGGATGGAGGGGCAGGAGTAGCAGAAGGCTTTGTGGGTCTCACAGCCAATACAATAATAATCAACTTTTGGCCCTTCTTGCAATTATCAGCATGTCCAGAGATGAAATAAAATGGCCCGGAACGATCAAACGTGAATAAAGAGTCACCGTCTGTTAAAGACTGTATAGGGTTTTTTGTATTGCATGAGTTAAAATCGTCCTTTTTCACCACGAAGACTGAGTCAGATCCTTTCTTGTACTTGAAAACTGCAAATAAAAACGTTAGCAAATTAGGAAATACTAATCAACTTCAAAGTAAATTTCTGGGTGGTGAAAGACTTACAGAGAGTATCATTGACTTGAAATCTGTTTCTGTGAGGCCATTGAGTGTAGTTCTCAGAAGGATTTAAAACCCAACCATCTCTACCACCAACATAAAACTTGTAAGCTTCAGATGAACCAAAAAGAAACCCCATCATCAAGAACAAGATAAACCCAAGAAACCTTTGAAACCCCATGATTAATAAATTGTTTCTTCAAGAAATTAACAGTCAACTAATTCTATTCAACAAGGAGATAAGTATATATATCTATATATATATATATAATTAAGTATAATATCATATATATATATATATATATATATATAGAGAGAGAGAGAGAGAGAGAGAGAGAGATGTGAAAAGAGGGAGCGGAGTTGGTGTGTGTATATATGTAGAGTGTAGAGGATAGAGAGAGAGAGAGAGAGAGAGAGAGAGATGTGAAATGAGGGAGGAGTTGGTGTGTGTATATATGTAGAGTGTAGAGGATTGATTGTGGATGTTACCGTTGCAGAAAAGCAAGAAGAACGTAGTTAATTGTGAAATGGAATATATGGGAAGAGCTGGATATTATAATCCCCGGTGTAAATGTATTAGGCGTTTCAAAGACAGACCATTATCGTAATAATTATTTCTCAGTTGCAAAGAGATTACACATTGCGACAACGGTCGAGAAAGAGTGTAGTTTTTAATTTAATTTATAGTATTTTGAAATGGGTTTCTCTTTTTATTTTTGTTTTTATAAGATGAAAACAAGGGGCTAGCTTTCAACTCAGGAGACTGGAATTGTGTTCAGAAGCAGCCAAAATGTTCACTGGGAACAGCGGGAAGACAGTGTAAAATAACCTTTAATCCAATGTCGAATATTGTTGGTGGCTAGCGGCTCCCAAATAACCTTTAACAACCTCCATCGTACGTATTGCTCTTGTTTTAGATATTCGTTATTTACTTTAATTTTTTTTTTTGTTATTTATCAAGAAATTATGTTTCTTTTCTCATCTATACCTATAAATTCACTTTTATAAAATAAACATTGAAAGTAATAATTTTAATAATAGTTAGAAAAATTAATAAAATAAATAAAATTTACATGTTAATGAGTGTTCAACGTATCTTTAATATATTTTGAAAGCAAATAAAATATTAAAATATATAAATAATGGAATAGCAGTGAGTTTTTAAATTTTAATAGGTCAAGTAAACTTATATATATAATAGTCCTATAAATAAAATAATAATTCAATAAGATCATAATTATAAAATAATAAATAAAACAGTAAGGATGGAATTCAATTCAAAAATAGTAATGCAATTAAGGATGAAATTGCAAAAAAAAAAATCATTCTTTTTAAAAAATTAATAATAAAAATAAAATTTAAGTGTTCATGGAATATTAAATTATATTTAAATCTTGTAAATCACATATTTATAGATTTATAAATATGATATTTTAAACACTTGCAATTAAAATAATTAAATAGTTATTGCAATTTTTTTTGTATTTTATTATATGAATAATAATTTGCTATATTATCAATTAAAAAATACAACAATTATGATTTTTCATCCTTAAAACAACTATATTTGATTAATTTAATTTTTATACCATGCTTCAGAAATTTTGTTTAAGTAACTGAAATTAAGAGTATTATTACTACAAAAGGTTAAAATTTAGGTAAATTAATTGAAAGATCAAAATAATGTAAAATTATAAAATCTATTAAGTTCGGATATTCTGATATATTAAACCTATAATTTTTAATTTTAATACTATTTTTGTTTCATAATATTTGTTATATTTGAAATTTCACATATCTTAAGAAAAAAAATTAAATTTATTTAAGGTACAATAAATTGTTGAGTAAATTTACTATATTAGCTTTAATTTAATACTAATTCTCTAATAAAACCATTAAATTGGAATAATAATTATTGGTTATATATAAAGGATAAATATGAAAAAAAATATTTATTACTCTTTAAAACTATAAATATTTTTATGACAAGTACTATAGAGCTGAAGTATTACATAATTTTAGCCAATAAAGCATTAAAATAACCTAAAAGTTACTGTTATTCGTTAACACCTCTGATATTATTAATAGATGACATTATTAAAATAATAAAACGACATAACTTGCATTACCAATGTCTCGCGAGGCGTCGTTGGCTAAGTGTTCGACATCAACGTGGCAATACGCCGTCGTATTGGATACCGACTCGGCGATTCGCTAACTCAGCCTTAGTTACCGAAGCAAACACTGTTCTTCGATTTCTTCAAAAACAAAAATTTCAAAAATCAACTGATTGAGAGAAACCCAATTCCTAAAAACTATAGCTTAGATCGTAACAAGTTCGTCAATTCACTCACCTTTATGTCACTAGCCACTTTCAAAGCCTTGAATGAAACACTAAAACCTTGCAAAAAGCTCTCATCTTCAATTTTTACAGGGCCATTGTCTCAAGAAGAACCGGACCCAACCACATATTTAATTCCAAGAAAGCCTCCAAAATCCTCTCTTTCACAGCAAATTCAACGACTTGGAGACTGTTTTCCTTTGCCACAACAACCCCAATCCCAGTTAAAGAAAAATGAAGATGAGGAGAAAGAAGAAGCAGAACAGGAGATAAAAATTGCTGATTTTGGGAGACCTGAATTGGGCCAGTTATTTGATCATACAGGACCCTTTGAACCATTAGTCCTTTCTTTGCCTGGAGAGTCACCTATTGTACAGGTAATTATTAATTACTGCGTAGTGTTAGTTTGATTCTTTTGTTTTTTGCTTTTTTTTTTTTTTTTAATTACAGTGGTTAGCTAATTATCTTTTTTAATTACAATGGTTGGTTCGTTTGAATCTGTTCTAAAAAAAATGTAATTTTCATTGCAGGTTCCTGCTTCTATCAACTGCAGGTTGCTTGAACATCAAAAGGAAGGAGTAAAATTCTTATATAAGCTATACAAAAACAATCATGGAGGTGTTCTTGGCGATGACATGTGAGTATATATATTGTATTTAATTTTTATAACTATTTCAACTGTTCCATATTTTGGTTCATTATTTGGTGATTTAATATATGCTATTTGCACTATTGTGTTTGTATTCTTGGAACAATATCTTGTCGATGTCCCACTTCTTTCCATAACATTCAAATTTATTTATCTGTGACTTAATAGGTTTATGGTTGGTTTAGTGTAAAAGGTTTCTCCATGAAGCCAATGTGGTAATGTCTTGCCTTCAAGAGATTGCCTTATTATGTTCTTGGGATTCTAGTAGAGCGTGGAAATAATAAAATTCTCGATTAAATGATTTTATTTATTATGATAATGGTATTGAACAGCCGCCTTCAGCTTTTTTTTTTTTTTTTTTTTTTTAATTCTCGATTAAATGATTTTATTTATTCAGATAATGGTATTGAAACAGCCGCCTTCAGCTTTTTTTTTTTTTTTTTTTTTGTTCATAAATGGCTAATTCCTTACAATTTCAGTTTTTTTTTTTTTTTTTTTTTTTTTTGTTCATAAATGGCTAATTCCTTTACAATTTCAGTTTTTCTTTAGGAATTTGTACATTTTATATAACTGGAATTGACATAGCACATATGCTTAGTTTTTCTGCATTTAATGTGCATCGTTGCTGAAGGTTTCATTAATATTTTGACATAGTAGTCGTAGATTTTTTTATGGGGTATCTGCTCAGAATCTCAATTTCTGATTAGCTTTACCAACACAACTAACTACTACTATGGCGGTAATAGTGATTTTTATGTCTAGGAAACACATACAACAATTGACTACGCTTAAACTGTATTGGTTGCATTGTAGTTTGTTTAAAGCTTTTTATATATGCAATGAATTCAGGGGTGCATGACCTGTGAATCTGTGTTATCTTGAAAAGCTGATAGAGCTTTTATCAAAACATGGAACAGGGGATTGGGCAAAACTATTCAGACAATTGCATTCCTCGCTGCTGTTTTTGGGAAAGATGGAGAATGTGCCGATTCCACAATAGTAAGGGATAACCAGGTATCAAGAAAAGGTCCTGTACTAATCATTTGCCCTACTTCTGTCATCCAGAACTGGGAGATTGAATTTTCTAGGTGGGCGAACTTTAGTGTCTCTCTTTACCATGGTGCAAATCGTGATTTGATTCTTGAGAAGTTGGAAGCAGGTGGAGCCAAGATACTTATTACCAGTTTTGACACATATCGAATTCATGGGAGCATTTTGTCAGAGATTGAATGGGAGATTGTGATTGTTGATGAGGCACACCGGCTTAAAAATGAGAAATCAAAACTATATGGAGCATGTTTAGAAATTAGCACTAGAAAACGAATTGGTCTCACAGGAACTATTATGCAAAATAAAATTATGGAACTTTTTAATCTCTTCAACTGGGTTGCGCCTGGATCATTGGGAACACGAGAACATTTTAGGGAGTTTTATGATGAACCTCTCAAGCATGGTCAGAGGGCAACTGCACCTGAAAGATTTGTCCAGGTTGCTGATGAGCGAAAAGAGCACCTAGTGGCAGTTCTTCGTAAATATATGCTTAGGAGGACGAAGGATGAGACCATTGGGCATCTAATGCTGGGAAAGGAAGATAATGTTGTATTCTGTGCCATGAGTGAATTACAAAAACGGGTTTATAGCAGAATGTTACAAATACCTGATATCCAGTGTCTTATAAATAAGGACCTTCCATGTAGCTGTGGTAGCCCCCTTAAACAAGTGGAATGCTGCAAAAGGATTGTACCTGATGGAATTATATGGCCTTACCTTCACAGGGATAACCCTGAAGGCTGTGATTCCTGCCCCTTCTGCCTTGTCCTTCCTTGCCTTGTCAAGCTACAGCAGGTGAATGAATTTTGCTATATATGTATATATATATAAAATATATATATTTCATTATTGTTTTGACTATCCTATGCTCCATCATTATTTACTTGGGGGAAATCAACTGTTTCGTTATTATTTCAATAAAGAATTTGATTTGCTTAGACCAGGATAAACCTTTGTAGTTTGTTTTCGTATTTCTCTATGCTTACATCCAGATGTGACTGCAGATAAGCAATCACCTCGAGTTGATCAAGCCTAACCCTAAGGATGAACCAGACAAACAAAGGAAGGATGCAGAGTTTGCTTCTGCTGTCTTTGGTCCTGACATAGATTTGGTAGGGGGGAATGCCCAAACTGAGAGTTTCATTGGCCTGAGTGATGTTAAACATTGTGGAAAAATGCGGGCACTGGAAAAGTTAATGTTCTCTTGGGCTTCACGAGGTGACAAGCTTCTTCTATTCAGCTACTCTGTCAGGTCTGTTCCATAACTTGACTCATCCGAACCTTCAATCCTATTATTTAATCTTGCTATTCTAGTTGTTAGTATCATGCTGTGGGAATATATACAGTAAAAATTTAATTTTCTGTGGCAGTTAAACTCTAATTGGTATTACCAAGTTAGTAAAAGTTGACAGTAAATATTCTGGATCTATTTATTCTCATTAATTGAGAGTGAGAGAGAGATGAGATTCAGAAGCTTGTGTTTTTATTGTTGATAATTCTAACAGAAGATCTTAACTAATGCTCGTGAAATTGATTAATTACGTTCCACCTGCTAGATTCCATGTTAATTATTGTTGAGAGGGATATTATTTTGTTTCTGTGATAAGAAGTAATAGTTTACATAGTTGTCAAATGAAGTTCAAATAGCATCTGTCTGTATAATTTTCCTTTGTGTACTTCATGTTGTTTGGATTGCCTCTTTTTTCAGATGCTGAAACTGAACTAGTTTTTGCAGGATGCTGGACATACTGGAAAAGTTTCTCATACGTAAAGGGTATAGTTTTTCAAGACTTGATGGTTCCACTCCAACTAATTTGCGTCAATCTATGGTTGATGAATTCAATTCAAGCCCAAGCAAACAGGTAATTTTCTTCCAAGTAACAGGCTGATTGTTAGTGCATGCTTCAAAATCTTTTCTGACTTCCATCTCCTGTTTCAGGTGTTCCTCATATCAACTCGAGCTGGTGGGCTTGGGTTGAATCTTGTAAGTGCAAATCGTGTGGTTATATTTGATCCAAACTGGAATCCTGCCTATGATTTACAGGCCCAGGACAGGTCATTTCGTTTTGGGCAGAAACGTCATGTTGTAGTGTTCCGTCTTCTTGCAGCTGGGTCCTTCGAGGAACTTGTTTATTCCCGTCAAGTCTACAAACAACAACTTTCAAATATTGCAGTTTCGGGAAAAATGGAAAAACGTTACTTTGAAGGTGTCCAGGTACCCTTTTTCCTCCCCTTTAGAAGGAGTTGGTTATGGGGGTGTAGCAGAAAGTGTTTTCTTATAATTTACTCTGTTGGCTTTTTCATAGGATTGTAAGCAATTTCAGGGCGAGCTTTTTGGAATCTGCAATTTGTTCCGTGATCTATCTGATAAGCTTTTCACCAGTGAAATCATTGAATTACATGCGAAACATGGACAAAATGACGCTCATTGCTCTACTGCAAGGCAGGAACTAGCTGAGATTGGGAGTTATTTTCTTCCTCCCAAACAAATGGGCACGACAACTTTGTCAGTGTTGGAGACCAGCAGGCCAAGTGATGTCACTGCTACAACAAATAAACCTGTGCTTGATGAGTTAGGTAAGTTCATCTACTTTCCTTTGTCCTTGTTACTTTCAACTCATGAAACAAAGGGTTGTCTGTACAAACATAAATTGAATCATCTGACTTGCAGGTATTTTATATGCTCATCGTAATGAAAACATCATCAATTTTGGACATGGAATTAAAAAGAAAAATGACGAGAGCTTTCCTGAGAATATTAACGTTGCTGTGTCTTCAAAGCAGAGAAGAAAACTAGATGATGCAGATGAGAAAGAAAATGGCTCATCATCCAAGAATAGGAAAAGGATCCAGTACGGCCTTCTTGCTCAATTCAAGGGTATGGGAGAGATTGAATTTAGCAAGTGGGTACTGTCTGCAACTCCTTCAGAAAGAGAGAACATGCTTGAAGAATTCAAGAAGAGGAAGCTGAAGGTTCCTAACAGTTGAAGGATTGTCTTCTTGTAGAAACTGTATTATATGTATATTGTTGTATAGTATTGCAACTACTCTACTACCATAAGAAACTAGATGCCAAGTAGAGATTACAAAGTAAATTTAGTAGTTATGATTTCAGGTCATATGGCACATCCCACTTTCTAGTAAAATTAAACTTTTGCCATGCACAAAAAGAAACAAGAAGGTTATTCATTCATTCATTCGTTCAGGTCATTCACAAGCTCGGCTAATTTATGCAATTACCGATACAGGATGAAAATTTATAGCATAAGTAATATATCAGCAGTGCAGTTCATGAGCAACCATGGTTCATATTAGTCATCCAAATAGGTCCAGCTTTTCTACTTTCGCATGTACTTTGACATTACTGAGAGCTATCTTCTCTGCATTTTGAATCGAGAGACTGGCTTTGAAGGTTGGGGATTGGATGACTGCAAAATTCAAGAATATAATAAGGGTGTAAAGTTTAAAAAAAAAAAAAAAAAGGAAAAAAAAAAAAAAAAAAAGGAAATAACATACCAGCTTAATGCCCATAAATATCATTCAAATTGAGCATCAATACCTCTGATGATCAAACAGTTTTTTGTTGTGAATGGGAAGTGTCAACAGTTCGTGTCCAACAATTGAAACCGTAATAAAGCCTGTAAATGTAAATGCAAAATCAGCATAAGGACAACCTCCCATCTTCAGAATATCTAGCTCGTTAACAGTGAACATTACCTCTGGAACTGTCAAATCCTTGTTTGGAGGTCCGTCTTCCGGTGTCTTTGTTTGGACATTGACGTAACATTAAGCAGTTAGGGCATTTCAAGATGAACTACTTAAAAACACTTTTCAGGTATGAACTACTTGAAACCATTTACCGAATACCTTCATTTCTCGTGTTGATGGATACTTGTTTTTGAACTTTCTCCTTCACCTTCAGGAAAACAGTAAAAGACGAGGGAGATTTTTCAGAAGGAATAGTTGACTCCTTTGTCCTCACTCAATGGGTTTGCTATCTGACTTATGATCTTGAAGATTACAACTAGGGATAAACAGGAACATATATTGGACGAGATTCAGAACTTAAAAAAAAAAAAAAAAAAGGAAAAATACATACAGCTTAATGCCATAATATCATCCAAATTGAGCATCAATACCTCTGATGATGCAACAGTTTTTTGTTGTGAATTTGGAAGGTCAACAGTTCGTTCCACAATTGAACCCGTAAAAGCCTGTAAATGTAAATGAAAATCAGCAAGGACAACCTCCCATCTCAGAATATTAGGTTAACAGTGAACATACCTTGGAACTGTCAAATCCTTGTTTTGGAGTCCGTTCAGGTGTCTTTGGTTGGACATGAGAACATTAAGCAGTTAGGATTTCAAGATGAACTACTTAAAACCACTTCAGGTATGAACTACTTGAACATTACGAATACCTCATTTCTCGTTGATGATACTGTTTTGACTTTCTCCTTCACCTCAGGAAACAGTAGAGATTTTTCAGAAGGAATAGACTCCTTTGTCTCACTCAATGGTTTGCTATCTGACTTATGATCTGAAGATACAACTAGGGATAAACAGACATATTTGGACGAGATCAGAACTATCAGAAAAAATATTGAGATTAAAAGAGCCTTTGTTGCATGAATTTCTTTTCACATTTTATTTAATGGTCCTCCCATCCACGGGAGCTGCCGAGCACCCATCACCTTAAAGTATATAATAATAGCACACAGTATACACAAGGAAGGCGTAAACAGCATAACTGCTGAAGGCTAACCTTTGGATAGAGACTGTACTGTCAAACCTGTGCACTGCATTTTCAAATTCCAGAATCAATAGCGGATAAAGCTTTCTCAAAATACATGAAAGAATAGAATATGAATGTTGTCACTTACGTCTGGCTTATCATTAATATCTAATTGACGGTCATACATATTTGATAATGCTTGAACAGGTACATTTCCAACTTTAGTTTGTTTTTGTGGTTTCCTCATCTGACACCCAAATTTAGTCAGTGATTGAAACCGAGTATTTTCTTATAACAAAATGACCCAAGTGCAACCCATGAAACATACAACACAGCCCTTACCTCAAAAAAATTCTGAGATGTAAAATGATTAAGCTTAGCTTCCTTTGGCTCGTATCCATAATTGCCATTACCCCTCTTTGGCATATCAGTATGCTCATCTTCATGACACTCATCATCAGATTCAACAGTATTATTGAGCTGATCTTCATCACTCTCATTGTCACTTTCAGCAGTTCTGGTGTATTCATCTACATCGTTCTCATTATCACCTTCAACCGCAAGTTCTTCTTTCTCAAGTTCATCCAACCTGGACATTATACGAGCAAATTCATCGTTGTCAACCACAACTTTGTCGTCATTTTTCTCTGAAAAACAATAACAAATTTCTTAATTGCTGAAGCTTTCAATTTTAACACAGTAAGAGCAATTCTACTTATTGTGATTATTGCAACAATACGCAACAATCAGTCAAATTCAAATCTGATAACAAGATGGTGAACAAAGAACTTTGCACATTAATAAACAATCATATAGCTTAGAAATTCAAGCATAAGATGCACACATGTCAGGTGAGGAAGCTCAGGCCAAGATACAGGTGCATCGATTCTTAAAGGATCCCATCAAAAAAGGATTTAAACTTCCATCACATTACACATTCAACTAACTCTAGACGGAGTAAAGAAAGGCAAAATTTTTCTGTTATGCACTAAATCTTCACCAATATTTGACAAATAAATATATCAGAAGAATCCCAAAATTTTAATCATAACTCAGGAGTTCTATAGGAAATTATAAGATGCTATCAACTCATAAGAGGGAAAGATAAGCATGCAGGAAGAATATTTGGCACCCAATAATGGTGGAAGGTTAAAGAATATAAGTTATTTTGTATTCTCTTTAACTGGAACTTAATGTAGCATTTATGAGAAAACAACCCTCGTGTTCCACAAAGTGTCCCTCTAGTTTATATCATTCAGAAGATGAGATACAAAAGGCCAAAAGAAAAACATTGATCCACAATTACAGTATCGATGCTCTTAAATAATTTAACTGCAGTCAAAAGTTTAAAAAACCAAGCTAAATGATAGCAAAAACAAGAGCTAAGAACCTGCCTGATTTAGATTTTCCTTTACCAGAACTTTCCTCCACATAATCCTCCCTAATCTCCACAAGACCCTCCTGTTGCCCATATTGACAGAGACAACATAAACCATAAATGTCCAAGCATGAGAAATAACATTGATCTACCCATTTAAAAAAAGAAAAGAAAAACTCCTTTCAAATAAAGAAGTCAAAAATAATTGTAATTTACTTAAGATATCCTGCACCAAATAGAAAGTTTGCCAAACTAACCGCTGCCTCATAAGCAGTAAAATCAAAAAATGAAGCCTCAGCTCTAAGATCCTTTATATTAGCCTTAAGAGATTCAACTTGTGAATCCAAAACCTTCCCTCTTCTTTTCAAAATCTCCACGGTTTGCTTTGCTGTTCTTTCTACGTAGTAACCTTCTCCTAGAAGAACCTTTCATGAAAAACGATTAACATTCCCAAACTACATTAAAGAAAACTATTAAATTTAAAAAGAAAAAAGACAAAAAGAAAACGATACCATGAACTCATTAGTGTGTACTAATCGACCAGGAAAGAACGCTGCTTTTCCAAATGGAACCTACAAATAATTATCCAATAATAATAAAAATATTAACTTTGAGACAAAAATTAGTAAAGGAGAAACATAGAGAGACTTTCTCACCATGACGTCATGGTGAAGTTCATCGGGAAGGCGAGAAACGAGGTTAATGAGATTAGTATTATCAGCGATGAATTCTTTGAGGTCGTCGAGCTCTTTCTGCTTCTCTGCAACTGTGTCCTCCACGCGCTTCGCCGCTTTCTGTGCTTCGTCGACGGGAAACATCGACGATAATGAAGTAACTGTCCCTTTAGTTTGCTCCTCCATTGTTGCTTTGCAGAGAGGAGTACTTTCGCTGGCAGTGAAGTTTTGAGAGGGTGAAGACGGAAAGGGGTTTAACTGCGGCAGAGTAAAGAATGCTTAAAACGCAGCGTTTTTAACGAAGGATTCTGTGCAATTTAGCCGTCAAAAACGACAACCCTCTATTTAGTTTGCTTAATATAACGTTTCACTCTAAACTTTGAATTTTATAGTAATTTCACCCCCATTTGTTTTTTATACCAATTTTCTCTGAATTTTAATTTTTTTATTATAATTTTACTCCAATTTAACTTTTATACCATTTTTATTTTGAACCTTGACATTTTATTATAATAATACTCTAATTTATAGTTAGGACTTAAATTGTAAATAAAAAATAAGTTCACTCTTGACTTTGGGTTGGGATTAACTTAATACATTTGTAAATGTGAAGAAATTTGAGTTAATAGCAACCTCTATTATTATTTTTAATATTTTTAAATTATTTCTTTAATTGAGAATAAATAATATTTAAAAATTAATTTCTTTAATTTGGGAATAAAATAATATTTATAAAAATTAATTTCTTGATACATTAATGTTTTTTTTCTAATTTGAATATATATATTTATTATCTTATATTTCTATTTTGATAATATTTAAAAATTAATTTCTTGATACATTAATGTTTTTTTTCTTTAAATTTGAATATAATTATATCTTATATTCTATTTTGATAAAAAAATGTTACAATTTCTAATAGTTTATGAGTCAAATAAATTGATTATTTTATTTTAGATTTTATAATTGTTTCAAAATTTATATTAAAAACAAACCATAATAATAATTATATTATAATTTTTTTTAAGAAAAAGAGTTTATGTCAAATAATTAATTTTTAACTAGTACTTATTATCAATAAAATAATAAATTTAAAAATATTAAAAATAATAAAAGAGATTGTTCTTATTATTACCTTTCAAAACAAGATTGTCCTTACTATTACCTTAAAAAAAAGATTAATCTTAATATTAATCCAAACTCCTTCATTCATATTAATATATTAAGTTATTTAAAGCCAATCCTAATTATAATTTAGGATGCGATTACAACAAAATATAAAAGGTCAAGGTGAAATTATTATAAAGATCAAATTAAAGTGAAATAGCAATAAAATTTTAAAATTCAGGATGAAATTGACATAAGTATCAAAGCACAGTGAAATTGCAATAAAATTTAAAGTTGAAGGTGAATTGGTATATTAAGTACTATTTAGTTTAAATGTGTATTTGTACTAGTATAATACTACTAGTTCTGGTTAGGCAGGAACGTGAACACCACCTCCCCAATCGCGCGTATCCTAGCCACCCAGCCAACAGAACACAGTCCATTCTCTCTCTCTTGACCTCCATTCTACCAAAGAACCAAAAGGGAAGAAGCAGCCATCAGCCATGTCAACATACAACTACTACTAAGAAATCCTTCTTTACTTCATCGCTCAAATCTACTCTCTTTATATATTATTATTATTATTATTATTATTATATATATATATATTAATCAAATTCAATAATAAATTATTGTTTGTTTATATCAATCCGTCCGGGCATGATTTTCTGGTTTTCAATATCTTCCAGTGAAGGCTGTGTTTGTTTGGTTTGGTGATTGCTTCCACTAATTAATCTCCCAATTTAGTCGTTGAGCTCTCACTCTCTCTTCCGGTCGTTAGTTCCCATTCGTTTGGTTGACTCTACTTTAAGCAACCTCTTCTTCTTCTTCTTCATCCCTTTTAGTTAGTGTCCAATGGAGGGTTTTGTTTCTTTCTGCTATTGTGCTCTTCAAGACCGGTCTTTTCTGGAACCCAATTGGAGTTGAATCTTGGTGTTGCTGCTCATCGCTGTTGTTTGGTTAAGGGAGGTGTTATATTGATATGGTTACTTGTAAGAATTTGGGTTTTTTGTTTCTTCATAGAAAGAGGCCATTAGGGTTTGTTCTTCGAGTTGTTTTTGGGTTATGGTTTGGCTTTGTTGTTCTTCGTCCGGTGGCTGGTGTTAGACCATTGAAGGAGCGGACACGGTCTTGGGGCGATGAGGTTAGTATTTCAATTGTTATTGGGTGTGCTTAATTGTGGATTTATTTGCAGATTTTGATGAGAATGTATGATAACGATTGTAATTTTGGATTAAAAAGATGCCACCTTTGACTGCTAACTTTGTTCGAGATTCTTTCAATTTTAGTTTTTTGCCACTTTGAGTGGCAGTCTTATGTTTAATTATGTCAAATTTGATAGTTTGACTACTAATTTCTAAGGGGTTGCATAGTGTGCAAAGATTGGTGTATATTGGATATGATTTTTTTGAATGAGAATGGGACAAGTTTTAATAGCTCTGAGTGTGATATCACAGTTTTTGTTGGCAAACTAACAAACTTTTATCTTAAAAAAAGGTAGTAAGAGAGAATATGTCATGCCATTAGGGCGAGATTCGTAGCAAGTAGCAAGATAGAATATAGCACTCCATTAGCACGAGATTCAGGGTGTTTTAGAAGTGTTGTCAATAGAGTTTCTATCGTAATGTAAAAGGTAGCAAGAGAGGACATATCACAACATTAGGGCAAGACTTAATGGCAGATATTTTATTGGTCTACTTTGATTTCTATCTGCCAAACTAGCTTATTGCTTATACGTGGTACAAAATTTAAACTTCCATTGCATTACTGTTGGCTGCTTCATCATCGATAAGAGAACAAAGACAGTCTATTCCTATTTATGCAACAGCAAGTATGTTTTATATTTTTCATTCTCGATCCTCCTTTAGTAGCCATGATCCATGGAATAAAAATTACGAAAGGTTGGCATCCGATCATTAATTATTTCGTGGAATGGAATTGGTTAAGAACTTTAGACTCTTGTTGTGCGATCATACTGATCTCACATTATTCTTGCTAATCTGTTTTATGTTATTTTGACTTTAAATATAGAAAACTACTTATGCTCTGTGTGAGGACCCTGAACAACTGTTTCATTGGAGTGTGAAAAAAAAAAAAAAAAAAAAAAAACATTGGAGTGTGAAAAAAAAAAAAAAAAAAAAAAAAACCATGAAAAAAAAAAAAAAAAAAAAAAAAAACATGGAGAGAGGAGCTGCCAATCCTTGCAAAGGGCTCATTTCAACAGTGAACCTTTTTACGTTGCTTCTATTTTTAAATCTTAAAGCGTCACATTCAACTGTTTCATACTGGACAATTATTTTGGGACCGCTGGTGTTACATTTTTTGAATCTGAAGATTAAATTGTTGTTCTTATCGTTTTATTCGATATGACTTTTTCATGTCTCCTGTCATAATTCAATTTATTCAGCCAGGCTTAATCTGCAGTAATTTTTTTTTACTCTTTTTTTTCTTATTTTAGTTCTTTTGCGTGATGTAATGTTCTCGGAAAATCATATATCTCATATTTCCCTCAGGACGGCTCTAATTTTCTAGGATCATAGTTTTTCAAGATATAATGTATTTATCTAAGTATCCCAGCTCTCTGTCCCCGTTGGGAAAAGCAATTTCATTGCCAATAACTTATGCTTTCCCTGTACCATTTTTTTTTTTTTTTTTTTTTCCATTTTTTTTTTCTTTTCTTTTTCATTCAGTTGTCTTGTTTAACATCTACATTTTTTTTTTTTTTTTTTTTCATTCAGTTGTTTGTTTAACATTACACTTCACTCTCTTAATAAAATAGGATAAGCTTAAAAATAGGGGACTTTGAGGTTACCTTTTTCTGTTTCAAAGAAAAAGGGAAGTTATCATATTTAATAACTCAAGTTTATGATGAAATTATAGCATTAATATTTAGCTAAGTTTTGTTTATTGGTGTTGCTTCTTGCAGTGGCTATTCATTAGAAAAGATGAAAATGATTTGGGTCCATTTTCTGCATGGAACATAACAGGAACTTACAGAGGTTTGTGATTCTTGTTCTTGGTCATATATTGAGTACATTCATGCCTTTTACACAATACAATTCTTACAGACTGCATTTTTTCTTTTAGAATGCTCTGATAAGTTCTAGCTTTTGTATTTGGCTCTTTCAACAGTCTTTACAGTTGGATCCACAGTGTGGGTTCATACCAACATTAATAGAATTCTGGATTCTATTGGGGTGCTTGTTAGGATAGTTAGACAAGTATTAAGACATAATTAGTTGCAGCACTTGCAAGATGCTTTAAGTGGGATACAGAATATGGACTGTTGTTCAACTGATTGCTTTTGGTCAATTTCAGGATTGTATTAAACACTGTTGTTTTAATCTGCAATTCCAACTGCTTGAGATGACATGAACATATTCCTTTTACAATGGGTTATTTGTTGCAAAGTGCACAGGGCAGCCTGCTTGATTTATTCAGCAAAAGCCAATATAAAATAGAACTGGAGAAGGAAGTAGGGATAATTAGAATTTTTTTTTATGTCAGAACTTCAAAGTCTGATCCAAACAGACAAGTTTTACTTGATCGTGACAGTAACATACTTGTAATCACATCCAGTTCAGCCCTTAAAGTTGCTTGGCATGATCGCGTATCGGTGGCATTTAGTTGCCTAATATTTTGGGATGTACTATGTGCCTGGCCTGTGATCCTATTATATGTGCAGGATAACTTTCCTTATTGGACTGTAAAATTTGTTGCAAATTTATGACTAGTAGTTAACTAAGTAAATTTCATGCATTCTATTTTCAAGTCGCCATTATATTAAATTTCCTTAAATTGTGTTGACTGCGGTGCTTTTTTTATCATATATATATATTTTTTGGACTTGTGATTTCAGGGACTTGGAAATTTCTAGATTCAACAAATAGCTCCTCCAGGTTTCCAGATTTCAGGAAATCCAATGGAGAATCTGTCATTGAATTAGTCAGCACCCCGACAAAAATAACTGGTGTGCATTATGTCCAGGTGAGAGCATTTTCTCCCTCATTTTACAAGTTCATTTATGAGTAGAAATAGTTTAGGTTTGATTCTATTTGGATTCCTTTAATTATAGCAGTGCAGCGCACTATGTCAAAACTTTTTTTTTTTTTTTTTTTTTTTTTTCTTTTTTTTTTTTTTCTTTTTTTTTTTTTTTGAAGTTGGCTATTTTTTTTTTTTTGAAGTTGGCAATATATCATTAGTTGGCTCTATGCCTTCTGTAATTTCGAGTTTCTGAAAACCCTAAACACCAAATGTATATAAAATAAAATTGGTAGCATACGTTATGCTAATTTGAATTGAGATCTGAAGCGACATTTTTTTTTTTTTTTTTTTTTTTTTGAAGTTGGCTATTTTTTTTTTTTGAAGTTGGCTATATATCATTAGTTGGCCTCTATGCCTTCTGTAATTGAGTTTCTGAACCCTAAACACCAAATGTATATAAAAAAAATTGGAGCATACGTATGCTAATTTGAATGAGATGAAGCGACACTACAGTTGCATGCTGCAAGTTGTGGAAAAATTATACTTGAAAAGGAAAGCTTTATGTACATTTTGATCCAAAGTTTAGATGATCTACATATTCTTTTATGGTGCAAACTTCACATAAAAAGTTTTCGGAAATCTTCACAAATGTTATGTTGCTGGATTATTTGTACGTAGTCACTTTGCATGTCGCATGACTTTGAAAAGCTTGTGTTGGATAAGTATAACAAAATATATGTATGCTGCTATACCACTTCAATTTTAGTAGAAACAGTGACTATGAAAATGATGGATATCAGTATTACTTTATTCAATTTTGTAGCAAAGTCCGACAAAGCATATGACTTTTTCATGTAGGTTTGACCACTCCATGTAGCCTGGTGTAATTGGCTGTCCTAAGTTGGATACTTTCTGTTCTCATTGCTGAAGCCTTTAGTACTGTTGGATTATGACTTTTGTTTCGTCACACAAGTGACTTAGGACCTTTAGCATATGTTCATATGTTGAACATGGCTTACTACTAGAGCTCCAAAATACTCACTTTGTGGCATAACACATAAAATTTTCACTTAAATTAGTTTTATCATATATGTATTTGCTTTAATATTTGATTCTTCATGGTGTGGTCATATCTCTACTAAAACGATGTGTATTCTTGCCCATGGTATTGATGACAGGGTGTTATTATTTTCCATGATGTATTCGACAATGCACATAATGCCGGTGGTTCACAAATCAGGGTGGAAGGTGTATATATATGGCCTTTTAGACAACTTCGAATGGTAGCTAACAGGTGAATCTCATGGATGGTAGCATATCACTGCACATTGCAAGTTCTTCCAAATGCATCAATTAATGAAAAATGTTGGCTTTTGTTCTAAGTTTAGATGCTTTTCTGGCTAGATGAGGAAGACTTATTTGGAATTCAAAGTTTAATTTTTCTTTGGATTCATTTAACTGTGTTTGAAAGGCATGTCAGCTTCATGTGGTTGGGTTAAACCTATATGGAATAATTACATTGTTATATTTCTTGACTTTATTTTTGCTTTCATATTTTTGAAAATACCCATCAATTCTTAGTTGCTAAATATCTGTATGATTTCCTTCCTGCCATATATTGTAAAGTTGGTAGGACAGTTCATTGTTAATACTAATGTTGCATTTTTAATGCACTATTGCAGTGGGAAAGAGGGAGAGTTGAGCCAAGAAGAAGATTATATTTTATCCAATCCATATCATTTGGTAATATACTTGCAGTCTATTTTGATTAGAGAACCTTCTAGGATAGCTTCTTATTGTTTTGTTGTGCTTTTCATCTTGCTGCATGGTTTATTGTTCTGTGGTGTTGCCTTCGTTCTTTTCTATTTGTGCATTTTCGATGGTTACCATGAGCTGGCAATATGGTAATGCTGACTGTTTTGTAAATATCTAAATCCATTCCAGACTGATTAGGTACTTCTTTGCTTCAGGAGTTTCAGTAATGAGCTAGTCTTATATTTGATTAATTTCAATGTTATTAATTATGTGGTATGGACTTGGTTGTTTAGTTGGTGATTTGTTCGTATCAGAAGAATTTTTGCTTTGTTTTGGATCTGGTAGTCTGAATGCAGCACTGTGCTCTGGCTGGATTCTCTCAAGCTTGGCAACGTCTTGGCAAATACATTCAGTAGCATTTAGCTGATTTATGCATTGACCAAAATATCATTGTGCTTACTAAATTATCTTCTTTTGTTGATGATTGATGCTGAGTTGTGACTTAAAGCTTTCTTGAACAGCTCGGAGTTTTCTCCTCTCAAGTGTTCCAAGAGAATCCACAAGATAAAGTTGGGAGAAGAAAAAATTGTAAATTTTCTACACTTGATTTTGACATTTAAGTTGAAATTAACAATACAGAGCAGTTAACACCTTCTTGTTGCAGCACCAATTTACGAGATGGAAAAACATTGCAATATTGAAATTGCTGCCCAGATTACTCATGCCTCATCCAGCCAAAATGGTACCTGAGTTCTCTGAAAATATAAACTCTTTTTCTCCAAATTGATTTCTATCTATTGTTCACAATTTGTTTCTGTTAATGTCTGAGACTTTGTTTCTATATCTTAGGGCATTGATGATTTTTGGTGTCTCCAGCACTTGTTACTATTTTGAAAAATTGAAATGTAAAGTTTGGCCTTGTACAGTAGCAAATTTCTCATATCGACTCCTTTTAATTAAATCCCCCTGTTTAACTAGGAAATGATGGGTGCACGAAAGAAAACCCATAAATATGGATGTGCAATCGATTTAGATGTTGAGAATAGGTCCAAGCTTTTTAAACTACTGCATTTTCTCTCTTTGCATTACTTTCTCTTTTTTTATGTGCAGTTGTTTTCCGTTTTTTTTTTTTTGTGTGTGTGTTTTTTAAATTTCTGAATGAACCATAAATATGATTCCCTTCCTCCTCAACCTCCATTTTCTTTTTGTACCTTACAGTCATTATATGTTCCTGTAGATGGAGATCATGATCGTTATCACATAGAAGGATTAATGGAGAGTCCTGCTGTGGATGATGATGGGGATTGCTTCTCACCTTTACTATTAAATGCTACTTCTGTCAACATTGAAGTCTATTATAATAAAGCAGTGAACTATACCTTGATGGTCACCTTTGTATCCTTAATATGTCATCCATTTTAGGATCATGCTAATGTTATATTATCTAAATTTTGGGTGGGTTCCTTAACATGCATGCATCAGGTATCTTTTCTCCAAGTTCTTTTGTTGATTCGACAAATGGAACATAGCAACACTCAATCTGTAAGATTCACACTTTCTATTTAAATGATACAGAACACATTCTATGATATCAAATTTCAACATTGTAGACGTTTATGATTTCAATTAAGTGACAATGGTTCTGATTATCCTGAATCAGGGAGCTGCGAAAGTTTCAATCTTAATGATCGGACAGCAGGCTATCATGGATGCTTATCTTTGCCTTTTACATCTCACAGCAGGAATTTTAGTTGGTAATCTCTGCAACTAGAAGTGCCACCTCACTTACATCTGCTTGAGAATGTTTACTTTCTTGTGTTTTGAAATTTCTGTATTTTATGAATGATGCTCTATATTCGTGAGAATTTCCTTTCTAAAATTTCTTTCTTATTTTTGTGTTAGGTTCGGGAAAGGGTGTGCTTGAAAGATTGTTGCCTACTCTTATTTGAAAAGATAATTTAAAAGGATTCTCTATTGGCTTGGATAAAAATGTATTTGGAGTCTTCCCCTATTTTTGGTCGGGAAATATCAAAATTATGTATATGCATATGATGCAGCCTTTTTGTCTTCTTTGGTTGAATCCATTTATTCTGTGGCTATAAACTAGACGATAGAATTTCATTTGACAGAGAATATTCATGGTTAATCATTATTAGATCTTATCCTTAACCATGGTTAAGTATAAATTTTTTTGATGTGATGTCATGGGCCTTGTCTATTAGTAAGCTTGTGGGCTAGTCTCCCCTAGAATTTCTCCATCAATTTGTACAATGCCAACATGAAGATGGTTCATGCCAGAAATGTCACAACAATTCGTTTTAAAATTCTGACAGTGGGAGTCCCTGATGTGTGCTATTTGTGTTAGCTGATTACTATTTACTATTAACATTTCTTATAATCTCTATGCCTATTTCTGTTTTGTGTCTCAAGTTGCCATAATCCTGCTATTGTTTCAGCACATTCCTTTCATGTGGATTGGTGTAACACCCTTTTTCTGATTTATTCATCCTGCAGATTTTTTATCCATTGGCTTGTTTTCAATCTCACAAAGTGTTCCTCGTTTCTATGCAGAATCCTTATTTAATGCTTTTGCAACTGCTGCTTTTTTCAAGTTTGTAGTCTTCTCAATCTTTGAGATGAGGTACCTTCTTGCTATATGGAAGGCAAGCAGGCCTACAAATAGCGGTGAAGGTTGGGAGACGATGAGGCGTGAGCTTTCAGTTCTGTATAGTCGTTTTTGTAAGTTATTAAATTTTACTTATCAATCGATTGATGGAAATGTTACTTTGGCTTGCACATGCATACAGGCACGTGTTCATACACTTTCTTGAGGTTAGGGGTGACGGTGAGCATAGATCGGTTAAAACCGAGAAACCAAACTGAACCAATCTAGTTCGTTTTTTGGTTAACTGGTTCAGTTATGGTTTATAATGGTAAATAATTTCGGCTTCAGTTTTTGGTTCTGTTATAGAAAATAAGTTATTTTGCCCAAAAACCAACCAAACCGGTTCCAGTTCAGTTTAGAAAAAAGAAAAGAAACTTTGGTTTTCAATTTGGTTCAGAACCAAGCTGACCGATTACACACCCCTACTTGAGGTTATGTTTGTTTTATAGCATCCACTTTGGTGCATTACTTCTGGTTTTTGTTACACACACACACACACACACACGATGCCCTGAAATTATGGAGGTTGTTTTTCATATTTGTAGGTTAATTGATATAACTACTATAATTCTTTGCAGATGGGATCCTTTTGGGCGGCATTCTGGTCATGTATGAGTTCCATAATTTTCTAAGACCAATCCTGCTCCTGATGTACTCCTTTTGGATTCCTCAAATAATCACAAATATTATTCGCGATTCAAGAAAACCTTTGCACCCTCATTATATCTTGGGCATGACCGTTACTCGGCTGGCGATCCCATTATATATTTTTGGATGCCCTAACAACTTCATGCGCATTGAACCTGACAAGACTTGGTGTACTTGTTTAAGTGTATTTATTGGGCTGCAAGCATCGATCCTTCTTCTTCAACATTATCTTGGTTCTCGGTGGTTCATTCCTCGGCAGGTTGGACAGAGTTCTGATTGTTTTCTTTGTGCTTGTGTGTGAAATGATTTCATGTGTTTGTGCTCATTCACTTGCATATATGTGCACCTACACATGCACAAATTCAGAAACCGTGAATCATATATGAAGGTAAAATGGTGATCAAGCCATGTGGAACTGAGTAATGCATAGTGCATCTATCTGAACATTTTCATTCCAATAACTTATGAAGCTATATTCCTTTACTTCCTCAATATATTCAAATATCTGGAACTGCTCTATGAAATTATGTTCACGATCCTCAAATTTTATCTCATTTCTGCCAATACATGTACATGCATAACGAAAATTATATAGACTCGTGTTGCTTATGATTGAAGAAAATGTTTGAACATTTTCTTTATATTCGCTTTTATGTGCTTATGTCCAAACTCTTTTGTACATGCACATGTTTGATGTGTATGAATACTCATTGGAATCTCTAACTTGGTTATCCCCCAAAAGAGTTTGCTGTTTTCCAATAAAATAATTAAAATTCTTGGCGAGAACATTACATGTAATGTATTTTCTGGAGTTCCTTGATGAAAACAATTGTGAAGGCTTAATTTCAAGTAAAAACTGGTTGGGCTGGTCCTTTATCTGTGTAACAGAACTCAGCGATGCCTTTATAAGGGTTTGGTTCTTTTTTCACTGTGTTCTGCTTAAATTGGAGTAATGTAGTGCAAATGGTGCGGCACCTTCTGTATTTCTGCCAAAATAGCAAAAGCCTTGATTTCTTATTTAGTTGAGGCACAGGTTAAAATTGAAGTGTGATTATATCTTCATGGTAACAGTTTCTTTTCGTTTAAAGACTGCCGGGACTTTGTTTATAGAGATGTCATTTTGTCTACTTATCTGCAGATACTACCTGAGAAATATAGCTACTATAGAAGGTTTGATCAAGCTACAAATCAGGCTATGGATTGTGTCATTTGCATGACTTCAATTGATCTCACTCAGCGTTCTAATGATTGCATGGTACTCCTTTGGGAATTTGAATTCTTTTTCCTCCTTTTTGTGTTCATTTTCCACTTACGTAACTTAAACTGCAATTTTTCCAACAGGTGACTCCATGTGATCATTTTTTCCATTCCGGTTGTTTACAAAGGTGGATGGATATCAAGATGGAGTGCCCAACTTGCCGGCGTCCATTGCCACCAGCCTAGGGAGATTACTTCACTTCTGTTTATATTACATAGGATTGATTGACATTGCCCGACTGTTAATCATGGTAATGACCTAATGCAAAACCTTGAAGTACTTCTTACTTTACTTTTAGGTCGAGATTCTTAAGATGGAGTTTTGGTCATCTGTGAAGTGAGATGCATTTATTTACTTATTTGGACCATTTGGAGACCCCTTGGGCAGGCTAGCAATAGAGGCTAGTCCTTTTCTGTATTTTTTCCTCCTGTGCAGCATTCGCAATGCTAAGTTTCATGTAATTTGAGCAAAAGACTGATAATGTAATCTGTTTAGCTCCCAAATAATTTCAGATCAAGTGATGCCTTAACTTTTTTTTTTTCTCTCTCTCTCTTCTTCAAGTTTCAAAATTGCATATAAATCCTTCTTGTATGCAAATATCATCAATTCTTTTACTTGGAGCAAAAGGGAAAAAGGTTCTTTTTGAAATTGATCATCTACTGCATAATTTCTTGGTGCTTGACTTTTGATTGACGTGTACTTCAATTTCTGTTCTTTTTATGTTGTAGTCACGTCTCTTCTTTTCTTTTCTATGTTTTTTAGGTCGGGAAAAGAACCCATATTTTGCTTGGGTACATCTTCAGAAGATAGGTGAGATAGGCATAAAGCAACATGGAATGTTCACTGGTGTAGCAAGTTGTACTTGACATCTCTTGTATTATTTGTATAATGTATATTTTTAGAGCTCTTTGACAATTTCACAAATGAAAATTATTTTCAATTCCAATATTGGCTCACTCCATTGCTTTTTTCTCTTTTGCAAATAAGTTAACTTGTTATAGGAAAGCATATGCAGGTGGGTGGGGGTTGAGCGATTGATGGCTCTCAGTAGAACTCATAGCTCTGGAACCCTTTCATTCCCCCAACCCAAACCTAAATCCCCCTTCGAAATTGTTGTATTGGATTCAGTTGATGGATAATAGTCTAATATGCTTCTTAGACATGGATCTACTTTTGATTCTTGGATCTTTAATATATATATATATATATTATTTTTTTCGCTTTTCCAAGAACTTAGAAGCTATTCTTTCAGCTATAAGATAGCCTAAAAGGCAATTTATGACTCAATTTAGGTGTCTGTTGCAATGAGTGTAATTTTGTATAGCAAATAAAGATAATATGCTTTTCATTTACAAGCCTATCTTGAAGAAAAGGAAATGGTTACAAAGTTTCTAGGTGGTAAAGCACCCCAGTTTTTTCAAGCAGTATATACATTCATGTTCTAAATTCATATAAAAACTTATTTACAAGGTCGCCTGCAGACTGAATATTGAAACTTATTTTGATCTTATGGAAACTGTATTACAAGATTAATTACGTAGAACTAGGAGCAATACCAGGTGACAACAAAGGAGTGGCGGCAGGTGCTATCGCTGGACCAACGGGAGCTACACCGCCACCAAAATTTCTGCCACCAGCAGAACACCGCTGCTCGTAGCAGTTTACAGGATGCTCGATTACTGGGTTACATTCTTCCTTGCTTCTTTGCAGTGGCTTGTCTGGTAAACAGTTGCGACGATCATCAAAAGCAATGCCTTTAGCTGTCAGATTCATGCATATGCCTTCTTCTTCACAGAAGAAATTGTAAGAGAAAGTAAAATTGGACAAATTTGGTAGTATACAAACTCCAGAAGGGATAATTCCATCCATCATATTATGAGCTAAATTTAATATCTCCAAATGAGATAACCCTGCGAGGCTATAAGGTATAGAACCAACTATATTGTTATGGCTGACATCCAACAGTCTCAAATTGTAGAGGTAACCTACTTCTGGTGGCAAACACCCTGTCAAGCTAGTATTAATTAACAGCAACTCTTCTAAAGTTTCTGCAAAATTCGCTATGCTCGGTGGCAGACAGCCTCCAAACTTATTGTTAGCTATTACAATAACAGAAGCTGTACTTCCAGTTGGAAAAGATGGAATCACATTAGCAAATCTATTGTTATTAATGAATATTGCATCCAGTTTTTTCTGGAAAAGTTCAGGAGGCAATGGCCCTTCAAACTCGTTGTAACGAAGGTCTAAGTAGGTCAGCATAGGAAGTGAAAGCACAGCAGAAGGAAAAAGACCCACAAATCTGTTATTACTTAGATCAAGCTCATAGAGAAGTGTAAGGTTAGCTATACTTTCTGGGATAAGACCACAAAATCTATTGCTATTTAAATGGATGAGTGCAAGATCACATAAAAGGCCTATCTCGACGGGAAGAAAACCTGCTATATCAACAAAATTTAGGTCTATACCAGCAACAACTTTAATTGTAGGGTCATCAACTGCAGCTGCACAATAAACACCATTATATTTGCATACATTCGGACCAACCCAGTTGGATGTGAAATTGTGAGGATCAGAAAAGATTACTTTTTTCCATGCCTGAAGCGCGATATAAGCTCGTTTGAGTCTTGGGTTTGAAGCAGAAGAATGAGGGTGAGATCGGTGGTGATGATGATGTGCAGAAGAGAGGGTATGTTTTGAAGCTACATTATTAAAAAGGAGAGATGAGTGTAATAATAAGAGTACTAATAAGGCAAGGGAACGAATAGGATTAAGCCAAAATGAAGCCATAGCTTAGTGTTTGAGTTTAAGTTTTTTAAGGTAGTTAAGTTAATGAGCTTTGCCTGCTTATGTAAGGAGCTAGCTAGTAGCTCTTTCCTTACCAAATTTTGAATATTTTCAAGTCATACTTATAATCATGTTTCTCATGTCCAATGGAAAACATTGGTTTTCTTTTCTAGATGACAAATTACAAAGAAAATTCTCAACGACCCATTATAGTGACAGTTAACCGTTACATATAACCTTAAACACATATTCGCAGACAAATTTTGTATCTTCCTTGCAGTTTCTGCTGTCTTTTGAAAGCTCCCTGTAGATGTTTCTGCTGTCCTTACCAAATTTTGAATATTAGACAAAGAATTGGTGTTGATGGGTGCATTTTCTGTGCAACATCAACTTTTCCGACCAAAGGATTAGTGTAGGATTATTCTTGTATTTATCTCTTGTATTAGCTACTAACTCTATTAATTAACTGCAACGTCAAGGATTCGATTCATGGAAAAACACTTATGGAGAGAGAGAGCCTTAATCCTCTTAAAAACGAATGGAAAAGCACTTATGGAGAGAGAATCATAAAACTCTTAAAAACGAAATTAATCTCGTAACTGAAAAATGATTTAATACTCGTTTAACTTAGTATTCTTTCAAGTAACGATAAAGTATATATATATATATTTTTACATAAGATATAGAGTGAATTTAAATTGTAAAATAAATTAAATTAAGGAAAATTATTGCGAGGATTAGTTGCAGGAAATGGGTTTAGGAAAATCGGATTAAGGGAAGACGATGCGCATGATAAGGACTTAGCTCCTTCCAAAATTGTGTGGGTAGTTTTCACAGTTTGTTTGAAGTGGAGAAGGAGAAGGACAGCTTCTTCATCCCCTGAAGAAAAAAAATGGCAAAATTATTTCTTGAAATTGAAGCGATAAGCATGCGATGAACAAACTAAAGATCTAGACTTTGAGATTTTCTTCAAACTTGGTCTAGATACAGGAACACGTGGATGATCAATTTATGACGACATCCATTTGTTCATTTCATAGAAGAATCCCATTGTTTAACATTCCTTCTTCTAAAACCTCATTTCAGGATTTTATGGCTAAGACACTAACACCCATGCACTTACATTTTAGATTTAGAGGGCAAATGTACACATTTGCATTTTAATAATATTTGGAGGGCCAAATATAAGAGTTATTCAAATTAAATTCAACTTAATTTGTTTACTATCAGTCTTAATTAAATTGAGATTAATTTAAAATAAGTAAATAAATCATGAAGGTCTCAAGTTCGAGACTTAAAAAGGAGCTAACAGACAACGTCATTAGAAAAATGGCTTAAAATGAAAACGCTGCTCCTATTGTTCAGTCTGAAGTGTTACTTGGCTCAATAAACCTCCCAATGGATAAAAAAAAACACAATTAAACTAAAATTCACTTAAAGTGAAGTGGCTTAAAAATTTTAATTTATAACCTATGTTGAATACAATGTCACTGGAAATCGAAACGAAGAAACGCAGAACTATATTTAAAATATAATATTAACAGAGACAAATAAAGGACTCCTGACACCATACTAAAATGGGAACTGCAGATATAGGTACTAATTTCGCAAAGGCTTAAAGCCTCAATTTTAGGCAGAAACCTCTTTAACTTCCTCAAGAATAGTTCTTAATTCACGTAAACCAGTATGAAAGATGATATAATTCAGGCAAAAGCTGTCTAATTATTCTCATACAAAAGTTGCTGATACAACAAGAAACACCTTCCAAGCCAAAAGCTTTGCTAGCACTCAAAATTGAAATTGTTCAGGCAACTATATGATTTTATATCAATTTGGACCACTATAGTTTCTACAAAAATTATTCAAACATGAGAATATAACCTAGACAAGCATCACTTTCATCATCATCTGTCATTCCAAAGATAGTAAACTGAAGATCCAATTCCAAACACATTAGCCACCTCCGCCAGATCCATATTTCTTGCCAAAGACAATAAGCTGAAGTTTGTCATAACCGGCAAGCACACCAGCACCTGCTACAGCACGAAGGATGTTTGCACCAGCTCCCTTGAAGAGGGATTTAGTCCCTTCATTCTTGATGATCTGAGAAAATGCATCCAAAGAGCTCTTGTACTTCACAGCTTCTCCTGAGGTCATCATCATCCTTCTACGGACTGTATCAATGGGGTAAGAGGCCAATCCAGCACCAATAGTGATTCCCCATCCCAGTAAGAAACTAGCAAAGAAACTATCCTGTAAAAGACACAGTGTTTCAACACAACAGATTCTTAATATTTCCAAACAACATTATATGCAACAGAAGCTTTGGGAGAAAAGAAAGGAGGGAAGGTAGGAACAGGTGGCATCAGCATAAATCATACCTGTAAATTACCAACCAGAACAACAGGTTTAAGAGAATCATACATTCCAAAGTAGAGACCACGGTACACAATAATTCCAACACAAGATATATTAAAACCGCGATAAAGTCCAGCAATACCATCAGATTTTATGGTTTTCCTGTAAACATCAACCAAACCATTAAACTGCCTCTCACCGCCCTTTTTAGCTGCCTTTGCATCATTGGCCAAACGGGTCCGAGCATAATCCAAGGAGTAAACAAATAGAAGAGATGAAGCACCAGCTGCTCCACCAGATGCCAAATTCCCAGCAAACCACTTCCAGTAGCCATCTTTGTCCTTCTTAAAATTGAACAACCTCTTGAAGTAATCTTTAAAAGCAAAGTTCAGAGCCTGACACACAGACAAGCAAGTAAGCACATAGCAAAGGAATAAGCAGCCAGGCAGCAAGAGAAGTTAAATAAAAAAAAAAAAAAAGAGAGAGAGAGAGAGAGAGAGGGAATCAAATAGAATTTCCCCTCACTTTCTTTCTGAGCAAAGGGAAAGAATGGTAACAGCTAAGAAGCAAAAAGGACTTCAATGAACACTAGAGGTCATGACCATTTTATTTGGACCAGAAAAGACGAAACAATTAAGGCAGAAAAACAAGAAATGTTGAAAGCATAAAAGTTAAATCAATAAAAGGAAATGACCTGGGTGGGGAAATATCTGATAACATTAGCAGTGTTGCCTCTCCATAGAGCAAGTACACCCTCATCTTTTATTGTTCTGGCAAAGCAGTCAGAGATTCCCTTGTATGGTTCAGATAACCGACCAGCCTTGATCATCTCATCCTGATTTTGAATCAAGAGTTTAACTCGCTCAATTGGGGCAGCGGCAGTCTTGGAGACTGCTGCTGAGACTCCTCCCATAAGGAAATCAACCATAAAGGCACCAGCACCTTTCTCAGATGGTGCCTGTACAAATACAGGCGAGAGTGGTGACATAAGTGCCATACCAGTGCCCTGAAGTGCGGGATGCAAATGGTTATGGACACCATTCCCATAGGCTCCAGTCACGCTGTAATTCTGGGTCTGCAAGTTAGGTGATAGTTTAGAAATGAGGGAGGACTGCTCACTTATCTTCTGAAACACTGATGGATGCCATGATCCATCTGCCATGTTTGCAATTCAAGATGGTGACCTAAAAGGAAAAGTGCAAGTCATATAGGAAAAATTACATAAATTGAATTCAAAGAAACTGCTTTAAATTTATGACAAATGAAAAGATTCATCAATACATATAAAGAAACATGCAAAACGAAAAGAGTCATTAATCCACTAAATAGCATGATCAGTCTACCACAGAAAAACTTGTCCATCATGATAACGAACCTGACTAAGTTGTCATTCCCAAGCAGAAAATCCACTAAGAATGAAAATACAAAATGAGAATCGACACTCCGAGGTTTTCAACACAAGAAATGCACATCCAAATAATCTACATTTCCATATTATTTAGACCATATAAAGCTGTGATGATTAAATAGTTAACAACCTTCATATGTGTTTCACCAAGCAATTACATATACTTGTATCTAGTTCTCCGAGTACAAAAGCACCTTCATTTAAATCTTACAAAGAAACATTTGATAGCTGGGACGACCACCGGGAACAAAACAGAGCAAGAAAACTCACTCAGTGATTTAGTTATAATACAATGAAATTCACCATCACATGATAGTATGATACCATTTCTTGACGAGTCCAAGGAAACTTGTCGACGAGTCTTTTGACTGCAATAAGAACATAAACACACTTTTCCTGGTGCAACAAAATTCAATTGAAAATACACCATGGCAATTCAATTGGGTAAAAACCATTTCAGAAATTTAAGTCATAACAATGCAAGCATCAAAATTACAATTCCTTCTCTTGGACCCAAATTATCCAGCAAAGAAACAAATTACTCAGAACAGAATTGGACCCCAACATTCAAGTCCAGACATTTATTAGGTCAACATATTTTTTCATCAGTTCTCCCTGATTTTCGGGCAACAGAAATCGACTTTTTTTAATTTAAATAAATTATGTATAAATATATAAAAGAACAGGCGACACCATCTTAAAGGCCAAATAGCAAGCGAATCATTTATTTCCATTATGCAAAGATCCACACTAACAGCCTCCTATTTAGATTACAAATTATACTTCAAATTTCAGAAGTCAAAGCAAGATTAATCATAAGAATTTTGAAAATTTGTGCTCATTTTTTTCTCGGCAGCCAAACACAGATGGGAAATGATAATCATCTATACCGATAAGCCAACGAGGTAAAAGGACAATGGATCCCTATATATAGAGAGAAAGAGATCAGTTACCTGAGAGGTCGCCGAAAATTAAGAGAACGCCAGTTAGACTCGCGACCTCCTGCTTGTAAGTATAAAATGACGGAGACAATCTGTACTTATATGACTGTGATCGTCTAGGGTTTCTTATCCTCAAATGACTAATTTATCCTTTCTTAATCTCCATCTGTAAGACTGTAACGCTTCACTGCTACGGAGCAAGGGAAACTCGGATTTAGCTCAATGACTCGTTGGGCAACACTGACCGAGTGACAGATCCTTTGACTTTGGGCCTGACTTCAGTTTTTGTCGGCCCAAATGCACCTTATATTTAATTAATTATTTTATTATTACATTTTCTTTTAATAAAAAATAATACAAATAACTTTAGAGAACATATGAAATATAAATTATTTATTTTAATATTGTTAAAAGATAAAAAAGAACAATATTCGACTTTTAATGTCATATTCACATGATGTCTGCAATCACAAATCGCAGGCTAAGTTATCATGTATTACAATATATGAATTATATAAGTAACTACTGATAATCTCTGCAAAGTTGATTGAGAGAAAAAGAGAAATAAAACAACATATCCATAGATGAAAAACACGAAGACTGGGAAATGCTCTTAAGGATAGAAATAATCTTCGAGAAAATTTACGAGCCCTGCAAAATCTAGTGTCAGCTTCCTAACCTGGCTGAAAGTGGCTATGCAAAAGTGTCCACTCGACCTGCAGACCAAAACCCATTCAATTGCTGTCAAGAAGCCAAAATTAAAAGGCAAAAGATCAAGACGAAGACATTCAAGGAACCAGTTCAAGGAGCTCCACTTAAATACATTTAACAACCATCAGGTCAAGACGAAGACATTCAAAGCATTGGAGCTTCACGTTTGATAGCTTAATTTCCTCTAGTCCAGTAGAGAGAAGAACTGTGAAATGCCTCAGTAGAGGTAATGAGCCAAGACACAATATGTAAATTTCAAAACTTGGAGTTTCACCAGACAGGAAAACAAAATATGCAGGTCATATGAAGATAAAGGCGAATAGGACAAGGACAATTCCTTTAAGCAGCTGAAATGGTGAGTGAAATTTGGTCCCAAAATGCAACCATTCAACTTCAGCTGCTCTAAATTGATTGTTTTACCTTGGAAAATCTTAGTTCGCAAGACATACTTGCCTTCAATTTGTTGATCACGATAGCTGATTATAGGAATTTGGTTACAACAGCTTTTGTTACAATTGAAGACGAGCTAAACAATTAACGCCCTTCACAAAGGCAAATTCCATCCACTGATCAATATCATCCGTGTAATTACACCTAAGACAGCAACGAACAGCGAACATGCGTACTTGGATGCCCATATAAGATTGTAAGAACTGATTAACTGCTCTAACAAATCTCTACTTGTAGCTATTACAAGGGAGTTGAATAGTTTTACAGAACTCGAACATGTTAGATATATCCAAAGTGAGAATGGAAGCAGAGAGGCATACTGGTTTCCATCTGTGAGATAATAAACTTGTTGCAACGGCATCTTTTGTTTTCAAATGTTTTTGCACTATTTCAAGAATCTCATCTGACAATTTGCTGATGCGATCTCTGATTTCTTCCTGCAGCAGAGTTGTAATCATCAAAGAATATACAAACTGAACGTGTGTCAGGAAAAGATAACATGAATTCAATTACATTAGATACCTTATTTTCAGATGAAGCTAAAACAATTTTCGACAAATCCATGATTGACAAGAGGACTACCTCGTATTAGGATGGAAACTTGAGAGAAGTAAAGGGAGAAAAATGCAAAATATATTAGGCTAACAGAGTTGCACAATTATTAGATTTAGCAATTAGGTTTATGAGAATCCTAGTAGGTTTAAAGTCCTACTAGTAGTGACAACATTAAATTTCAAAATTCTAATTTTACAGATAAAATTTTACTTGTCACATGCTAAAATGTAATGGTTATTTTAAATTTATTTTCTAGTCAATATTTTTAAACTAGTAAATTATTGTACCATCATATCAAACCATAAAACAAGCAAATATAAATTATAGTCTTTGCCAGTTACATGTAATCTGATAAGAAGTCTGAAATTCGAATTCGATCGATAATAAATGTTTTTACCAATTTGATGAATTTAGATAATAGCTACTTGTTGTATAGTTCGCAATATTATTTCAACCCATTGAGCCTCTCAATAAATATTACAAAAAAAAAAATAATAATAATAGTCTTGCAACAAAGTTACAATGACAAGAAATCTCATATTCGGACAATGGAAAGAAGAAAAACTCTCTTACTCTTGAAATCTGCTACTACTGTAAACATTCTGAAGAAGAGGAAAACAAAACCTAATTCAAAAAAAGAAAAAAATTTGATGTAGCTTCATAGACAATGTTTGTTTGCTTGAGGAGAGACATTTACAAATACAAGAAATATTTGGACAATTACAAGTTTACAACACTTCTTTACATGTCTGCATATATCATCCCTTTAACTAATAAGCAAGCAGACACCATTTCTTTTTGAAGATAGCATTCTTGACGTTTGCAATGGCTCTAGTGTCAAGATCTTCTTCGCTAAAATGATAGAACAATCAACCAAAAGTTGAAAACAAGGTTCAAGTATGTATATGTATTTCAAAATGAGAACTTTTACCTTCTAATATCTGTGGCCTGAAATCTATGCTCATTTAACAACTAAAAGTTGGTCATAAAATTCTGCAAGAAACATATGCTAAGCAGAACACAAGGAAAGTCTTTGCTTTGCCAGCAAGTCTTTTAGTTTCTTGAACAGTTGACGATTAGAGAACAAGTAATTCTGGAATTGTTTCCTCAAGTTGTGCAATAACTTATCATCATTGTTTGTGCTGCTGTTGAGCAGCTTTGTGAAGAGTTCTTTCCATAGATCGACATTCCAATATCTGAAGACGATTTTACAAGCAACTTGGAAATCAGAAAAGGAGAAGAAAAAGGATTATTAAGACGAATAATCTGGAAAGGAAAAGAAAAGAAAATTTCTGATTTAATGGCACTTAGTTTCTTGAATTTATTCATTCAAATATAGGGAAGCAAAGATTGGCACGTTCTGATGGATAAACTACAAAGAATCTAGCTTAACTAAGAAATATACCGTTTAAGAGGTGTTTTTGGTAGATAAACGCAGCTGCCATCTGATGTTGCTTTCTTTTCAATCTCCAAATAAGAATTATGCAGCATCAAATGGACGATGACACAGAGGCCGTATGTGTCCACCTGACGTTGAAAAACAAAGAAATTTTATGAATGGTCAGTCTAGTAAAACTAGCACCTTCTCTGTAAATGCTTCATTAACTGGATACTGGCCTGAAACCTCCACTGCTTATGTTCTTGCATTTCAATACAGCGAAAGCCAGAAGTCCGGCAATCTCCCTCGAATTCTACATCTTGAGGAAAGAGATGCATATCTATTCCCTTCCCCCAATCAACAAGGCAGAGGCCCTACGCAAGAAAATTCTAAGTACATTTTTGAACAATTTGACCAAAATTAATCTCTAAGAACCAAAATGTACCTGATCAACCCAAGGGCCACTTCGATCCAAAAACCCATCTTCAGTAAGGTCATTCCTGCCAAAATCCAGGTTATTAATGTCATAATTTCACAAAGTGCCATACACTTCCACACCATTTGTAAAAGTGGTTGATGCATTGTATCACTTTAAAATGGCAAGGGTCTTTGGGAACTTCATAAGTCATCTGTTCCCATTAAATTTTTGCATAACATAATTTCTAAGGTATATTTCTACTAATCCAACAGTTTCATAAACAGCCAAATCACCTCTATATCCTACGACGCAATAGATTTAGATGCAACAATCCAGTATTCCTGAGTTACAATAATGTCTAGAATCAAATACATTGTGAATTGTCAAAAACCATGATGGAAACAAATTTACCTGGAATAGCGAACAAGAAGATTATCGGGCTTGAAATCACCATGAATTATGCCAACATCATGTAAAGTTTCCAGCATGTAGAGCATCTCTACAGTGTAATAAATGCATAAAACCTCCTCCATGGACTTCCCAATGACAACATAGGAATTTATGACATCCTACACATGATTACATGCAAGCACTTGTATTCAATATGATGTGCCTGATAAGAAAAGGAAGATATATATCGAAGCAAACTTACATGGAGAGTTCCATGGGATAGATAGTCACAGACAAGTATGCTGTAGTCGGAATATACATGCATTCCATGAGCAAAACCAAAGCTTGACCTCTGATAGAGTCCAATGTCAATAACAGTAAACTTCTTTAAACCAACAGATGCTGAAATGTAATGAAAAACTCAAGATTACATACTTGCTTGTTTGAGATCCGTTCATCAAGTTGACGATAAATGTAAAATTCCCAGGGAAAAGGCGGCTTTTGTATCTGCAAGACATAGGGTATTATTATACAAACCAAAATTCAAATATAGAAATCCTTATCAAGGAGAGGAGAATAACTACCTTTAATGCAACAACGTCATCAGGATTACTATTGACATATGCTTTAAATACATTAGCAAAACCACCCTGACCAGCACAACCCTTGATTTGGTACTGCTTTCCACCTTTAAATATCACAATACAGGTAATAAAAAATAATGAAAAAATTTAAATATCTCAAGTGTCTCTTAAACATAATTGAAATGACGCTTCATAAAAAGAAGAGGGTTCTTTAAAACTCGTAGCTAATATAAAAACAACGTTCGAAAAAGAACAATAGAAGACAAATTTTTACCAAATTTTAACTATTTGGGGACTTTGTCCTGTTATTGGTTTATTTGGCTTCAAAATCAAATCAAATATCATTCACGCATTTTCTCCACATTGATTCTTCAACATATTTTAGAAGTTAACCTTTACTCACGTCTAATTAAAGAAAAACAATAATCAAGAATTTAATTTGTTTCCAAAGATGAATATTTCAATTAAGATTAAATACTAAGAGCAGCTTAGGATATCTATGCAGATATAAAGATGAGAATCACCTATCTTAACAATCTTATTTCTTGATGCTTTTCCTAGAGAAGACAAGTCCACTTTCCCAGAGTATGCTTTATTACTTGCATGGTATCCCTGAAACAAGAGCAAAGCAAACTCAGGTCACGTTAACTACTGATCAGGTGGATTGATGAATAGTCATGAAAGTAATGGTAGCTAAATTTTTTTACATCATATCTCATGATTTGAGCGTTTATCTTCTTCCATATCTCTTCCTTGGTGGAGGTGGACCATGGATTAATGTATTTTCTCCCATGTGCAATGGATTCAACACCATCTATCTGCAAAAATAGGGATACAACTACTCATTTGAACAAACCAGTGCTTCAACCTGAACATATGTCTTGAAAGAATAGAGAAACGAATATGAAGTGAAATCAGAGTTTGTTGATATATATTGATGTTATAATTTCTATGCACAAAGCTTGCTATCATATTAGGTTATTTGGAAAACATACTTTCAACATTAAGACGTTCATTAAAAGAAGAAATTCCCATAACTAATAGCGAATGTTTAACTATGTGGTGATTAGGAAAGGATTATGAGGAAATAGAAGCATTTATAGATGTGTGATACCAAAAATAATAGCAAGGAAAAGAAAGAAAGGAAAAGGGGGGAAGTGCCTCTTCACTAACTTAAGGTTTGCACAAACAAGTATGATCTATGTGTGTGCATGCACATGCTTATGCAAAACAAACTCTGCACAAAATATGATGACTTGAACATGGTAGCTTTTTGCAAAATCAATAGCATTCAGATAGTTAAATTGTTGAGAATTTGGGCCCTAGGAGCAAATTAATCAAATCAAATTCAATTATATGTTTCATATTAAGCTTATAATGAGTTGGACTTACCTTTAACACAAAATGGCCATTTTGGTTGGTTCACACTTCACATTATATGCCCTTTTAGTTATTTGTATTTATCCGATGTGAGATTACCCATATACTCTAACATAAATATATTAAACATACAATATAGAAAACCCAGAGAAAAAAAAAAAAATCAAACTTTGCAGATTGTTTCTGTCACTGGTATGCACACCTTTTTAAGTGACCAACCATTTACCCTGTGGGACATTCTGTCAAGAAATAAAGCATGTGCTCCCATCAATCTTTCAAGGGGTTTGGCTTTCCTGTTATGCCAATATAATAACCACGAAATTTAATTATATTTTAAACAGAGAGAAGCAAGCAAAAATCCATTGAAAAAGACAAAGGCAAACTAGAGGGAGACACCTTAAAATGCCAATCTGGTAAACCATGTGTGCTCGCTGCCAATTCTCTTTGACTTCAAGGAGAATGGCACACTGTTCATAAAGCAAAGATTGATCAATACATATCATGTTCTCCTCCATTTCTTTGAAAACAATTTCTGAGTCATCAATACCTTCCAACTACAGAACCCAACAAAAATGAATTAACCCTTCAAATAATCCAACTTCACAGAAAAGTAAAAGAAAACCTAAACTAACCCACTACTATTGGAAAATCTACACAACCAATTGAAAGTATTAAATATTAAGAAAATTAATATTACAGAGTCTACAATCAAGCAGAGAAACCTAATTAACCAATCAAATAACTAAAAACCCAACACAAAACAAATGAATAAATAAACAAAATCCCATCAAAGCTACAAATTTAAGAGTAAAGGAAAGATTATAGCGAAAAAAAGAAATGAAAAAGAAAACCAGAGCGAGCAAAGTAGCTCAGAGTTAAGAGTAAAATTTACATAGAGGAGCCAAATCTTGAGAAATCTGGGATCGTTCTGGTAGTGGGTATTGTGCTTGAAAGTCTTAACACAATCAATTACACGCTTGTCTAAATCACCGAAAGCTTTGTTATCAAGTGCATTCTTGATTGACCTGTAATCACATCAATCTGAAACCACTGCCAAAATGAAATAAATAAACAAGACAGACAGACAGATATCAGCAATTACACTAGCCACGGGAAGAGAGGATCATGAGCAGAGGAGAAGTCGCCGGATTCTGTTAACATGACGGTCATATAGCCTTTGCGGGTCGCGAATTTGGAATTATGACTTTGTGAGTAGCACTAAAAGAGAGAGAAAATGAGAAAATGAAGCGGGAAATGATTCAGTTTCAAAAGTTCGAAACTTCTGCAAAAGTGCCCCGCTAATACCGATTCCCAAATAAAACGACTGCTCGCTTGGCATACATCTCTTGTCGTTTCATGCGGACGAAGAAAGATTTTCATACGATCAGGATCTATGTTGCATGGAACTTTCTTTCGCTGCCGTTTTCATGTGTCAGACGTTTCCCGCACAGAAATGCTTAGAAATTTTTCGGAAATGTTTCAAGACCTTTTCCATAAATTAAGTAATTTAGAAACACGTTTTTTCTTTCTAAATATGTTTCCATAAATTGAAAATTTTCAAAAACTCATTTTTCTAATTTATACTATATATATAAAAGTGAGAATGAATGACAATAATATGATTGCCGATATTATTTTTGAGAAATTTAAGATATTTTAAAATAACCTTAGTCTTAAACAATTAAAAAGTTTTAACCTAAAAATATATATAATATTTCTATAATTTGATTGTATATTTTTTTTACTTTTTTTTTCAAGACCTTTTCCATAAATTAAAGTTAATTTAGAAAAACACGTTTCTTTTCTTTTCTTAAATATGCTTTCCAATAAAATTTCGAAGAATTTCTCAAAATAAAAACTCATATTTCCCTATTATTTATACTATATATATAAAGTAGTGAGGAATGAACTGACAAATAACTTATGGATTTTCCCGGATCATATTATTTTTTTGAGGGAAATTTATATATTTTTAAAAATAACCTGGTAGTTCTTAAACAATTAAATAATAGTTTTGTTAACCTTAAAAAGAATATATATAATATTTCTATTTACATTTTGCATTTGTATATTTTTTTTACTTTTTTTCAATATATATAATATAGATATATACTTATTTATATATAAATATATATGAGTAATTAAGTCATATTTAAAAAATTTTTAATTTTTATCATTTTATCTCTATTATGCGTTATAATTAATATTATATTAACTTATTGTATATTATTACTGTAAATTCATTAATAAATAATGTTATTATTTTATACATTATTATTATTTATTGAATTTATAATTAGCGTCCAGAACTCATTATATTTTCAAGATATGAGTATTGTTAACATAAGAGGCATTAGTCGAAAAATCTTTATCATTTTTTGGAATTTATTTCTTAAATTAAATATACTTTCTATCGATGGATTTCCAATTTGGTGATTTTATCAAAGCTGCTAATGCATTAAATTTTTTTTACACTGAAACAAATTGCTCGCCTCTTATACTTTTTGCCGGTTGGCCAAAAAATTTAAACGATAAAGTTATTTATCCTAGCTTTTAAACATCCTCATCAATCTTTTTTTATGTAGTCTTATATTGATATCTTAGTATAGCTCAATTCAAATTTCCTATAATCTCTTCCTATTAAAGAAGTATTACGATTAATAAATTTTTTTTAAATGCTTTCATGGATTTTTCAAGTGGACTAAAAAAATAAAAATTTAAATGAAAAATTTTTATCACACAGTGTTTAAAATTATTTCATATTCTCGATCTGTAGTTCCTTGTGTTTACAAAGTTGTTAGTGTTTATTTTATTACTCGGGGACGATTATCTCAAGTCTGTAAGAGTTTATTTAAACAAAAATATATACTAATATAAAATTTATAATTATAAAGTTCTAAAACTATTTGACTCGAATTTTCTATAACTTTCCAAATTTTTGAATTTTTGCTTTAAAAAACAGGAAATGAAAAACACCAACTGACGTACGATATAAAAACTGTCCTGATGAATCTGTTACTGTTCGATATATAATAAAAAAATTAATTATTTATCATGCTTTCATGATTTTAATTGACTAAAAAATAAAAATAAAATGAAAAATTTTTATTGTTTATAAATATTTAATTTGATTTATTGTTAAAGTGTATTTATTTATTACAGGAGATTATAGTGAAAGTTATTAACAAAATATATAAATTAATTATAAAACTTATAATAGAAGCTATATGATGATTTTTATAATTCAATTTTGATTTTGTTTAAAAAAGAAATGAAACCAACTGACGTACGATAAAAACTGTATGAATCTGTACGTTGATATATAATAAAAAAAATTATTTTATCTATAAAGTGTAATGTATTTTAACCACTCAATCTAAATAAGAATTTATATTTTAATATTACATAAATAAAAAATTAAACTAGCATAAATAATGAGTATATAACAAGCATAGTCAACGTGCAACGCACGTTATAAAAAAAACTAGTTAAAATAAATGCATAAATAAATACAAATTCATAAAACATGTAATTTTATAATTATGAAACTTGTAATTTTTTTAGATATGATTAAATATTGATTGGACTTTAACTTGTTATTAAATATATTTAATGATTTATAATAATTTATATCTTTATATTAATAAATATAATTCTATATTTTTCATATTTACGCGTTTTTCTCATGTTTTCGGTTCTTATATTTTAAAAAAAATACTATTTTCCGTGTACATTTTTGCATTTCGATGCTTCTGATTTTCCGTTTCCGTGCAACATAGATCACGATTTATTTCACTGTTAATTTAATTTTAAAAAAATTAATTCTTATTTTATAGTAATTAGTTAGTTTGTCATTTTAATTTGTGAGAAAATGAATTATTATTAGGGATGGAGGAGTTACCGCTATTGTTAGTCTTGTACAAAAAGAATTGTCCCGTTCATAGGGAAAAGGAACGGTGAACAAAGACCTAAGTACCTAACACATTTCAATTCACTTCACTTTACCTGTATCTTTCCTTTCAATGGCCATTGCTGGAGCAACCAGGCCCACCACTCACGAGAGTAGGCGCAAGACCAGACCTTCACCATTCACCGCCTCCTCTCTTTTTTTCTAAGAGGGGAAAGTGAAAGAAAGAGAAAGAAAAGACTTTTCTTACTTTCGTTATTTCTTTCTTTCTTTCTTTCTCTTTTTGTTTTGTCTTAAAAATTCTTTACGGGAAACAAAAAAAAAACCAGAACCTCAGGTAAATAAATAAATAAGTCAATAAAAGAATAGAAAAGAATGGAGCTTGTGTGGTCCTCACTCATTACCTCTAATATCTCTCTCTATTATTTTTCATGTTCTTTGGCTACACTCCTTAGACCCTCTCACTGTTTGCACAGAATACATTTTGCTTTTGGTTCTCAATTTGGTGACTTTCTTGCTTCCCATAAGTAAAAATAATGGATGGAAAAGGGAAGCAAAGGATTATTGAAAGGTTGGTGAAGAAAGAATTAGCTGAGTTTGGTGGTGAATCATCAGATGATGATGGGTCACTAGAGATGGGAAGTGTAGATGATTGTATTGAGAGTAACAAGAAAAAGAAAGCGGTGGCTGGCGGTGGAAAGAAGGGATTCGGCGGTGGTGGTGCTGGGAGTGGGGGGATGAGGTGTTGTCAAGCTGAGAAGTGTACGGCTGATCTAACCTATGCAAAGCCATATCATAAGAGGCATAAGGTTTGTGAGTACCATTCGAAGGCTCAGATTGTGGTTGTTGATGGGATTAGGCAACGATTTTGCCAGCAATGTAGCAGGTTAGATTTAGAGATGACCTTTTTTTATTTTCTTTTTTGTTATTAGCAAATATGAGCGAAATTTTGAGTCTTTATGCCTTAATTATGGTCTTTGTTGTTTAAGATGTAGCTTAATATTATGGTATTAAATAATTTAACAATTTCAAGTTTTTGTTTCAACTTTCTTTACCAGTAAGAAGATGTTAAAATTTGACTTAATTAAACTGTTTTTTAGTTTAGAAAAAGAAAAAAAAAAACAAGGAAAATAAGATTCATAAGGTTTATTTCCAACCTTAAATCCAAGTTGGGGTGTCATGTTTGTTGCTGGTTGCTAATTGTATTACATATCCTGAAAGATAGTGTCTTTCTCCTTCTTCTTCTTCTTCCATTTTTGTTACTGCATGTTTTCTTCTTCCATTTTTGTTACTGCATGTTTTTCCTTCCTTGGGTAAATTTATGAACTAACTACTCTCAAAGCTGGGCTACTTTTTATTTGTTCATCTTCCCTGGTAGTCTGTTCTCGCCAAGAAGAAAATAGATGAAACGTAGCAATATGAAATTTCTCTCTTTATGCTTGGTCGATGCTAAAACTTTGGAATTTTGAACCTACAAGTTCTAAAAGATGCTATCTTTGCATCTTCCAAATAATGGTTGGTGATATGTTGGATGAAATGAGGCATTGGTAGGATGCACAACAGTTGAACAAATCTTGAAAGTTATTTCAGAACAGTTTGCTTGTAGTAGGCTGTTTGTTCCTGATATTTACTTTCCAGCCTATTTTAAGGTTGTTGAGTAATCATTCAATTCGGAAATGATATTTTTTCCATTAATCATGATGCATAGATCATCTTGAATCTTCGTAATCCAGTGTCTTGTTGTGGCTGTATTTGGAATTTCTGATCCGTTCCGTCGATCTTGTTTTATTTGGCATATTATGCTGTGGAATCTATTGCATTTGCTCTATGATCTATAGGAAATTTTTTAAAGGTGGAATCAGCTGTTAGTTACAGTGGTTGGCGCTAATTTTATATAATTCATTAGATACTTTTTTTCCTCTGCGTCCTTATTTCGCATTGTCACAAACTCACATGCACACACATTCCAAGTTTCTGAACTGCCTATTACATTTTTCAGTCTGATAGGGAATTTTGTGATGCAGATTTCACGAGCTATCAGAATTTGATGAAACCAAAAGGAGTTGTCGTAGGCGTTTGGCTGGACACAATGAGCGACGAAGAAAGACTCATACAGAAAATTCAATCCACAAAGGAACAGGTACCCAGTTGAAGAATATGGTATGTGGACAGGTCGATGACAGAGGAAGAATTAAGATAACCATCCAAGACAATGCCACTTACAAGCATTTCCAGATCAGACAAACCAATTGTTCTTAAGCTTGCTCCCTCTCTTCTGTCATCGTAGAATGTAGTCGTGGTAGTAGTAATAGCAAGAGCATTGTTCCGTAGTGTATAGTTATTGAAGATTTCTCTTAGGTTTAGTACATGCTAATGCCTTAGGGCATCCATTTCAGGATGGCAAGATTGCTAGTTCCGGTGCTAGATTTATGAAAGTCTGTAGGCTAGCCAGGGGTTTCAGTGCACCATAGATTGCAGCTTTTTTAGTACCCAATGTGATTTGCTCAACCTAACTTATGTTGATAAGGTTTGAAAACCTAATGTATGCCTGATAAGGTTTGAATTGCCACCGAACCCCTTCTTCCACCACCGCTGCCGCCAGCCACCACATTCTTTCTACACTCCCCATCTCTAGATACCCATATCACAACTCAACTCAATCTCTACCATTTGTCGACAATTTATACATTTCTAAACTTGTTTGCAAATCCTAAGAGATTGCAATTTTAGATAGAGAATATTAAATTTCGATTCAACTCAAGTTTATAATAAATTAAAGTTGTAACCAATTAGCTCGAGTTCAACACGGATTCGTCTAATATAATAAGCAGATTAAGGTTTTAATTGCAATACTCGTTTATGATATAAACCCGTTTAATCTCTTAAAGTTGTAACCAATTAGCTCGAGTTCAACACGGATTCGTCTAATATAATAAGCAGATTAAGGTTTTAATTGCAATACTCGTTTATGATATAAACCCGTTTAATCTCTTAAAGTTGTAACCAATTAGCTCGAGTTCAACACGGATTCGTCTAATATAATAAGCAGATTAAGGTTTTAATTGCAATACTCGTTTATGATATAAACCCGTTTAATCTCTTAAAGTTGTAACCAATTAGCTCGAGTTCAACACGGATTCGTCTAATATAATAAGCAGATTAAGGTTTTAATTGCAATACTCGTTTATGATATAAACCCGTTTAATCTCTTAAAGTTGTAACCAATTAGCTCGAGTTCAGCCACACATTTCTTTCTACACCTCCCCCATCCTCGCTACGGTGGATACGCACATACTCACAATAGTCTCAAAAAAAAACGTTCTCCCAATCTCTTTCCAGTTTGTTCGACAAACTTCCGTATCACATTTCTAAACTTCGTTTTGCATAATCCTAAATGGCTTGTCCGCCAAATCTTTTAGATTAGAGATAACTATAAATTATCTCCGATTTTCAACACCTCTCAAGATTATAATAAATTAAAGAGTTGAACCACTATTGACTCCGAAGGACCCGTCTCAACCACTGGATCTCGTTCTAATTATAAAAGTAAGCAGCCCTACCTTAACGGTGTTCAGGTGATTGTATGGGGCAACACTCGTGTTAAAGTTGTAACCAATTAGCTCGAGTTCAACACGGATTCGTCTAATATAATAAGCAGATTAAGGTTTTAATTGCAATACTCGTTTATGATATAAACCCGTTTAATCTCTTAAAGTTGTAACCAATTAGCTCGAGTTCAACACGGATTCGTCTAATATAATAAGCAGATTAAGGTTTTAATTGCAATACTCGTTTATGATATAAACCCGTTTAATCTCTTAAAGTTGTAACCAATTAGCTCGAGTTCAACACGGATTCGTCTAATATAATAAGCAGATTAAGGTTTTAATTGCAATACTCGTTTATGATATAAACCCGTTTAATCTCTTAAAGTTGTAACCAATTAGCTCGAGTTCAACACGGATTCGTCTAATATAATAAGCAGATTAAGGTTTTAATTGCAATACTCGTTTATGATATAAACCCGTTTAATCTCTTAAAGTTGTAACCAATTAGCTCGAGTTCAACACGGATTCGTCTAATATAATAAGCAGATTAAGGTTTTAATTGCAATACTCGTTTATGATATAAACCCGTTTAATCTCTTAAAGTTGTAACCAATTAGCTCGAGTTCAACACGGATTCGTCTAATATAATAAGCAGATTAAGGTTTTAATTGCAATACTCGTTTATGATATAAACCCGTTTAATCTCTTAAAGTTGTAACCAATTAGCTCGAGTTCAACACGGATTCGTCTAATATAATAAGCAGATTAAGGTTTTAATTGCAATACTCGTTTATGATATAAACCCGTTTAATCTCTTAAAGTTGTAACCAATTAGCTCGAGTTCAACACGGATTCGTCTAATATAATAAGCAGATTAAGGTTTTAATTGCAATACTCGTTTATGATATAAACCCGTTTAATCTCAACCATTTATGAGACCCCTACTTGCCACCTTTATATGCTCTTTGTGGATTTAGTATTTAGTTAATGTGGGATTCTTGACACTATTTTATCTCATATTTTAAATTGAGAGACATTATTAAATTAAGTATACTATCAAAGAGACCGGAACATGCTTGCTCATCATCTATTGTCGAACTCAATTTTGATTGCGATAATATGTTTGTCACTAATGTGAATCGAGAATTATGGAAAAATAATGAAAACCCTTGTACTATGTATAAGGAGAAATTTGTTGAAGGAGTTAATTAATTCTTACAATTTTACTAAAGGAAAATATCAGTCAAAATGTTGCAAGAGTACAAACTTATTTAATACTCAATACTATAGTAATCAACCTTTGTGGCAGTATAAGACAACAATAGGAACAGAAGGTCACTGCCTTAAATAGTTTTTGTGATACCACCTAAATACTTAATACAATAGTTTTTGTGCTAATCCCAACATGTTTGATTCATTTTAATGCATTAGGAACCAAAAGAGTCACAAATTTTTTTGGCTAAAAGACAAGCTAGAGAATGAAAAATTATAAAATATACCTCATCTTGTCCATAGAGGGAGCTCCCTTCCTTGAAAATTGTGTTTTCGAAGTCAATAGAAATGGTCAGCTCAACAGTAGGACCTAGATTTGTCATTGTCCTCTTGCCAAGTATCGAGATTGTTTTGTGTAGAGGAGCAGGGGAAGATGTCAATTTCAACAAAGAAGATTCTGAAGTTGAAAATATAGGTGAAGTCTAACCTGAGGAAGAAATAACCATATTTCAGCAAAGGAGATGTCGAAGTTGAACGTATAGGTGAAGTCTGACCTGAGGAAGCGCATAAGTGAGATAGTAGTGATCTTTTTGGTAACCAGGAGTGTAATAATGCTCCACCAGCTTGAACTCTTCTTCATCTTTCTCTTGCAGACTCAAACTCTGCACCATCAATGACTGTCTTTCCTATGTTTTTGAAGAAAATTATTAATTACACAGTTAATTGACAAATTATCGCGTCAATAGAGGATTAACCAGCACCACCTTAAAACTCAACAATTGAGAAATGTACATAACCTTGAAAAGCTTGGATATCATTGTTAACTTATACTTCCGGCAAAACAACTACACAAGAAAAGACTTCAAAAATACATTGAAAAGCTTGGATATCATCGTGCCTCATTCATTTTCTGTCTCTGGCTTTGAATTCTTGCACTCGCACAAACATTTAAGTAATTTAAATTGTACTGAACTTCAAGGATGCAAATAATAGTACGAGATAAAGAAATTTTCATGGTTAGTTTATCTATTGGCTGCTTGCATCACTTGAATGCTTGACTATATCATATAATGCATAAATCAAAACTTAGAGCATATATGTATATACCCAGTGTGAACATATTAATAATTACTGCCACATTTGCAGACATATTGTCCAGAGGACGTTGATGAAGGAAAGGTCAAGCCTGGTGAATATGCGCTCAAACATTTGATGGAAGTTGAAATTGGTGGATTTTATAGCACCCCAAACCAGATGGAGTTGGCGGCCTACTTGTTGAAAAATGCTTCTGCTCTTGGACGGTTGGTCATCACGCAAGAAGTAAAACCACATATTCTGAAGAGGCAGTCATGGGATGAAGGAGAACGTGAAATGTTGTATGAAAGAGTAGGGGACTTTGCCAAAGATGGAGTGCTCGTTGTCCGATGAATCCTCCATTCAGATTATTTTATTTTATAATCTACAAGTTTCATTTATCTTTAGCAATGTAGTATCTAAATTTAGGACTTCAATGTTTAGGACAGTTCTCATTCTCTCTCTTAGGTAAATAATCAAAATTTGACCAATAGCCCAAATTGATATTGCAAATGGTTTAGCCCAATGGGCTTAGCCCATTTATTTGGGTTCCTTGCAAATTTAAATGCTAATCATTGCTTTGTAATCAACGCTGGATAGTTCCATGATATTTCCTAAAAGGAAAATTCTAAGGAGGAGAAGCATCATTATCACTCTTTGGATAGCAATTTTTATTTTATTAGCACATGTCTTTTCCACCTTTAGGATTTTATTAAAAAAATGTTTCCCATTCAATGATGTTACTCCAAATCATTCTAATTCTAGTTAAAATCATTTAATTATCTTCCATTTTTTTTAAATTCCATGAATTTTTTCATTTGCATTAATTGTTATTTGTTCATGTTCTGATGAAAGACTATATTAGATAACAAATTTTCAACTGTCGCGACACTAAATTTATGAAGTTCCTAAATTTAGAAAATTTTCATGAGTTATTAATTGCTCTGGATTTATTCAAATTTATTTAAATTTGTAAATTTATAAAATTTCACGAGTTATTAATTGCCCTTAACTATTCAAATTTATCCATAGGGATTGTAGAGCATTTATGATTTTAGCATAATTTATGGTTAAGAATATTAAGTTTTGGTTTATTTTAATATTTTGTTCTTACATTCATTTAATTTAATTATTTTAAGTTTTTTTTTCACATGAGTATATAAAAACATTAATCTCTCAGTTCTAAAAAGATAGTCCACTTAATATTTTCACACGTGTTAAGAAATATGTTTAAATATTTTTATTTATGTAACTTTCGATTATGTTCATCTTAAATAACACATAAGTAATTATTATATTGAGATAATAAAAAATTGAGGGTTATTGAAAATAAGATAAAATTTAATAAAAATAATAGATAAATTAAAGATGAACTATAATATATAAAAGGAAAATGAATATATTTTGAACAAACCAAAAGGAAAAGATTAAAAAAAGTATTAAAAAATAAATTCAGCCATATTATTGTATTTGTGTACTAATGATAGAAACGCCAAAATTTTTTTGAAAATAATTATATAATAAATAAAATTAATTATAATGTCTTTATAATTTGTTTAATCTTTAAAAAAAAAAAAAAAAAAATAGATAAAAATAAAATTCAACTGTATTTTAAAAAATAAAATTCAGCCATATATTGTATTATGCCATCTTTGTAATCTAAGTTTGATAGAAACGCATCATACATATTTTTTAATATATTAAATATATTATAATAATATAGTAAAAATATTAATTATAAGTTCTTGTATAAATTTGATTTAAAATCGCTATATTTTAAATAAAAAATAAAAAAATAAATAAGAGATATGAAGAGGCTGACCACGAGCCACCATAGTGCTTTTGGCTTTTTAGTCGCGAGATATCGTAACATGCCGATTCTGATCTCTCCTAGTGAGAGAGTGGAGCAACTTTAAATTTAAAACTTATATATTAATGTATTAAAAATTAAAAATAGGAAAATTAAAAAGAATATATGTATATATATACACGATAAAAAAATGCCAAATCTCGTTAAAAAAAAAAAAAAAAAAGAGATAGGAGGCTGACCACCGAGCCACCATGTGCTGCTTTTAGTCGCCGTAACATGCGATTCTGATCTCTCCTAGTGAGAGAGTGAGCACTTAAATTAAAACTATATAATTATTAAAAATAAAATAGGAAAATTAAAAAGAAATATATGTATATATATACACGATAAAAAAGCCAAATCTCTCCCATCTATTCTTCCCGTTCTTCTTCTTCTTTCCCCTGCGTTTCTCCCTTTCTCTCATTCTTCGCCTCTCGGTTTCTCTCTCTACCTCATACAAACAGTTTCTCACTTTGCATCCAAACAAAAGAGCTTACGGAGACAGAAAGTGAACCAAACGGTAACCCATTTGACGATATCTTAGAATAAAGGCATCAATGCCTGCACAGAAGCGCTCTTTATCAGACAATCCGAACAACGATGAGCAGCAAGAAGATGCCTTTTCTCCTCATCAAAACGGCCAACAATATCCCAAGCAACCTCGCCTTGACCCATCTCCTTTGGATGACCACCAACAACTGCAACAAGAGCTAGATGAAGAAGAAGAAGAAGAAGAAGAAGAAGAAGAAGAAGAGGAGGAGGAAGAAGAGGCTGCCCAGAAACCAGAAGATGAAGGAGGTGTAGAAGAAGATGAAGAAGACGAGGAAGAAGAAGAGAAACGAGGTAACTACTTGTTGTTCTTCTACTATTCATACATGGTGGGCGTTCCTGTATGTGTATAATATTATGTACGTATAAAGGTTAGCTGTGGGTGTAGTGAAGAAATTGATTTCGCTGTTCACGATTGACTGAATCCATTGTTGCTCTTTCTCTTTCTTTCTTCTCAGATTCTGAAGAAAGTCTATCTTCCAGTTCTGAAGATGAAAAACCCGAGTAAGAATCTCTCATTCCCACACTTGTCTTGTTTGTCTTTTCTTTTTTCCTGCTTCTTCATTTGTACAATTTACTACAGGTACTCTTCTTTTTTCTTATTTATTTATTTATTTTTTTCTGTCACACTTTATAGTACATGCAGTTATACATATATTTACATGAGATTGGTGTTCTCGGTGAAGTGTTGGTTTGATTTTAATTTTCCATTGCTTTTTCTAGTAGAAGGGACTTTGAGTTCTTGTTTATTGCAATGGCAAGTTCAAAGGTCTTTAGATTCTACTGGCATTGTCTTAATATTTTGGTAGTCTCGAAGAGGTTGATGCATTTCACAGTTTCTCTTTAGATTGACTCCCTCTGGTATCTGTTGACGAAGCTAAATGTTGGATGTATAGCAAAGATTCCACATTAACTTGTTTGCATTTTAAATGTTGCTGCTCGACTAGTGTCTTTTTACTTGTACATTTGTTGCGTGTAAAGTCTTCTCGTACAGCATATATATTTTTTCTTTTTGTCTTTGGGAAGCATCTCTTTTTTGGGTTCTTAGAGGCATGAAACTTAATTCTAGAACCACAAAATATGTACCATGATGTGCTGTAATGAGTAACAAATTGTAGAAAATAAGAGAATACAAAACTAAGTTGAAGGACGGTCTGCTGGAGTGAAGGTTACAAAGAACTTGACTGATGTAGTCTCTTTATTATGGAATGCTGCGGTGACTCACCTAGAATTATTTACAATTATAAGTTACAACAGACTAATCACCTTAAAGGTCCTAAACTTTACACCAACCAGAAATTATTATCTGAACTATAGAGCAAGTTAGAACCTTATATTTAATTATGAGTTGCAATTGTGACTGCCTGTAAGCAGCCCTCACGCCACAATTCAACCATAATTAATATCTCCATGCAATTTTTCAGTTTGGGCCTTAGTTACAAATTGGTATAATTTTTTTGTGGGTGTTTAACCATATCCTAATTCATTAATGATTAACCATGCAAACAATTGCAGAAACTATCATGCATGTTTTGGGAATTAATTTTGAATTTGTTACCATACTGTATATGCCTATTTACATTACTCTTAGATAAGACTATATGTGATAGATTGTAAAACAGAGGATGTCAGAAATCTCAATATTAGTGCTTTTGACATGTTTGTGCCATTGTTTATATGGTGTACTGTGCAGTGTAGACAATATATTTTCAAACTACTTCATTCAGTGTCTTAGATTGAGAACCTAAACTTTTCAAGCTACTTTATAAACTTTTTTAAGCTAGTTGGTTTAGCATGGTTTATCTGCAGTATGGTTCAAAAACTTAGGCTGATGGGGACAAGGGTTGTAACTACTTGAAGTTTAATACACCCTCATGCAATGACAAGGGCTTAGTAACTCTTTTGGGATTATGAAAACTTGCAACGTCTTGGTGCTTATCCTTCATAAACATCTGAATTTTAGAGAAGTTTCCAGTATAATCAAGGTTGCTGATTTGTCCTCTGCAATGAACATCTGGAATGAATAGTCAGTGATCTAGAGCTATCAGCTTTTCACTCTATGTGAAAATCCTAGATACAATCTTACTGTCCTGCAGGAGATGCAAACATCCATATGGTCAATGAAGTTAGTGGGCATATAAAATCATATTTGCTATAAATGGGTATACCACAAAGTTCAAATCTTTTGAAAGAGCTAAATTTACACAATGATGCAACTTAGGAAAATGTATTGATTTTTTTGCAATTGATTTCTCTGCTTTATTCTAACAATTGATTATGCCACTTATATTTATCAGTGAGGAGGTCTAGAGGGCTGATAAATTCTCTTTTTTTTTTTTTTTTTTTTTTTTTTTTTTTTTTTTTTTTTATTTAGATTTTTTTTGCAATTTGATTTTCTTCTGCTTTATTTCTAAACAATTTGATTATGCCACTTATATTGACAGTTGAGGAAGGTCTAGAGGGCTGATAAATTCTTTCTTTTTTTTTTTTTTTTTTTTTTTTTTTTTTTTTTTTTTTTTTTTTTTTTTCTTTTGTAGATATGTCTTTGTGGAGCTGCCAGAGATTCGTAAAGATGTACAATGCCCAATATGTCTAGGTGCTTCTTGCTTTGGAATTTTATTCTCTTTTCCTTTTCTCTAAGGAGTTTTATTTTCCAGATGTATGTTTGACTTGATGTGTTCGAGACATAATCTAGCCTTAGGTCAGGGTATCATTTTGCAGTGATATTCTTTGATCCAGTGAATTCCAACTCTTGAATATGTATCAATGCGATAAGTAGTTTTTAAGTTTTTGCGATGCAAGAGATACAGATTTAGGTCACAATAAAATTTTTTTCCTGCCTGTTGATCTCATATAATGCAGTTCCTGAGAATCAGAATCACCTGTGATGAATAATTTACGTACCATTCTATTCCTTCCTCTTCAAGCTGCTTGTTGCTCTGTAGCATGAGGAAGAAGTGCAAAGAAGTACCTTTCCCAAAACCTTAAATTGTTAGGTGAGGACCATGCTTCCTATAGTAGTCAGAAATTTTCAAAGGCACTTCGATTTTCTTTATTTGTTCCCCAGGCCATGAGAACACAGTGTTCATTACTGAGTATTTGACTGGTGATATAGTTCTGTCATTACTTAATTCCTGAAGACTCTCACAACTGACTGCAGATGGTTTGGAATAAGGTCTAGTCTGTGTTAGAGATGCTCCATTATTTGATATCAAACTGTTCTCTAATATTGGTGAATAGGTGACTTAATAGAAAGAAATTCTGTCCTTCATTTGATAAACTACTTTTGCAATGGATCTTTTTCCCAAGCTCCCTTCCCTTCCATAATACCATTGTTGTTGGGAAAGAAATCTCGTCTCCTTTCATTTCCTGTGCCATTTGTGATTGAAAAAATCTCAGTTTGCTGTTGGTATAATATTATGAGTTATGAGTGTTGTTGGCTCTAATTCTGAAATGCCAAGTCAGATCACATGTATGATATGAGATCTTGAGAACTTAAAATGAGAATATTATTTTTGTTCATCATCTTTTGTCTGGATTTTGTTTAGGTTGAAAATTGTGAACGTTCTCTCAATGAATATTGGGTTGCTTGGCCATGCCATAGTCAGATAGTTAACATTTTCAATCCAAAAAAAAAAAAAAAAAAAAAAACTGGGATTTCTGTTTTTTAGGCTTGAAAATTGTGAACGTTCCTCTCAAATGAATATTTGGGTTGCTTGGCAACTATGCCATTAGTCAAGAATTTAGTTAACATTTTTCAATCCAAAAATAAGACAAAAAAAAAAAAAAAAATCTAATCATGCATTATATCTTCCAACCAGGTGAATCATTAATAGAAACACACGAACTGTGAATGGAATGTCATTGCTACCAATTATTTGCAGCTGAATGCTATTGACAATGTCAATTGCTCGCGGAACTTGGGGAGTATTATAGTGGACACCAAAAATCTTCTCTAATTAATTACTTTTTTACTTACTCTATTACTGCTTTGCACTCTTACTGGTTAAAAAAAAAAAAAAAAAAAAAAAATCTAATCATGCATTATATCTCCACAGGAATCATAAAGAAAACACGAACTGTGATGGAATGTCTGCACCGTTTTTGCAGGGAATGCATTGACAAATCAATGCGACTTGGGTATGTGACAAAAATTTCAATAATTCTTTTACTCTTATTCTGCTTGCTTACTGGTCTCCTGATTCAGTAATCCCACCTTCATTAGGGTAATTCTTAGAATATTTTAAATAATTGTCCACCAATCAAATTTTATTGCTTGGATTACTAATATATTGCAGGAATAATGAGTGTCCTGCTTGCCGCACACACTGTGCAAGCCGCCGTTCTTTGAGAGATGATCCTAATTATGATGCCCTGATTGCTGCTTTATATCCAGATATTGACAAGTATGAGGAGGAGGTATAAGTTATTTGCCTTTTCTAATTCCTATTATTATTATTATTATTATTATTATTATTATTATTATTATTATTTGCATTTCTTCTAATCTGCCATGCTTCTGAGACGGCATGAATACTTGGTCCCAGGAATTGGCTTTTCATGAGGAGGAAAGGACACGGAACAAGCAGGTGAGTGCATTTCTGTTGATTTCATGTGTTTTATCTATGTTATTAGCAGTAAATAATAACATCAAGAGAAGTGCGCAAAAAGAACAAATGAGAACTGGCTTTTCGGGATTTCCAGGGAGATGTGAGCTTGGAATCAACGTTGTGGGACTTGAATCCCTGCTTGTTTAATAACCTAATGTCCTAGCTAAAGGATAGTGCTTTCAAAGTTTAATAATGTACTTTTCATGAAAAACAGTCATTGGAGATAGCAGTGATAATGTTTGAGTACTTGACCATCATGGTTGACAAAAGTGTATATCATCTGAATTTTGCTTGGTGCTGCTATGTTGACCTTTTGCTTTGATATTTGAACTTTAATTTGATGAAATCGTCTGACTTTGATCCTTGAATTCCATTATTTGAGTTCTAAGGGAGTTCTAATTCTTCTGAAATGGACACCAGTGGCCTACTTTGTACATATGACTTTTCTAATTTTTATGTTTAGTTTTAAAAAATGGTATTAGACTAGAACTCCAAAAGTCTCGTTTGAGAATAGGGAATTGTATGAACTCAGCACATGTTCTGTCTTGTTTTTGGTGTGTTGTTTGATTTGTTTTCTTTGCCAGATCCAAGCTTCAATTGCCCAAATATTTCAACGGCAATCAGAAGCACTTGTTAAGAGACGCACAATGGGTAAAGAATCAACTCCATTCATGCCAAGATCACAACGCAATCATAGGACAATTCCTTCAAGAAGGCGGCGAAACAGCCGGAGCACTGAATTTCAAGGATCTGAAGACATCGAGGAAGAAAATGATGATAATGGGGGTAAGGATTCATCTTCCACTGATGAGCGCTCCACAGAAGTTAGGCAGCGCAGGCGTAAAAGACGAACAGGAATTCGGTCCTCTCACCCTTCTTCATCTTCTTTCAATCCAGAGGGTGTATCCATAGAAAATGATTTAGAAGCAAGCAGAGAGAACAGAGGAATATCGCCCGGTCTTGTTTGGAATACAGAAATGCTTGCATGGGGCAGGGGTGGTGCTCGAAGTCACACACGACATGGTAATGCTAGTGGTTGCAACAACAAGAATTCCCGAAGCACTCGGTTATCCAAGTTGGTAGAATATTTCAAGAGCCTTGAGGAAAAAAATGATGAGGTATGTGAGGATGTAATTGTTTGTTAAGCTGTGGTTAGGTTGGCAGGGAAATTTTTTTTTTTTTTAAGTACTGATAATCAGGAAAAGCTGAGGTGAGGGTAACTTTGATAAGACTTTTTTTGTCAGTTATTTGGGGGTTCTTGGTGGGGATAAGTTTTACATGACAAAGCAAAAGAAATATGATGTCTATAGGTTGCTAATAATGTGGGGCACTACAGCAGTAGAACACTCAGGAAAGAGGGTAAAGAAGAGCTAATTGTGCTTGATAGCAGAAATTATATGGTAGGCATATACCTCTTTACATGCAAAATTTTATCACAGTAATGTGAAGAACGTGGACTTAAGAATCATAAATAAGAAAACACCAAAATAATGACTTGGATCCAACCTATGAATTTTATGATCCCAAGTAGTAGAAAGAATAACTGTAGAGAACTCTTAGAATTCCTAAAAGACTCTAGCTCAGATTACCAAATTACCCTGATATACTTGAACCATACTCATACAAATAGGAGTCAAATTAAAAATTGACTCGTTACTTAGATAACGGGGATTTAAGATGCAAAACCACGTGTTGCTTTCTTGAACATTGCATGTTGATTACTGGTTACAGTGTTCCTAAATTACAGCAACTGAACATTTGGTGGGAAGTACATATCAACTGCTGAATAAAAAAAAAAAAAAAAAGTTCAATTACTCTGTACAATTGAAAGCGTGCTTGTACATTTTGATGAGCAGGGCAATAACTTGCTTTGTGTCCGATCGCGCCCTGTCATCTTTATTTTATGTGTTTCATTTGTTAATTGTATATTCTGCCTGATTAAAGCTGAATTATTGTTTGCAGTTAGATATTCACTTTAGGCTTATTTCTTTGGAAAAAGAAAGTGCAATGGATATGCAACGGCCATTCCTTTGTGGTCATCCCAGTTTGTCAGTGAAACACCTGTGTGAGGTGAGATCTTTTCCCGTCATCATAATTATTGGAGCATGTTATGTATAGATGATCCAATTCTTTGTGAGAATGCTGGAATTCTAATTTAGAATCAAGTATGATGTCTTACTTAATTTGGGAAGTTGTTTCCTGCTTCTTAATTTGAGAGGTAGCCAGAGGAGCTTGATTTCAGCGCAATGGTGTCATCGACATCTGAACATATTGTTTATTGTGTAACCGTGGGGTTGTGGTTGATTGAGTATTTGCTTTCCTGATTTTGTATGACATATATCATGCAGTATATTGCTCGCAAGACACTTTTGCAAGCTGAAGAAGTTGAAATATTATTAGTTAAAGGGCAGCACAAGCCTGATAACAACCTATCCATCCTGCATCCTCCGATTTCAGTGGATGAGCTGCAAATTTTGGAAGAACAAGAAACTTTGGCAGGTCTTAAAGTTAATTGCACTTCCAGTAGAGATCGTCTGGTGAGTAAACGAATTGGTTTATATAACTTTATGAGATGTATCCGAAGTTGATGATGAACTGAAGCTGTTTTTTCCCTGTTGCAGATTCTGGCATATCGGCAGAAGGAAAATAAGCAATTTTTTTTTTTTTTTTTTTTTTTTTTTTTTTAATAGGAAAAGGAAGAAAGGTCCATTAACCGTTTGTAAAACCGTTGTATGTAAATAAATGTGTGGAGATTCAGGATGAAATTTTTGTAAACAATGAAAACTTTCTTAAAATAATATTTATTCAATATTTTATACACACACAAAAAGATTAAAGAAATGAACTTCCAGATTTCTTGTACAATTTCAGGATCTTCAAGATTAACAGAATTATTTATTCTGTCATTCATTATTGCACAGATAAACGCCATTTTGCATAGGAAAAATATTTGTTCAATATTTTATTTACACAAAAAGATTAAAAGAAATGAACCAAGTTGTTTGCACAAGTTCCAGTTTTCTTGTACAATTTCAGGATCTTCAAGATTAAAAGAATTATTATTCTCATTTTTGCACAGGAAAGTATTTGATCAATATTTTATTTACACACAAAAGAACAAGTTGATGATTTCATTAAAATATTGCACAAGTTCCAGTTTTTTTGCACAAATTCCAGAATTCTCGTACAGTTGATGACCTTTTAAGATTAAAAGAAATATTTGTTCTCTCATTCATATTATTGCACAAAAATTAAGCACCAAGCTTTCCTTTATCTCAACACCCCAAGAAATTTGAAGGCAAAAAAGGTAGAATTGAAGCAGAATGCAAAGATTGAACTGCGCTTTTTTCCATTCTGAAACAAATGTTACAACAAAATCTAATTGTGTACAAGATGTGATCTAAGAGTTCTATATCTTAGCGGTACAAGAATTCTGAAAGAGAAAGAGGGGTTCAAGAGTTCTTGAACAGTAGTAGCAGCCCTGCCGGTTGATACTAGATGATATCACCTCATACATGAAGCAGGGCTCGAAGTTGCGTTTATCATCAATCTCTGCCGTTCTTTCCTTCGAAGCACACGCAAAGTCGGTGACTTTGCTTTTGTTGTATCCTTGGAAAAAAAAAAAAAAAAAAAAAAAAAAAAGGCATGAAGTCTCTATAAGAAGAATTTGCTAGAAGAGAAAAAAAGCAGAGAGCGTCAAATTTTAGTTTTCTTACTTCTTAGGGCAGAATGGATTGTCAAAATTTGGCACTGGCCTTGCATGAGGAACCATTGTTCTCCTCAATTGTTTTAAAGCTTTCTCTTCTTCTACCTGCAATTAACAAAATTTAATCCCTGGTTACTGCAACTCACAAGCCTGTAATAATAGAGCAAGAAAATGGAAGATTTATTCCCATACCATCCTTGCAGCTTCACTCTCTTCTCTGTATCTCTTGTATAATTGCTCTTTCTCTTTTACCTGAAAAGGATCAAATTTTTAGCATGAAAAGCCTTCATTCTTCACAAATCTAACTTCATGTCAAATTAATGAAATCACCTTTTGATCAAATTCTGCCCTATCCACGGCTCTATGATCCACATGAAGATTAAATTTTTGAACTTGTGTGAGGGGTTTTCGCACTTTTTCTGGTAGTGGAATTGGATCCCTGCAACAGGCCAACCATGGAAAGAAAAATGATTTACTTGTATGGAAAAAGGAATAGAATTTGAGGCCTAAAAAAGTTTGCTTACTCTTTAAGGACTGGTTGTGCTTTGAACCTCCTCATCTCTGCCTCCTCTTTCTCTATCCTTTGTCTTTCTTCCAATTCCCTTTGCATTTCCTCTTCATGCCTCACTAGACTCTCCAACTGGAAAGGTGTTGGTTTTGTACATGGTTTGGGCTCTGGTTTCTGGGGAATCTGCGTTCAAAATTACCCTCCTCATGTTAACATCATTTGTGACAACTACAAAGCGAAATGGATATATGAATTGAATATATATACCACAGGATAGTCAGTAGTATAAGGATAAGGATTAGCCTTCGGAATTCTTGCTCTTTCCTCTTCTAGCTGCTTCTGCACAATGTCCATCACAAATTTCCTCTCTTTTTCAGTTCCTCTTTCCTGAGAGCAAAACAAAGAATAACTTAAAATGCTCAAGGTATTCGATAGATTTTCATCCCATGACCAACGAAAATGAATGATACCTCTGTGTGGAGATGGAATGGATTTGGGACGGTGTTTCTTGGAACTGGATTGTCACGATGAGGTTCCGAGTTAAGTGAAAGCTGAAAAGAATAACAAAGAACATGATGACCTCTCGGGGAAAGAAAATTACAATTTAATTACAAAATCAAGACACTGCGGTTCCATTAGGTTACCTTGTCAAACAAATCAGCAACAGCAGCTGCCGGTGGAATCCTTTCATTTATGGCAAAGTGAAATTCTTGAGGTATGGTAATATGTTTCTTTACGTTGCAAAACACCCCTAGTTCTCCTTTACTTTGAAATATCTATACACCAGACAAGGTATTAAAATTAATCCAGGAAACTAAGGTTTTAAAGGTATATAACTTAGCATCGTTGAGATATGGAGTTCTACCTTTTTATTCAATGGCCTTGCCTTAAATTTAGGCATCTTTTCAAGTTCCTCTTTCTCAAGCTCTAAAGAACTTTTCACCTTTGGTGGACGGGCCCTCAAAGTAGTATGAAGAAGAGGAGTTTTAGGTTCAGTAAGATGAGGCTTCCATTGATGACTCTGTCATGATAAGTAAAAGAGTGAGCAAATCACTTTATGGTACAAGGAATAAGAACAACAAATGAGGCTGCTCTAAAACCTGATGAGACACTTCCGTTGAGGCCACTGAAGCTGAATCTGCATTTTGATTGGCCCTTGCTGTTGTCTCGAGATGAAATTCCTGCAGAAAAATTGAGAAAGATCAAAAAAAAAAAAAAAAAAAAAGGTTGCGCACTGTTATTCACATTATTGCACAAGGCTTACATGAAATTCAGGCAGTTGTGGAGTACTTCTTGGTAATGCAGGTAGTGTAGGTGCTTCCAGTATCTAAAACGAATGAAAAAGTTCCAATTAGACAAGGAAGAAAAATTCGATTTGGTGCAAATGACCTGTGCAAACACATTGACCATAACAGAAGCAACAGGAAGACAAAATACCTTCTTGTTTAATGGTCTAGCTTTAAACTTTGGAATTTTGGCCATCATCTCTTCCTCAAGCTCGGCAGTACTCTTTATTCTGACTGAACGAACTCGCTGAGCTGTTTCAAGTTCAGGCTCCTTCGGCTTTGTCAATGTGAGTTGAGGTTTACTCTGGACAGCAGAAGTACATCATCCTCAATTAGTGAAAAGAATTTGGAAAGAAAGGGGGAAAAAAAAAAGGAAAAGGAGAACCCAAGGACTTGAAGAAAAAATTTAACAAAGTGCGAAATAGGGCTTCCTCCATTCATTACATGTGAAAGAGAACTGCTTCTAATGTGGGGCAGTGACAATTCTCTGGTACTTGATTGGAACTTTTTCATCATCTCTGCCATTGAAACAAACGGTGTTGGTGCTGCTGGCTCCCTGACATAAACCTTAAACAAAGAAGAAAATACAATGTCCAATGGGTCAGTTCCTAGCATTGTCACAAGAAACAAACGACTTAGAAGATTACACAAAATAACAGACCTTTCTGTCTTCCTTCTGAATTTTATTAGCAACAGATGCATTGGAATTGCAACTGCTCTGACCCAGTTTGGACTTGTGGTGCAATGGTTGTGGGGGTTTAAGATTAAGAATCTGGAATGATGATAAAAATAATCATAAACTGCTCTCAAGCAAGACAAATCACGACAAAAGTTAGTTGAAAGAGTACACAGCAGCAATCAATCACCTGTCTGGATCTCCCTCCTTCCAGCTTCTGTCGCTTAATTGCTTGGTTATCTTGGGCTAAATTGGGAGTCCCAGTTGTATTTTTTATATTTATGCCCCTGTAATAGAAAGGACCAAGTTACTCAACCTCATAAATATTTACCTTGCATACAAATTTTAAACACAGAAGATAAAATGAAAAGTCTCATTAAGAACCTTGTGCTACTTTGTGGCTTGGAGCCTTTAGCTTGTGAGGACTGTGATTGACTCTTTGGCTTCAGCGCTGATGGATTCCTAACTAAACTAGCTATGTGTTTAGCTGATAGATGCTTCTTGGAATTGGTGACTGGGCCTTTCTTCGGAGAAGAGACTGGGGGCTTAGGTGTGCAGTATGTCTCAGCTTTATCGTTCTCTCTAATATCGACAGGTTCAATTTTGATGCTAGAGCTGCTGGTGAAAAAACTGAGGTCAGAAGAAGAAAATAAAAATAAAAAATAATGAGCAGAATCTCTTTTGAATTTATACTAGCAATTATCTTCTCCAGAACTCATACCATTCTTCTTTAGCCATTTTTTTTGTTGCAGCCAAAAAAGTTATATTTAATTTCAGTCCTATCAAATTGTAAGAACTCAAGAATTAAATAACAAACCTTTTGGATTCTTCAGTGCATATGGTCTTCTCATTATCTCCCTCACAAGAACTATTGATTAAGTTTCCATTTTTTTCTTTGTTTGCCTCATGAAGTGTTGTCACTTCCTCTCTAGTTTCAGAGGGTGGCATGACCTCCAATTGAGACTTGGTCTCTGAGGAAGAATTACCTGCTGTTGAATCTGACGATTCTGGAACCTGCTTTGCAATTGTAATGAAGAAATGTTAGATCAGATATTTAGATCTTCTAAATTGTTCAGAAAATGATTATACAGATAACAATATCATCACCTTCTGCACTTGGTCTGCTTCACTAAAGTCACATAAGCCTTCAACCTTAAAAGATCTTCCAGTCTTAATTCTAGGCATAAAAGCTGCATAAAATAGCATTAAACACGATTAAAGATTATACACAATGAAAATAGAAATGCTACCTCAAGTGCAATATAGAATAGTTCAATTTTCCAAAAAAAAAAAGAAAAAAAGAAAGAAAATCCATTACAGTTACTCGATTTGATCTCTCTCGATCCATTATTTCTGTTCACATGTCTTATGCGTTCCTAATAAATGTCTCCTATGAAATTGATCTAATAATGAACTTGGTAATTGACCTATCTAACAGGGAATCTATTTTATTAATTGATTCATCAAAATTTTTCTATCACAAGGAACGGAATAACAAGAAAAACTAAGGCCTTGAATTCTTATCCTTTTTCCTATATTTTCTCTGTAACCAACCAAAGTGTGCATTTGCAAATTTTTTTTAACATTCCCCAATTCTTTCTCAATTCCGAATAAAAACTGTTCTAACTCATCAAAGAATTGAATTTAACGGTAAATAATGAAAGGATCGTAGAAACCCCTAATGTTTTAACCCTAAATTCACTTCCACATGGAATGATATTAACCTAATGTTAGAATAAATAAATAAATAAATAAAAACAAGAGGGAGACACAGTAAACAATCAAGACGTGAAATGTTATGTTGACTAAGCAAGAAGAAGTAGAACATACGAGAAGGCGCATAGCTGAGTGCAGTGTCAAACCAGAGTTCGGCTTTAAGAGAATCTTCGTCTGATTCTCCCTTGATGAAATCATAGAATCGTGGGGCTGAAAATTCATAGGTCTGATCTATCACGCCTGCTCCGCTAGATTCTTCGGCCAAAGCCATTGGAGAGTTCAGTTCAGTTCACTTCCAGATTAGAGAGAGGGAGAGGGGAGAGAGCGTGAATCTGGATATCGGAAATAGAGGAGTCCTTGGTATTTTCAGTTTTTGATGATTTAGTTAGATGGGAGTATCTTTTAGTTGTAAATGAAGGTGGAGAGGAGTATAACGTTAGAAGAAGAGGGTATCTCTAACGGTCGATTTTTTTGAATTTGGGAGCCAGTCTAACCAACGGCCAGGTCGTCACTCTACAGGTATGGGCCGTCTTTCCAACGGTTATATTTCATGGTCTGGACGCGCAGCAACGACGTCGTTTTATTTTCATTTTTCATATTTTCTTTTTTCGTTAGGGACGGTGGTTGTATGTCTTATAGTTTATATAATACATGACACTAATCGAACTTAGAAACTAATATTCACAAAACAAGAGAGAGAAAAAAAATGAAGGTTTATATTGTTTTTTCCTAATTTAGGAATATGAAATATATGCTTTTTAATTAGTTGTTTATTTTAATTTTTTTTTATTTATAGTAATGATAGCATATTTATTAATACAGATTCATCTTAAATAAGAATAGAATAGGAAACTGTAAAAAGAACTCTTTAGTACTATGGAGAGTATTAATTTCTTTGCATTGGGAAAAAAACCAATTGCTTAATCTGAAGTTGAAGAACACTAATCTTAGCAGGCAAAATCTCTGTGAATTAATCATGAACCGTCTGATTGAATTTATAATAGTAATAGTTTTAGTTTCAGCATCAGCCATTACTTCTTGTCAGAAACCTTGGAATTTCATATTTGTAATGATGTTCTGAAGAATTTTGTTTGATATATCCAGGGACTAAGGGATGAACCAACACTAAGACTGTAGTTTTGGTTTTATGGAACTCAATAATATTGCTAAACAGAATCATAGTGCTCCACAACTGATATGTAAATGAATTGAAAAAATTGCAGCAGCAGATGATCCTTCATTTCTTGTTCCAATTATCAATGATTTTCCGATCAAGTGTCATTTCTGTTCAAATGGATTGCTCCAAGTAAAAAAGAAATCAGTTTTTTATATATATAAACCTCTATTTCTTTAAGCAAACAATAAAAATTATTGAGAAACAAATTAATTTGATATATTGAGATCTCTGTCCAGAAGAGCATTAGGAGAACTAGCATTATCAATAGCCCACCAAACAACAGAATCAATCCAACTCATTTCACTGCACTTCTCTTTCTTGCAATTCTTTACTCAATGAACTCACAACACAATCTTGCATTTCCTAAATATAATGCCACAATAGTAATCCTAATTGTTTTTTGACCTTTGTTGATCTTTGAACTCACTGGCTGCACTAACATCCTCATAAAAAGACCATTGTCAATTGTCGGAGCAACTGATTGATACTTATAAACAAGATCAATAGTACTATTATCTTCATCAATATATTTTTCAACCCTAAAAGATGTAACTGTTTCAGGAACAGAAACAAGTTGAATTTTATAAGAAACAAAAACCCCAGAACTTCCACCACCACCACCTCTAATTGCCCAGAATAAATCCTCGCCCATTTGTTTCTTATCCAGAACCTTACCATTAACATCAACAATCACAGCATCAATAACATTATCAACAGCTAACCCATATTTTCTCAACATATTACCCTACACACGTCCACTAATATGGCCACCACCTCCAACAGTGGGACAAAACCCAGCAGGAAAGCCATGAACTCTACTATTTTCCCAAATTCTGTAATATAATTCACCAAGTGTAGCACCGGATTCGACCCAAGCAGAGTTATTCGTTATATCAACATTAATTTGCTGGGTTTACTAACTCTTGACATTGGTCTGCCATGCACAGATAGATAAAAATTAAATGGTGTCATACCAATTCCATTTCTTTTCACAACCACACCCTTCTCGCCGTTAATGAAAAATTGATTCATGATTTACTAATGCAGATCGTTTAAACAGATGAAGTTATATTTTATATAACACAAGTTATGTGCTTTCTGTAAATAAATCATCAATAAGCAGTAGGTTATGAAGCATGATTAATACAGGTGAGTTAGCCAACTATAAGCTAACTCCCTCCTTTTGGGTTCACTATAAAAATGTATCAAGTTTCACTTTTTGAAACAGATACAGAACTCCTTCATAATCTTCAAAGAAGTTGAAAAACTTTCTACAAACCATAAATGGCTCGAATTGCAGCATTTCTGACATTTATCCTCTTACTTTCTACATCCGCCATGTCTCATAGACAACGAGATTCCATTGATTGTCTGAATGTGGTAGCCTACTTCAGCTCATGCGTGGAATTTCTCAATGGACATGTGCACGAACCGACATGGAATTGTTGTATGGGAATCCAAGAACTCAATAGGTTGGCAAAGCAGAATCATAGTGCACAAAGAATCTGCCAGTGCATTGAGCTTATTGGAAAAACAGAAGATCCTCCTTTTCTTCTTGCCAGTATCCATGCTCTTCCAATTAAGTGCCATACACATCTTAGTTTCCCCATTTCAATTAAAAAGGATTGCTCCAGGTAAATCACTCTATCATCAACTCTTTTAGAAAAGGAAAAAATCTAGTTTGGAAATTGACTAAACTTTTTTTCTTGATTGCAGAATCCCATAAAATGATGAATTATGCAGAAGATCTCTTGTTACAGACTGCAATATGAAGCCAATAAGATGAATAAAGGAACTCTCCAAGAAATTGCATATTATTACTCTAGATTAGAAAGATACCAAAAAAAAAAAGTGTACTTTGAATTATTATGCCTCCATTCTGTTATTCCATGGTTAGATATTGTCAGATATAACTGCAAAAATTTACGGTTGTGTTTTAGAAAGAAAGTTTCAGGCTCAAAGAGGTAGTTCAACACGGCTTCCAAGGGCCAATAGATCAATGTTATAATTAACTGCTCTAAACGATTAGCTTTCCGAATTATACATACTAATTAAAACACACAATTAAGCAATTTACGAAACATTTTCCGACAAGATTCAGTAATTCGCGGAGCATGATAGTTGCATGTAATAAAGCCAACTAAAAATATATTGATGTTTACTTATAAATATGGAAGCTTCACAACACAGGTATATCAGTAGCATTAAGACCACTACTAAATAAACTCTCTGCAAAAGAATTTCTGGAAATGACTCGCTTTGTTGGATATCTAATACTGAGCCTCCTAGTTACAGTGTTAAATGCGGTTGAGCTTCAATCACCGAACACAATGTGTGATACTGTGTATGATACATTCCCTTCTTGCCTGCCCTATATCACAGCCAGAGATAGTAAACCAACTGAAGAATGTTGTGAAACAGTTCACCAACTAAATGAAGAAGCAAAGCATGGAATTGGGCCGCGCTGGATTTGCCGGTGCATTGAATCCATTTCAAAGGCTACAGAAGATCGCTTTAATGCCACTCGTATCGATCAACTTCCGCTTCTTTGTGATACATATCTTAGTTTTCCGATTTCTGAGAATATGGACTGCAATAGGTAATTAATCAATCAATTTATTACATCTCTCTATCTATTTCTCAAAATTAAGGTAATATATTTGACTAATTACTGTTCTATTGTAATGTTGATAATTAGATATGCTATAACATATGCTATAATTAATAAATAATCTGTTGATCAGGTCAGAAAATTGTAATGTTGATAATTAGATATGCTATAACATATGCTATAATTAATAAATAATCTGTTGATCAGGTCAGAAAATTGTAATGTTGATAATTAGATATGCTATAACATATGCTATAATTAATAAATAATCTGTTGATCAGGTCAGAAAATTGTAATGTTGATAATTAGATATGCTATAACATATGCTATAATTAGATAAATAATCTGATGATCAGGTCAGAAAATTGTAATGTCGAATGGCATTTTCAAAAAAAATTTCTGGATTTCAATTCCCTGCCTTAACTGTACCATATATAACAGTTAATGGAAGCCAATTCATAATTTTCCATTGCCGAAGTTTGAAGAAATAAACCTGTAATTTAAACGACACAAGTATTGAGCTTTCCAGAAATAAACCAACATGGTCAATAAGAAATAATTTTATACAGCATGATGAAAAAAATGTTGTTTAGTTACAAGCCAACTAAACAGTTTTGGGTTCAAAAATAAGAATAACAAGTTCCAATTTCTCAAGCCAATCTATCAGAAACAAAACTTCATGATAAAAGCAGTTGAAAAATTTTGCATAACTATATATTAAAATCACAAATGACTGCCCTTGTAGCATTTCTGATAATTATATAATCTTAGTTTCTGAATCAGCCATAAACGGAAAGATACAGTGTTTTTATTGATCTTTTGACTGTATTAGTATAGTTCAGCTCATGATGAATCAGATTGATCAATTAGATAGTGCAAGAAAAATAGAGTAACACACACATCTCTGTTAATAAAGATTGCTCCAAGTAAGTCGCTCCATTATCTGCTTTCTTAAAAGAGAAATCTAAACGGGAAATTTTTACCGAGTTTTTGTTTTTTTTAAAATTAATTTTCTTGTTTGAGAGTTGAATAAAAATGATGAAGTAAGTAGAAGAACTGCATTATGAACCTGATAAAATGGAGAAAGCACTCTCCAAGAAACTGCATAAAATGGAGAAAGCTCTCTCCAAGAAACTGCATTTTAATACTCTATAAGTGTAATAAAGACACATATACCCAAAAAAGAAAAAAAAAAAGAATCATGTACTGTTTGGAATAATTTTAATGATTTTTATTCTTATTTTAAGCTCCCATTCTGATATTCCATAGCTAACCTACTGCAAGAGATCACAGCAAGAATACACAGTAATATCTCACGGTTTGCGAGATACAATTGAGTTACATTTTATTAAGGCTCTATTAGTGTTAGAAATCACAATTTTCAAGCAATAAGATCAGCAGAACTTTGCTTTTATACTTAATTTTCTATCACTTACCTTTAAACAACAAACACAAGCCATCTACCAAGTTTGTTGCGACAATTATCAGTGATTCCTGGAGAATGAGAACTGCATGGAAAGAGACCCACTAAACCTTCTCTTCAAGAACTGTTTTAACTATACATATAAGCATCAATACCAGCACTACTCGATAAAAAATCTAACATCAAAGAACTAGCAAATGGCTCGCATGGTTGGATATTTTTTAGTCACCCTATTCTTAGTTTCAGAATTGAGTATGGTTCAGCCTCAGCCACTTGGCAATGTGTGTCTTCCTGTTTACATTGAGTTCCCCTATTGCTTGGGTTTCCTCTGGGGACTTTACAAGGAGCCAGGTGGGTTATGTTGTGAAACTGTTAAAAGACTGAATTTATTGGCAAAGCAAGGACTCGGAGCAAAATATGTCTGCTGGTGCATCGAGAATATGACAAAGTGTATTGCTAAAACATCTCCATATCGGTTGAATGCTACTCGTATTAGTGAATTGCCAAAACTCTGCAATACGCATCTTAGTTTTCCTATTTCTGTGGCTATGGATTGCAGCAAGTAAATATTAATTTCCCCATCTCTCTCTCTTTCTTTTTATCTTCGAAACTGTGCATTTGATTAACAGCTTTTGTTGGGTTTTTGCAGGGAAAAATATATAAACTGAAGTTTGAGCAGCTTAGTATATATTAACTGATTTATGTTATTTACCTCAAGGAAGGACTCCAATGTGTAATGTTTAACTATATCTATGTATAGTTCTCATATGTATACAAATATGAATAAAGAATGAGCAAATCATTTCTTTTTTTTCAAATAAAAGTGATGATGTTTATTACAGAAAATCACTTAATAAAGCTTCAATGACAGAAGGAGGAGCTGTGAAAATCACTCTCCAAAACCTGATAAAGAACGATTCTTCTTTCCTAATAATAAAAAAGAAATGAACATTTCAACAATATTTTTCATATTGTTTAATTCCTCTTCTTTAAAACGAGACACGTGTGATTGTGTTGTGTGTATATAAAATATGCAGCAAACCAACCCATTTGATTGACAAAAGCCCTTCATTTATTTATTTTTTTTTTTTTTTCAACTTTTTGGTCCAAACGAGTATGCTACAAATTTTTAAATTACCCACAGCATTTTACAGATCATTTTTTTTTTTTTTTTTTTTTTTTCCTTTTTTTTCTCTTTTCTTGTTTCTTTTTACTGTGATTGTGTGAATGCAATCATGATTCATATGTTACTTCAATGAATTGATTAAACAAATAGTTTAATCATTGGCACCTTTTCAACACTAGTTTGAGTGCCCAAATGAAAATCATCTCATTCACATCAAGAAAAATTAATTAAATGAATTTCACATGATAATTCCAATTAATTAAACAAATAGAATTTTGTTAAAAAAAAAAAAAAAATCTTTTTTCACTTTAATAAAGTTAAAGTGATTATGTTTAATTTGTGTATTTAATTTAATTAACTAACAATTAAGTGGTTGATATCATGACTGACGGTACACAAACTTTGAAATATACAATGCTTCAAAGTTCCATTTTTACCTATAAATAATTTGAGACAAATAACCACTCTCACTTTTTTTTTTTTTTTTTTTTGTTTACTCTTAAAATAAAAAAAATATATATATAAACTCATGGTGGAATCAACGAAAATCGACTACATTCTCTTGTGAATTTTATCTACAAAGAATATAAAACTTCAAATATAAAGATACGTGTATGAAAATACACCACTTTACATCCAAGTATAAAAATATGCGTACAAATAAAAAAAAATAAAATTATATATATATAATATATTCAATATATTAATGAAAATTATCAATATTAGGATGATAAATAAAGATTAAAACCTGAAATTTTTACTCTCTTTTAATTTTAAAAATAAAAGAGAAGTTAATCTTTATATGCTATATCAAATTAATCAAGAAAAAGAAACTAACTTAACTTGCACCCAACTTGTCAAATTGACTCTAACATTTCTTGTACAGAAAATGAAATTTGTAAACTTATGGATTCTTCCAAGAACAGAAACTGATAGATACCTTTTTTTATTTTTTTTTTTTTCATTTGTCCAAATTTGTGAAAAGTCAATTTAGGCATGCATATCATTAACAAAGCCAAAACTTCAGGGTATTCTAATAGTAATTTGAGATTAATTAATTTTAGAACTAGAAATTTCATTTGTTGGATTATCGCTATGATTATTCAGTCAACAACTAACAAGTTGTTGTAACAATTACATATGAGTTATAATTTGTTTTTACATTTTTATTTTATTAATAATATCTCGATCGATGATACTAAGACACAAATGGTTTTAAATTATATGGTTCTATTTATTACGATTAACTATCTCAATCTATACTGAACGCGTTTTATTTTATCAAATTTATTTTAGTTGGAATGAAAATCAAGTGGTTGAAGCTTAGAGATACGCATAAATATTTTGAAAATAATTCACAACTTTCTTCAAAAAATGATGGGTTATTCGAACTCGAGTAATTTATATGTATTTATTAATGGACTATAATAAGAAAATTATTAATTGAAAGACTCAAAATTTATCCATTGAAAAATTACATGTATATACATATATTCCTTAGAAAAAAACAATTACAACTTTTTTTCTCTTCAAAAATTATAGGGAGGGAGTGATGGGTTAGAAATATTGAAAAAAAGATTGAAAAAAGATTACAACTTTTTTCTTCAAAAATTATAAGAACAGCGCATGATTTGAACTCTGAATCGATTACATGTATTTATCTCTAGTGGCAGGAAAATGGTCAATCGAAGCACTCAATATTTACCCGTTGAAAGGCTTTCACTCGACAAGATATACAAAATACGGGGTCCAATCTGGATTCTGCCCATAGACTGGTATGGTTATGTCAGCAATCAAATCAAGCAAGTGCAATGGAGGCAAAAGAAGTCGTCGGCAAGAGCGCGTTGTTAGAAATGATCAAGAAAAGAACGCGGCGGATGTGTATAAATTCACCAGCAGCTCACGTGTTCTTTGGTCAAACTCCACCTATATATTTTAATTTTTGCATCTCTCTTGTTTCTTTCTGTATTATATCTCTCTCTTTCTTTAACCTTACCAATACTCTCTTTCTTGAAAACTCATTATTGGAACAAGACCTCGACCATGACTGGCACTGGCAAGGAAATTCTGCACAAGATGAAGGTTTGTTGGTGTTTCTTGATTTTCTTGTGTATGGTCATTTCCAGTTGCTTTAATGTGTTTAGCTTTTGTTATGTTTTATGACTATATAGAGTTCTTGTTTTACCTATGAAATTGAAGATTGGAGTCTTTGGTCAAATCCTGTATTACTAATAATTTTCAACTCCAGTGATGAGTAGTTCATGATTATTGTTTACTTTTCTATTGATAAGATTGTGAAGAAGGAAAGGTGCTGCCATTTAGTATTAGCTTTTCTTGAATTTGGTTATAGGTTTCTCTATTTCAAAGTTATGGAAATATAACAAAATTGAAGAATTGCTGACTTCTAACTGTTCATGGGCTGCAACTCAGATTGGAATTAAAGTTTGAGTATTTGAAAGAAAAATCTTGGTTGTCTGTTTCTGATTAACCTTACTTTCTTAGGTCAATCTTTTTTTCTTTTTTTTTAATTAACCTTCAAGTATACTTTTTAGTTCCTTTTTGTATACATAGACTAAAGCCAGATGCTTCCTGACCCTGTTATGACCCTCATCTTTGCAGTGCTTAAAAATTGCCAAGGGATACAGCCCTTTCTTTTTAATTTCTTGACCACTAAATTTCTGAATACCTTCTCATATATGATATATGAATCTCTAGACTCCTCTTTGATGAATTGGTTATATTCTTTGTCAGGTAAAAGCTGGATTTGGTTCGTCATCTGAGACTGGGAAAGGCAAAAGCAAACTGTCAAAGCATATTACACATGGTTATCACTTGGTAAAGGGAAAATCAAATCATGCCATGGAAGATTATGTAGTTTCCAATTTCAAGCAAGTAAACAACAATGAGTTGGGTTTATTTGCAATATTTGATGGTCATTTGGGTCATGACATTGCAAATTACTTGCAAACTCATTTGTTTGACAATATTTTGAAACAGGTACTTATATCAATTTATTGTATCTGGTTCATTAGCAGTGTCATGTCTATTTATCAAGAAAAAACATTTCTTTTTCTTATTTTCTTGCTCCCTTGCAAGCAGCACGACTTCTGGACTGATACAGAGAGTGCAATAAGGAGAGCTTATGATACTACAGATGCTGAAATATTGGAAAAAGCTTTTGTCTTGGGAAAAGGAGGATCAACTGCTGTTACAGCAATCCTCATCAATGGTCAGAAGTTGGTAGTAGCAAATGTGGGAGATTCTCGTGCTGTCATATGCAAGAATGGTG